CCAAATTTCAGCCCAATTCGGCCAGTATTTTCTGCGTTTACTTGTCACAAACATACATCCATACATCCAAACTTTCTCATTTATAATATTAGTAGGATTAGTAGGATATATATATATATATATATACCATAATACCATATAACCACACTACAAATTTAATTCTACAATATACGGTACGTAGTTTTATCCAAACAAACGATCAAAAACCCCGAATGAAATTTTTAATTGACTTAATAGTCAATGCATATAAGCGAGTCTTATCTTTCGATGCAGATTAAATAATACAAAGGCAGAGGAATGCGCGAGACCAAGGACAATGTCACGGCACGGTTGCTATAGAAACGAAGCAACGAGAATTGCGCGCCAACGTCAACTGCCAGACTGTGTAAACACGCCGCGTGTGTAGTGTTCGACGGAGCTATAGTACTTTCAGTTGGCAATACTGGCTTCTAGCCTCGAGTGAGGTGGTTCAACCATGAGAAGCGCCTCAAACTCCTGGGTAATCCCCGGTTAGCTCCTCCCACTCTGCCCCCTATCCCCACCTAAAAGACGAGCAAGTGGTAAGTCGGTCGGGAGGATTGACGACAAGTTGGTTTCTCGAATATAATAATTTAGTTTTACAGGCCGGTCAACTGGACTGACGATGAAATAACTTGTCGACGTACTGGTTTTCAGCATTTATCTATTTAATTAAAAAAGACGGTCTAGTGGCCAGACGACAAAGTATCTTGTCGGTCTACTGGTAGGCTCCCCGTTTTTACATCACGCCCCCAAAGCAGAATGGTTCCTACGTGTCTGCAACGGCCTGTGAAAACCTCAAAATGTGTCCGCAAGCGCTAAAACTAAAAAGCTAAATAATGACTTATATACCGGTATATATATATATATATTCACTCTTTAGGGCTACTAGTAATATAGTTAAATAAAATAAGTAAATTTCAATAACGTGTATAGCCTACTTTTAAAACAAAAAACTAAAAAACTATTAAGGGGTAGGCATAATCAGGTTATTTAAATTAACTTTTTTTTAAATACGTATATATATACACATACCTTAACAAGTGTTAACAAGGTCTTCAGAAGTAAAACTTTAAATGTACTATAGTTTCTTTATATAAACACACTAGGGATAGACGGGATTGAAATTTTAGTTCGGGACGGGACGGGACGGGATTTTTATTTCCTTCCCGATTTTCGGGACGGGATGGGACAGGATTTTTTTCTGTGCATAAAAAAAGTACTGTATTGCAGTTACCAAAAAAGACATACAAAATCAATTTTTACCATTTGTGGCACTGATCTATAAAAACCAAAAAATGGGTAACAATTTACAGGTACCTATAGAAACTTGTGACTCGCGGGTCACAGGGTGATCGTCTGTAGAACTCACGGTCACGGCCCGATCGTCGTCATGACTCGCGGTCACGGCGCGATCGTCGTCATGACTCGCGGTCACGGCGCGATCGTCGTCATGACTCGCGGTCACGGCGCGATCGTCGGTATGACTCCGCGGTCACGGGGTTATCGTCGGTATGACTCCACGGTCACGGCGCGATCTTCGGTATGACTCCGCGGTCACAGGGTTATCGTCGGTATGACTCAACTTCTTGAAATTGTGGATTTAAAAAGTAAGAATAAAAAGAAAACAAAGAAAAGGCACAGAAAATTTACAGAGAATAACTTAAAAACCTTTCTCAGTGATTTAGGCAATGAGACTTGGTATGATGTTTACCAGTCATCTGTAGATAAAAAGTATGATGCATTTTTTTCTATTTTTAGTTACATTTTTGATGTTAATTTTCCCAAAGTTTTAAGTGCAGATAGTGGATATAGTAAATGTAAATGGAATTCAAAGGAGTTATTTAAAAAAAAGAGTGAGATAAATGAACTGGAAAAGCTAGGTAGGATAAGACAAAATTTTGTCACATATCAAAAGATAAAGGTTAAGAAAAAGGAACTAAAAGAATCAATACACCAAGCCAAACAAACATTTTATAATGAGAAAATAAAACACTCTTCTAATAAAACTAAGGCAACGTGGAACATAATTAAAAGTGAAATAAAGCTTAACTCAAAAAATGATTTTACCAGCAACATACCGATATGTATAGAGCAAAATGGTAAACTCCTTAAGCATCCAGTAGCTGTCAGTAACAACTTAAATAATTTCTTTGTATCAGCTGTGGAAAAGCTTATATTGCCACACATTTCTCCTTCACTTACACAAAAAACAGATATCCAGAAAAATATTTTACCTACAGATAAGTCATTTAAGTTTCACACAATAACGGAAGAACACCTCACTAAAGTGGTCCTTTCCTTTGAAAACAAGTACTCTGCAGGTTTTGATGAAATTCCAATCACCATAGTTAAAAAATCAATACACATTATCCAGAAACCACTAACACATATCATAAACTCTTCTCTTATTTCAGGAATCTTTCCTTCAAAATTAAAATTGGCTAAAGTAATTCCCATTTTTAAAAAAGGTAATAAAACTGATCCCTCCTGTTACCGCCCTATCTCTCTCTTACCTGTTTTTTCAAAAATTTTTGAACGCATTGTTTACATTCAGGTCTATAAATATCTGGAAACTAATCAACTATTTGATAAAGAACAACATGGCTTTCGGCAGGGCAAATCAACAATAACAGCTGGTATTGAATTCATAGAAACTATAATAAATGCTGTTGACAGAGGAGAAAATGTTGTAGGAATCTTTTTGGATCTCAGTAGGGCATTTGACAGCGTGTCACATAGTATATTGTTGACTTCACTAAAAGAAATGGGAATCTATGGAAAAGAGCTTGCATGGTTTACATCATATCTAGAAAACAGAAACCAATTTGTTGAACTGGATTATGTTGTGGAGCATGCAAACACAAAGTACGTTGAAAAATGTAGATCTCAGCATCAGACGCTGAAATATGGGGTGCCGCAGGGATCGATCCTGGGGCCTCTACTTTTTCTCTGCTATATTAGAGGTATGCCGGGAGCGATTCCTGGTAACGGCGGGTCTATGTGTCTGTTTGCTGATGATTGTAATGTGCTTATTCCCGGAAGATCAAAACAACAGATTGAAACGTTTTCTCAGGAGAGTCTTTTATCCATAAAAGAATTCCTTGACCGAAAAAATCTGCTTATTAACACAGAAAAATCCAATTTTATATCATTTTCCACTAAACAACATAGACAAAATTTTGAACCAAACATTTGCATAAAATCAGAAAGAATAAACCAAGTAAAGCAAACAAAATTTCTTGGTCTAATTATCGATAAACATCTATCTTGGGAGGGCCATGTGAACTATGTGGTTAAAAAGGTATCTTCCGGTATCCATGCGCTGCGACAGATGTTCAGAGTATGCAGTTTAGACACTTTAAGAGTTGTTTATTTCTCATTAATACATTCACATATTTCATATGGAATTGTTCTATACGGGGCAACAACAAAAACTAATTTAGATAAAGTACTAATTAAACAGAAAAAAGCTATCAGGGTGATGAAAAATCTTAAAAAGAAAGAGCCAGTCAAGAGCATCTTTCGTGAATTACAAATATTAACAGTTTATAGTCTTTATATTTATGAAACAATAATTTATGCAAAACAGATCCAACTATCATCCAGCTCAACAGAACAATTAGTATATAACACCAGATTAAAAATTAACCTACCTCGGCATAATCTCGAATTTTACACTAAAAAGACATCTTACATAGGGCTAAAATTTCTCCAGTCTATACCAGCTCACATCCGAAAAGAAACAAAATTTAATAAATTCAAGAAGCTCTTAAAGGAATATTTTTTAAGAACTCCCTGCTACTCAGTAACAGAATTCTTTAGTATTAGTAAAAAACAGTTAGGCCTAACTTAATTTGAATGCCAAATACTGTTATCCTTAAAGTCATGGTTTTGTTAAAAGTTCAAGTAAAGTAATTTTTGTACTCTTTTTATGTATTTAATTAGCAGTAAGCAATTTTGAATTTAGCTTATGACTCTATTCAAGTTCATGTAATGTGAAACTATAATGAATAAAGAATGTTTTGATTGATTGATTGACTCCACGGTCACGGTGCGATCGTCGTCATGACTCGCGGTCACGGCGCGATCGTCGGTATGACTCGCGGTCACGGCTCGATCGTCAGCATGACTCCGCCATCACGGCATGATCGTCAGTATGACTCCGCGGTCACGGCGCGATCGTCGGTAGGACTCTGCGGTCACGGCGCGATCGTCGGTAGGACTCCGCGGTCACGGGGTTATCGTCGGTATGACTCCACGGTCACGGTGCGATCGTCGTCATGACTCGCGGTCACGGCGCGATCGTCGGTATGACTCGTGGTCACGGCTCGATCGTCAGCATGACTCCGCCATCACGGCATGATCGTCAGTATGACTCCGCGGTCACGGCGCGATCGTCGGTAGGACTCTGCGGTCACGGCGCGATCGTCGGTAGGACTCCGCGGTCACGGTGCGATCGTCGGTCCAATAATCGCGGCCATGGCGCGATCGTCGTTATGACTCCGTAAATGTGTCCGCAGGCCCGCGTTTCTCGGCGTTTCGTGTCCGCGACAATGTCGCAGCGTCGCTCGTTGTTCTGCTTTGGGGCATCACGCAGTTGCATAATTTACCTAAGTGATGTAAACACGCTTTTTTGTAACGCACAAGATTTTAACTGACCCGTATACAGGGGGTTACATACAATATTTTTCATTATCCATTTCACTCATTTTCTAACAGTAACGTTCTTTTACAAACAAAAGCTAGGTTAGGAAAATTCTTTAAAGCATAGCAATAAAATTCAAGCGCACAGCTGATTTCTAGCGTTGAACGTCGTTGGCTCTATAGAGGTATATATTTTTAAGTTGACCACTCAATGTTATTTAAATGGGTTTCATTACTTCACCGAGTGAGTTTCAGTTGTTTACATCACGTTTGGGATAGGGAAGTTTAACATGGCGGGTTGGGTAAATAAAATTATGTCATTGGTCTATACTTACTGAATCTTTCCTGTCATGTCTAGAAGTTTCTCATAAATGATTTGAACAACCTCAAATGACTTTGTAGAGGTGATAGAGTAAACCAAAACATAGCCGTGGATGTCCATGGAGTATTGTGCTGGGAAAATAGAATACTCATCTTGGCCTGCAGTGTCAACAAGCTTCAAATCATATTCTTGACTTCTCACTCTGGTAGTTTTGATGAAGGCTGTGTGGATGATAAAGTAGAATTAATGATCAAGTTAATAGACCAGGCAAATTAGACTTGTTGCTCCTAAAAATTGGGGGAAAGCTGGAAATCGTTTTAATCTGCTCTGGAGATCCTAAATAAGTTAAAAATGAGTTTGCGGCAGATTCTGAGTTGTGCTAAGTGTATGGGAGGCAAAAAACTAGGTCCTAAAAACTATCACAATTTTTCTCATGTTCAAGTTTTTGGCTTAAAATTTAAAAACAGTGCATCCCACAAAAAAAGTGTTTGCATACTTTTCTAAAGAACATTAAATTCCGCAAAAATCGGTTCAGTCATTCTGCTACAACAGGTTGTCAAAGGTCAGTAATTTTAACCAAAAACTACAGCATACACTGCCATCTGGCGGAACATGCTGTAATCATCAAGTAGGCCTATAGGATGACAAGGAGAATGTAGTCCTGGTATTTCTTTTTGTTTGAGTGTTACCTTTCTCATGACTAATAATAGCAAAACATGTAGAAACTATAACTAGGTAGGTTAACGATAAAATTACTGATCTTTGACAACCTGTTGTAGCAGAACAACTGAACCTGTTGTATATACTAAACAATATTTTCAAATCAGCTGGTATTATTAGATTTGGTAACACCACACTATCCTCATTGGCTCCTTTGAAGTCATGTGGTAAATAGGCTCCTCCCTCAACTGCAGACTCTTGTGGACCGTACTGTAAACAGTGTCATATATTCAATGCTAATTTGTAATGAATGTCATTAGAAATTCTTTGGGAAATAACAAGAAAACATGATTTGATAAAATAAAACACATTTCAACTCGAACGTGCGTAGCTGCGCAAACTGGACAAATTTATACCTCGCTATGCGCACACCTTCTTTCATACGCCTTGATGGTTCTTATCCTACTGCAGTGTTTCAAAGGAATGTCTTAAACTAATTACAATGTACGTGAAATAATATGACGTTAAATAATAAGTGACTGATAAAAAATATACAAGGAACTACTTACTATTTTCAATGGTTGGGTCATAGGAGTCAACAAACTGTCCGTCTACAAACTGTATACTAAGGGACGACTTCCCTGAAACAGATAAAAAACATCTTTTGATTGCTGTGAACGTATTTAGATACTAAACTACCATAATATGTACATTATCCATTAGCTTTGGTTCAGAGCTCCCTTAGGCTTTAGGTCCAACAATATAAAAAAAAGGTAGAGGACTCTTAACAGGAGGAAAAAATTACACCCTCTAATTGAATTGTTGTTGTTACTGTTGTTAAAATGTTGTCACCACTTTGTTGTTACTAATCTGTGGGGCTGGCCCAGTGGATAGCTGTCTTTATTATAAACCTTAAAATTATGACCGTAGTAAATTTGTACATTTTTCACATACTCCTCTACACTAAAGCCAATCTTCATCAATTCACTTGTAGAGAGAGTATACATTCTTACAATACAAGAGACAAATCCAATCTAGATATCCCTGCCTAATAAAAATAATAATAAATAAAAATAAATTGCATAAGGTTTATAATAAATTAGGTCTGGCAGCAAAACAGGTTCCTTATAATAGGTTTAAGTCTAAAATGTTTTGAGTGGCTCATCTAAAATCCATATTACTGTATAACAGAGTATTTAGTTTCTGATTTTAATATTAATTCTTAATTTAGAACCCACTGTATTTTATAGCTTTAGTTTTTATTTCTATTGTTGACTATGTCTATTCCTTGTAAAAGGTCAATGACAATAAAGCTCTTGATTCTTGATTCTTGACTAGGCCCTACACCATTATAGTTATTAAATCATCGTTATGTCACTGTTATTTATACTTTATGTTGATATTTTTACAAGTATATATTTTACAAGTACAGTAAACCTTCGATAGTTTGACACTCCTTATAGTTCGACACGGGCTGAGCTGAGCTATTTTGTCAAGTGTTTAATGGTTACTATTGTGATGTAAGCTGACTTCATTAATTTCTCATTTATTGTTGACTTGAGACTTAACTAATGAACAGTGAAATTAATTGTTAAGCTTTTTATTTAAAAAATTTGGGTGATTTCTATATTAAGACTTGTGTTTTTACTTTCCTGTATATTAAACCCCATTTACTCCATATAGTCAGTGGCGGACTTACCATAAGGCACACTTGGCACGTGCCTTAGGGGCGCCCGTCGTTGAGTCCGCGGCAAGTGGCGCGTCCATGGCCGCGTCAGCGTGCGACGGGCAGCGCGGCGGCGGGCGCGTGGTGGTTAGTGGTGAAGATAATAATGGTATTAATTATAATGTCAATCATTATAATATCCAACAAAAGCCGTGCTTATACCTGTACTTATTAATTTAATGCATAAAGTATTTAACAGTATAACAAATAACTACATAGATTTGTGGAATTTCCTCGGGTAAAATCATGTTTTGAGTTCAACCCTAAAAATAAAATAAATAAAAGGGCCTATCTATTCCTTTAAATTTGAAGTTAAATGTTACATTGTATACACAAATCATATAAAGAGGTGACAATACAGTTATATATTACAAGTAAAATTATTGTTAGCTGTTTTGAATGTTAAATTTAATTATCTTTCAAGCCTAAGTTATTTAAGAGTATAGAGTATTTTAGTATTTTAGAGTATTTTGTTGTTAACCGTCTAGAAAAAATAAAAGAAAACCAATTTAAACTGAATAAATTTTAATTGAATTTCGTCAAGAACGGCAATGCGCACGGGATGTGATTCAGGATCTCACAAGAGTTTTGTAACTGAAGAATGTGCAAGACAACTAGGTCTCAAGCCTAAAGGAAGTGTTTTGGTCCAACAAGAAGTTTTTGGAGGAAGGAAAACGAAGCCAAGACAACATGCATATTATACCATTGCTCTTTGAATCCTTGAGTTCAGACTACAAAATGAGTCTAAATGTATTGGAGCAGCCTATGATTTGAAGCAGTCTATTCATATTCATTCTTGCCTCAACCACAAAATATATGTTTTTCTTAAAATCTAAATACAATTTCAATGTAATGTACTCATATTGTACTATGTCCTTCTTGGAAAAAATTCATTAATAAGCGTACCAACAACAGGAAATTTAATATTGCTTTAACGTTGAAACCTTTACTTTTTTGCGAAACACAAAGGGGCAGCGCCGTAGGTAAGTCCGCCACTGCCTATAGTTCGACATTTTGATACTGTAGTTTGACATCCCTTAAGTCCACGGTGTCGAACTACTGTATATATACAGGGTGCAAGTTACAATGGTACAAGTAGATGGTGAATGGTAGTGTTGATCATATGTCTGTTGCATGCAATAAACTAATTAAGCGTGACAGCCGGGGTTTCATTGTGATGGATTTTGTAACCGTTGGTATCACCCTCGTTGTGTAGACCTAGATGATAATTACTTTAATATTGCGGCATTATCGGACAGAGTCAAGTAGTACTGTGATCCTTGCTCTGCCAAGTTGGTCAAAGTGATTTCCAGTGCCTGGATTATTGATGAACTTTTAAACTTGGGAGTATTGACAGCTTATCTAAATCAATAAATACTAATTAGCCTGGTGCAGGGCAAAAATAAATTAATACGATCAACTGGTGCAGTGTTCCCCATTTCGTTCAACGCTTGGATTTCACCTAACCTAAAAAGTGTTGTATATTGTTTTAAAGACTAATTATTTCTATGCTTTATAGTAGCTGTAGGCAAAATGTAATGTGTAACACGAGTGCAAAGTGCATTTGCTGCACTCGTGAAATTTTCCACTCGTGTAAACATTTCTCTCATATGCAGCAAAGTGCCACTTCGCACACTAGTTACACAAATAACTAATTACAAGTGTGAAAGAATACAAAAGCAAAAGATACCATTTTGAACCATACAGAAAACATACTCCCCTAGTACATTTAATTGTTTTGATACCAGTTCAAACAGTTTTCATGCTACTTGGGAATAAAACAATTTAAGGCTTTTGTACAACCAATAAAAGTGTGTTACAACCAGTTTGGTGTGTGTGTGTGGAGGTTACGTCTGATTTGAAAAGTGAATAAACAGGAAATTTTATACTGTCAAAAGTAACATCAGCGTCAGGCCTATAGCAGAGCAAGCATCGGCTGCCTTTTTCACTCCTGTTGCTGCTCATTAAATTAAGTCCAGACGCCCTAGCTCTGACTCAAACTGAACAGAACTTAGTTGAAACGAAAAACAATGATGATGTCAACTTCCCAAAGTTATAAAAGCAGATCAAGTCCAAAATAGCCAAGACCGGTGTATAAGAAATTGACAAAACCGTGTCAATAAATTTCCAAAGAGACAAAGCGTGCCTATTATTGGGATGAAAATTAACTTGCCCGACTCATCTTAATTGCGAGCTGAGGAGAGAAAGGACTGGTTATTCAAGTCAAGGCTTCAAACAGACGTTAGTGTGGACGATCTATATGAATAATGCCGATATTGAAGCTAAATGTATTGAGTTAAACCCCAAACATGACTCCTACAAAGTCTTTTAAGTGTCAAAACTAAAGACAAAATACAGTGTTGAGTGACACCTTCTGGCCGACAGAGACTCTGATTAGGGAATTTGTGGTGTAGACCCGCAAATGCTGGCTAGTTCCAGAAGAAGTTTTATACTACGATAAAGTCGGCGGTCTTGAGCTTGCCTCCTACTTTTGTAGAGCAAATCCGAGTGGTGGAGTAGCTATATTTTTAAACTCTGGTGTAAATTTAATGTAATTTCTGTAAAAGTTATAGATCTAAGCGAATTCTTTGACGAACTTGAAGGTGAGTTTTCTGCTGTAATTTGCATGAGTTTAATCTAGTATTAGTTGCCATGTATCGCTCTCCAAATGGCCATGTAGAACGCTTTTTTAATCTGAGTGGACAACAAGAACAGTACGACACCTCTGAACATCATCAAGTAGTGAATAATATCATCAGGAAGCTCACCAGCAGATGCTGGGGTGCTAACCCTAATGTCCTCAGAACCTCAGCTTTAGCGCTCAGTGTGTCGGCTGCGGAATACGCTGCACCAGTATGGAATGCATCGTCACATGCAAAAAAGGTTGACATTGCAGTCAATGACATGGCTCGGATTGTAACTGGGTGTTTGAAACCAACCCCAGTACACAAACTCTATCCTATCATAGGGATCGCCCCTCCATCAATCTGACGTGATGTTGCTGCCGACACAGAAAGGACTAAGCAAGAGACAGACCCTCGTCACCCATTACACGGCAACCAACCTGCAGAGCGACGGCTTCGGTCCAGAAAGAGCTTTTTATCACGGACACGAGTCCTGGATGGATCACTCTCAAGCAATCGGGTGGCAAGGTGGGAGGCCACGTTGACTAACCCTCCCATACCAGCCAGGGAGGAACTGGCTCCTGGTGGAGGCCTTCATTACACGGTGTGGAAGACCCTAAATCGAATCAGGGTCGAGGTACCAAAATGCAAGACAAAGATGCAGAAATGGGGTCTCTTACCAGACGAAGAAAACATCTTGTGCGCGTGTGGTGCTGATGAGGATCTGTCCACGCCTAGACCAGTCTTGCACATTAGATGATCTTTTACAAGCGAATGACAAAGCCATATATTGGTAGCTAATTTTTGGAAAAGCGAAGTCTGATTTCCGAACACGGAAAGTAAGTAGTAGCAAACCTACCTGACCTTCATCCTGTACCACCACAACATCAGCCTGATACCGTAGCCCATTCTGATGAACAACATACAGATGAGCATATCCACAGGCTGTTATGTATATCTATAAAAGATGAACTATGTAATGTATGTATGTATGTATGTGTGTATATACGTTATGGACTCCGAAACCGCTCAACAGATTGAAATGAAACTTTCAGGCATTATTAAGCATCTTTCAAGGATGGTTCGAGTGAAGTTTGGTGCAGATCCGTCAAAAGGGCTCTGCCCCAGAGGGTTTTAAGTGGGCCAATGTCAGACTTTTTGATCTACAATGTTTACAAATAAATCCTTATACATAAGTTAATACGTGAAGGCGATTTCTACGAAACACTACAATGGACTGATTTTCACAAACGATGTGTCAAAATTAAGTATTTTTTTGTGTAGACGCCCCCTTTCACCAATTCCTGTAATAAAAGTCCTTGGGCTTTGCCCCACAGGCCATCAAAATCCCAATGTACCGTATTTCTTATAAAGAAAATATTTTGTTTACTAAACAGACGAATAATTTGTATTAATTACAGCTGTTAGTAGTAAACACATGATAGATACAAGAACGTTCGTTTTCAGAATGAGTTCGTTATCCGTTTCGATAACTGGAGTGGAGCGAGCGTTTGTTTTCAGAGCGAGTTCGTTTTCAGAGCGAGTTCGTTTTCAGTTAACTGGAGTGGAGTGATTGATAACATTATCTTTGAGTTTACTCTTTTAAGTCATTGGAAATCTTTATTGTTATTCGTTTTGAAATAACACCTGTAATACTTTGCAATTGCTCAAATTCGGGCAACAAGTGCACTAGTATAATTTAAAAGCAGATGTTTACTTTCACTAACTGTTTTGAAGGTTTGAATAATCACAAAATTCTGTATTTTAGCATTTGTCATGATTTTAAATAGTGCCACAGTGTTTCTACAGAGTGCAGCACAGAAAACTATTTTACTTTTGAATAAGTCAAAATGTATTAAACCCTAATTGCAGCACACCTGTGCACTCAACAATGTTTAAATTCTCCAATGTTAAATATTAAAAACATAAAAACCTTTATCAAAGTACCTATTATAAACAATAAAAGGGATGACAATGCCTTATTATTTTTATCTTTCGTTCGATACCCACACAATCTAACATAAATTATTAAGTGAATAATAATCGTGCGTGCTATCTCGGGTAGGGTATTCAAATGCCTCTCAATTTGTCAACCCACCACATTACTGTCATTAAAAGAAGGAATTTCAATAATACTAATGCGAAACTTAAATCCACCGAAGCTGTGCAACGTTACCAGACTAACGATTAAAAAAATTACGTCAAAATTGGTTAAAGCAAAAATTATCAGTGGTAGGTAAGGGAGAAATATAGTCTTAATCCCAAGAATACTGATGATTTCATCCGAATTACTCTCTGAATTTAATCAACTACAATTTCTTTAGTGTCTTTCGCAATCACCATTATAAGGCACTAGGGCAATCCCTTTCTATCGTCGGTTTAAATGTAGAAAAAACATGCTTTTCACACAGACAGATGTAATTTGTTAGCGCAGCAACGTGCCCCGGGTAACTGCTAGTTCTTAATAAATAGGCTACTTTATGGTGGTTAGTGCAAGTAACTTAGCCTATTCACCAGTTCTGGATATTATGAATCAGTCTAAGTTAGAGTGTATTCCCATGATAACTTAGTGCTGTCTAGAACCATGTATGTATACGGTAAATTAGGTAGGCCTACTCTGGTTCATATGGGCCAAAAAGAAACTTAACTGGGACCTGTTCCTGTATCTCTTGGTAAGCTTGATTTGTGAAGCTTGGGCCTGAACTTAATATTGATCTGGTGTTAATGGTAGGTATTGCAACATAATCTCCCCAGTTGAAGAATAAGTTATTACACTCTTATTATCCTAGAAGCACCTACATACTGATTCTGGCATGCACCTATGGTAGGCCGGTAGGCTTTAGTTAGTATAGTGATGCGCAATTGCGAGATGTTACAATCGAAACGTTTCGATTGTTTGACCCTGTCGAGACGTTTCAGTTGTATTTTTGCTTAGCGAGAGGTTCTTACCGAGAGGTTTTATCGAGATGTTCGTGAAGATTGTTTCGTTTCAGCACAGCTTCTCAGTCTCGTATCTCGCATTCGTCTAGAGAACCGAGAGGCGAGAGGTTCTTTAACGAGATGTTCGTGGCGATTGTTTTGTTAAGTGCGGCATCGTAATTTATTATCATCTAATTTCTATTGTTTCTGCCGGGGATTGACCCCCAATAACAGGTACTTCAAAACCAAGGAAGTTTTATGCATTACCTACTTACTTTATTTACGGAATAGTGACTTAATACCACTCAATAAAAACTATTGACAAGACGACATATTTTACAAACAAAATTTGTATTTACATCAAAATATTTATAACGAGACAGAAGGTTCTCATAAATGTTATGCTAACACTATTATTTAGGCTACCATTACCCATACTTTAAAATAATTTTCTATTTCTGTTGCAAAGACGGAATGACGTAAGTGCTTATTCATGTGTCAGCAGTAGGCCTATATGTTGTGCATAATATTCTAGGCTACTACGGTATTCTATAAGAATCTAGAAAAAGAACTAACATTATCGTAACAACTCTCATGAAATGTAGACAGATGCGAACAGACATTTAGGCTTAACGAATGCAACAATCGAGAGAAACATCTCGATTGTACAAACTTCTCGCTAAGCAATCGAAACAATCAATAAGTTGCAGAACATCTCGAGAAGGAACATTTTGATTGTTCAAACATCTCACAATCGCGCATCACTAAGTTAGTTCTTATATCATTTAGCAGCCTACCTAAACTTAACTTAATAAGAAAATGTGTGAGACAACAACAGTGGCGCTTCTCTTATTGTTTAAAAAATTACAAGTCTAGAAGGTAGGTCACGCAGCAATTTTAATCTATTCTCTAGTCTAAGCTAACTTACACCTTTAGGAACAGGCCAACCTTTGAAGTGGCCTAAGTTTTGGTAGATCTAACTTACACCGTAGAAATATAGGTTAGGGCCTATGCTAAGTCAAAATATATCATAATATAAATTACAGACCATGGAATAAACTGATAATATCGTAGTTGTTAAATAGATTTCCTTCACGCCGTTGTGTAGGAATATAATGAATCAAACTTGTAAAAGCCAGCTTATGAAATTCAAATCAGATTAAGTTACTTACCAACAGATCTGTAGCCCATAATCGCTATTTTCCTTTGTTTAGCGGGCATTTTAATTAATAAATGTCCTATTAAAAACTCACAACCATATCAAAATGAAAACTATAAATTAGAAAAATCTTGTGGATTGACCGTCACATGCAAAAATTTTTGATAAGCAAAATAACAAACGCAGTTTATTGCTATCTCAGAGTGAAGTAGTGAAGTCAAAGTCGCAGTTCGCTTCGCACGACGACGACGACGACGCAGTGACGCACACTTTGACTTTGCTAACTTTGCTTCGCACTTCGCAGTCAGTTCAGTTCAGTAGTCGTCAGCCTTGGTCGAAAAAGTGGCAAGGCAGGCAAAAGGCAAGATGCAGAGTATGAAATTCTTCATAGATTAAGAAGTAATTGCTTTAAAACTGCATTGGGACGATTGGTGTAGTTAAGAGTAAATACCCCCGCCGCAGCAAACCTGCCGTCTAAGCGAATTTCCATTTGGCCGAATTGATTTTCAATTGATCTATTTAAATAACATTAGGTTTAACGAGTACCTAGGTTTGCTGCTACAAGGAAACTAATAAAGTAGTGTGTTTTTAGTAAAATATTGATAGCTTACTATAAAATAAATAATTTTGCCAAGTTTGATCAAAATATATCCATAAACAAGCAAACTACAACATTTTACAATATTCTCCATAAGAATAACATGGGAATTTTAAATTTACCATTTTTTTAGTTTTCTCCGTAACCAATAACCGTACAAAAACACTTTGATATACTGAATTGTTTGTTTTTTAAGCTCTTTAAGAAGGTCTAGAGAAAGATTGGGAAATTTTGTGTTTTGAGGGTAAGAAGTGAGAAATAGTTATTTGTGTAACTAGTGGTGAAAGTGGCACTTTGCTGCACACGAGAGCAATGTTTACGCACGAGCCGCAGGCGAGTGTGGAATGATCTCGAGTGCAGCAAAGGCCTTTTTCACTCGTGTTACACATTATATTTTTCCTACAGTCACTATAAAGCATATAAATAATTAGTCTTTCAAACACTATGCAACATGTTTTTAGGTTCAGTTGGCAACACAAATGGTGCCCTAGAGAAAGTAGTACCCGCGGTCCATATCACTCCGCTATTTTTCCTCGGCAAGAAATGTGCTCCGCGTTTTGAGAATATAGTTCCGTATGTTTTTGTAATTTGAAGTGGTTTCCGCGCCTAAAAAAATGCTTAAAAGGTATTTTCTTGTTTATTAAGATCGTAGGAAGGTTTTAAAAACGTTTAAAAGAAAAGTCCAGAAAGTTCAGAAATACTGAAACTATAAACACGAAATGACAGGTTAAATCGTAGTTATAATAGTCAATCAGCTGCTCATAGTATAATTATCTTTAAGTGTTGCCAACCTATTTCCAAGCGTACACGGATTACGTGCATAATGGAACCACGCTGTTTTGTGTTGTTTCGTTGGAATCCTGATGTGCGGCAAAGTATAAACCGTACGGCAAAGTATAAACCGTACGGCAAAGTATAAATATGCAGCAATTAGCAGCTTTCTGTACTATAAACAGTACAAGGAAGCCAACTTTATCGGGTGACTGTAGGAAAAACCAATTTTTACCCCATAAAACCCTGTTCCCATGGTCCGATCATGCTGGATTGCGAACTCATTCAAGTTTATCCTGCCTTACACCTTCAAACCAAATTTCATCAAAATCGGATAAAAATTACTCAAGTTATCGTGTTCACGGACATATATATATATATATATAAATCTATATATATATATATAAACACATATATAAAAATTTGAACGAATGGTGTTTTTGGCCTCTGGGGACATTAAAATGAAAAAGTAAATCGGTCCCGGGCCTAAGTCTTACCATGAGACCTACGGTAATAGCTACTTCCCTATAGGGAAATTCGCTAAAATTGTAGGTTTTTAAACGCTTTGGAGGCATTCCCGTGAATTTTTTTGCAACTACTGTAGCCCACGTTGTCAGTTGATTCGACACGAGGTATTTTCCTTTTTTCCATTATGGGTAGTTATAAATTAGACATGGCAAACATGATGAAATCATTGACTATACACAGAATATCTATTCTGTGTATAGTCAATGGTACAATCCATAGACAAAACATCAATCATAGACTAATCAAAACAAGGATGGGGGTATCTTTAATCTATGGTACGTTTTGCCTCGTCATTGTAATCCCACTTGAGATCAGTTTTTTTTTTAGATCAGTTGAGGAGATTAGTTGAATGACCTACATCCCTAAATTTTTCTCGAAAGCGTTGTTTTAAAGCTAACTATGTCATGGCATCAATATTCTACTTAACCTGTTCCGTATATACCACCAAATCAACCCTTTAGTACGTACCAAAAAGTACTTGTCTAAAATACGTACTTCAAATCGTATCTGACCAATCGCTCCTTTTGGTAGTAAAGGCATCGTTGGCCTTATCGGATCCGATTAGTGTCACTTCTGGCGTCCATCAAGGGTCTCTGTTTGGCCCTTTTTATTTAAGATCTTCATAAACGACATAGCAGATATCCTGGACGTTAGGTTTCTCCTCTTTATATACGACCTGAAACTCTTCTGTGAGATTTCCTCAACAATGTTCACTTTCAGAGAAACCTTGACAATGTTATTCATTGGTGCCGAATCAACTCTATGGAACTGAATGAGAAAAAGTGTGTAGTCATGCAGTTCACACACTCTTCATAGATGAACTGTTTCAATTGCCATATTTGGTATTCAAGTTCTGCAGTCTGTCAATGAGGTCCGCGACTTGGGGATTTTCTTCACATCCAACCTTCACCCTGGCGCTCATATATCTCGCATCAGCTCCAAGGCCTACTCCGTGCTTGGTTTCAGAGCCACCAGAGGACCCTTTTCTCTTACCACCATTAAAACTCTCTTTCATGACTCTCGTTCGCTCAATTCTGGAATACAACTCAACTGTGTGGTCCCCTTACCAACTGGGATTGATTAATGTACTAGCTAGAAAAAGTCCAAACCCGTTTTTTGAGACTGATTAGAGTCAAGATGGGTCTTCGCTACACGGGAGTTGAAATCGACGACATACGTTAGCTTGTAATAAATAGGCAAGCTAATAAACAGTGCATGTAATAAATAAATAAAAAATAAAATATCAAGGCTCATCATGCACGAATTTCGCGGCCGAGTCACTTCTTTGGCGTCGTTCTTGATGAGGACAATGGGCAAGATTCCCCCTATCTAGGAGGTACCGTACTTTAACACGAGCCTTTAATTCGAGTAATATTTGATGTAAAAGATCAAATAAAGATATGTAATGCATAATTTATAATTTTTTAATGCCGGAAGAATAATATGATGGGTCGTCCAGTGGTCGAAAACTCGACCAAAAATAATGTACACGCATATTGACTATTGGATACGGAAGCAGATCCCATCTTTATGGACCAGCTGTTGCTATTTTTTAATTATAAAACATGTAGTTGTGTGAGCTAGTCAAAGAATGCGTGTCTAAAATTATATTTTATAACTAATTATTGTTTATGACAAAGTTGATGGGTCTTGACAGTTGCTTTGCTATAGCTCATAATTAGTCTTTCCATAAGTTTGACTCGGTAAAAAACCTCGTGTATTCACAGAAATCAGTGCAATCTATTGCTGGTGGCTCACATCCAACTACGACAAATGTAATTAAAACTGGCAACAACTTTAACATTGGGATGGAATATGTCTAGTTGTAATTCAAAGGTACATGCTTCTCTATATTTTCACCCCTCCCTGTAAATAAAACATGTGATTGTAATTTCTTCCATTTGTTTTGATTTTCTGTTTATTAGCAAATTTCCCAAATAGGGAATAAGCAATTACCGTAGTACTCATGGTAAGACCTGGACCCGGGACCGATTTACTTTTTCGTTTTGAGGTCCCTAGAGACCAAAAACACCATCCGTTCAAATTCATATATATACCAAATTTCATCAAAATCGGATGATTTTTGCTTGAGTTATCGCGCTAACGGACACACACACACACACACACATATATATATATATATATATATATATATATATATATATATGTCCGTTAGCGCGATAACTCAAGCAAAAATCATCCGATTTTGATGAAATTTGGTACAAACATGTAAACCTACGTTTATTCGAACGAGTTCGCGAACCAGCATGATCGGACTATGGGAACAGGGGTCTATGGGGGATTTTATGGGGTAAAAATTGGTTTTTCCCATTTTTGACCCTAAAAACTTAAAATTTAGCAATTTCTTTCCAAACCATTTTGTAGAGCTTAAAAAAAAAATAATTTAGTATATTGAAGCATTATTGTGCGCCTAATGGTTACGGATAAAATTTAAAAAGAAAACTGTAAATTTAAAATTCCCATGTTATTCTTATGGAGAATAAATAAACCGTTGTAGTTTGCTTGTGACATATTTTGATCCAATTTTTTAAAATACAATAATTTCTTACTAAACTATTAAGATTTTTACAACAAAAAACACTTTTTTTACCCTCCCTGTTGCAGCAAACCTAAGTACTTGTTAAACTAATGCTATTTAAATAGGGAATAAATGTGATATTTTTAAGGAGACATTTTAGTGTGAATCCAATCAGGCAAATGGAAATTCGCTTAGTCTGCAGGTTTGCTGCGGCGGGGGTATATTTCGTTGTTATTTTGTCACCAGCAAGGCAACCCATAAAGCCCATGTTATTTTTTATTTCAAATTCATTTTTTTGCTTATACTCGGGCCTATTTTAACTTTTAAATGGATTCTACACATCTACAGGAAAATATCTTTCTAACGGTATGCGTAGATTTTCCCTGCGATGCACACGAGCTGAGAAAAAAGGTTTTAAAGAAACATGCTTGCCTATTAATATATAGAAGATTGGAAACATAATATGTTGAGGTAAAATGTGTTGAGCTAAAAAAAAGGAGGCAATTTAATAATTAGAACAGCCTTGCCTATTCCGGTTGGTTGTATACTTGTCCACTAGAGTGCACTTCGTATAGGATCTATCTGTCAAACATTGCAAATGTAAACAGTTCCATATCTGTCAAACATGGCAAATGTAATAATGAAATCTTATACAAAAAATGTAAAAAATACCCCCGCCGCAGCAAACCTACCTACTAAGCGAATTTCCATTTGTCTGGATTGAATTTCAATTAAATCTAATTAAATAACATTAGGTTTAACGAGTACCTAGGTTTGCTGCTACAAGGAAACTAATTAAGTGTGTTTTTGGTAAAACATTTTTAGCTTAGTATAAAATAAATCAATTTGCCAAGCTTGATCAAAATATATCCATGAACAAAGCACACTACAACAGAAAACAATTTCCTCCATGAGAATAACATGTGAATTTTGAATTTACAATTTTTAAATTTTTTCAGTTACCAATAAACAGTAAAAAAAACACACTTCAATATACTAAATTATTTTGTTTTTAAGCTGTCAAAAAAATTTAAAAGGCAAATTGGGAAATTTAATTTTTTTAAGCGTCTAAATGAGAAAACCCAAAATTTACTTCGTAAAACCATGGTACAACCCCCATAACACCCCGCTCCCATAGCCTGATCATGCTGGTTCTCGAACTCATTCAAGATTATGCGGCATTACACCTTTAAGCTAAATTTGATGAAAATCGTATAAAAATTACTCAAGTTAACGTGTTCACGGGCGTACACATATTATACAAATTTGAACTAAATGTGTTAGCGAATTTCCCTATAGGGAAGTAGCTATTACCGTAGGTGTCATGGTAAGACTTAGGCCCGGGACCGATTTACTTTTTCATTTTAATGTCCCCAGAGGCCAAAAACACCATTCGTTCAAATTTTTATATATGTATATATATATATATATATATATATATATAGATTTATATATATATGTGTCCGTGAACACGATAACTTGAGTAATTTTTATCCGATTTTGATGAAATTTGGTTTGAAGGTGTAAGGCGGGATAAACTTGAATGAGTTCGCGATCCAGCATGATCGGACTATGGGAACAGGGTTTTATGGGGGGTTTTATGGGGTAAAAATTGGTTTTTCTCACTTCTTACCCTCAAAACACAAAATTTCCCAATTTTTCTCTAAACCTTCTTAAAGAGCTTAAAAAAACAAACAATTCAGTATATCAAAGTGTTTTTGTACGGTTATTGGTTACGGAGAAAACTAAAAAAATGGTAAATTTAAAATTCCCATGTTATTCTTATGGAGAATATTGTAAAATGTTGTAGTTTGCTTGTTTATGGATATATTTTGATCAAACTTGGCAAATTTATTTATTTTATAGTAAGCTATAAATATTTTACTAAAAACACACTACTTTATTAGTTTCCTTGTAGCAGCAAACCTAGGTACTCGTTAAACCTAATGTTATTAAAATATATTTAACTGAAAATCAATTCAGACAAATGGAAATTCGCTTAGTCGGCAGGTTTGCTGTGGCGGGGGTATTTTTTTGCCTCTATGGAGACATCAAAATGAAAAAGTAAATCGGTCCCGGGCCTAAGTCTTACCCAATAGCTACTTCACTTTAATAGGTAAATTCACCAAAACGTATTTTCCTCAAGAGTGACGGAAAAACATTACAGTGGTGATCTAGATGTCATGTAATTTTGCACAACCTCATGACAATATTACTTAAAAATCCCATATGTCCGTAAACTAGGAATTTACTAGCATCGAAGAGTTCTAATTAAAAAATGGATTGCCTTTTTACTCGTTTACGTGCATGGAATCTTCAACAATGCATGGTCATTCAATGCATTTATATCGTTAAAGTTTGGCTCCTTAAGTACGTGTTAGCTTCTTTTGAACCTATAAATATTTTTAAATTCCTTCGGATACGTGTAACTTTTACTAAATGCTTTCAGATCTGAGTGAGTACTGTTATCTTTGGGCCTGATGCAACATTTTTACGTTAGCTTTTGGAGGTTGAAATTATTGGGAGTTATTATTAATTTAATGTGGTTGGAGCCTTTCCATTCGAAGCTATGGAGCGTTCATAATAGAACATCGAATGTCGATTTAAATGACAATTAATTAAGCCTGCTAAAAGAGCAAGCACATACATAGCCTTAAGCCAAAAAATCATTTCCTATTTCGAACAAGCTCGAGACAAATTTATAGAACAGCCATTTTTTAAAGGTGAAATAGTGTGGCTACGTGCTAATTCAACCAAGCCAGCTTGTTTAAAAACAAACTAGAACAGAAGAAGAAGAAGAAGGTGAACTCGAACTGTCTGCTTTTGCTGTGTGAAGGTACATACAATAATTTGGAGGTTAACCTAACCTTTACCTCCAAAGTCCAAAACTGTTCTTTGGCAGGGACAGGGACAGGGACCAATATTAATATTATAACAAACACGGTGAAACTATGAGAAATCTATGGAACGGATAGTAATTTAGTTAGGCCTGTTAATTTATCATCTTAGAAGTACAAAATATGTCCTCCTATAAGTCAGTGAGTATTTTACGTTTGTTACCTTCAAATAGGACTAATTATTCGGTCGGGACAAGAGCTTACCGGTACTACAGTAGTAAAACAAATCAAATTGACATTGAACATCATGGGAGGTAAGCTACAAAATCAAATTCTTGGCCATTGTATGACACTATATTACAATCAATACAGCTAAGCTGGTCAAATGTCATGGATACTTTGTAATCTAGTTTAATTTGTTTGTATTATTAACCCTAGGGATGTAAAAATATGCAAGCCTAAGTTGTTTTTGTTTTTTTACCCAAAAAAGGTGGATAAATTAATAGTCTCCATAATCCTTAGCCTGGGGCCTAAATATAGGCTATCCACAATTTAATTTTAGGAAATCTCTATAAAATCTTCTCTAACTTATCAATATTTTGATGCTAGGGTCTCTGATGGCGACTGCTTGTATTCCCAGCAAATCATCACACAAATCATCAGGGATTTTCAACTGCTTTGCAGCATATACACTATAAGTTAGGTCTAAATCATTGAAATAAAATAGTCATCTAGACTTGATAACACCATAGACCACAGACACACACCATACATACACACATAGACTTGAATAGCCTACGTCATATACTTGATCTAGTCTTATAGCCTACATCAACATCCTAGATCCTCAGATCCGTTCTCCTAACTTACCTTGGATTAGTGACTTCGAACAGGTGAATCACATGCTAGGCTATCAACTAGTGTGGCACTGCTTGCTTTTGCCAGGCCATTTACCAAGAATTCGTTGTTGTCTTTTCTTGAATTATTCTCCCAAGTGAAAGTGTTTAGGGATAATCTAATTATAACTACGACGAAAAAACGAATTTAAACTATAAAATTATGAAATGTATTTCTCAATAGGCCTAATGTTTTCATGACTAGGAACAATATTGGACAACAAAACAGACAGCTGATGGTAAAAATAACAATCACATCATCTGCATGACTATTACAAATAATTAAAAAAGGCAGGCATTTTCAAAACTTTCCCTTGTTTGCATAGTCATACCGAGAGTCCAAGATTTGCAGTCTGACTAGTCGCTGCGACTAATCCGTCATCAACATAGAGTGCAACAATGATTTTTCCAGCAGGGGTAGGACAAAATGTAGACGCAGGGATCTTCACGGCTCTGTCGAAATCCTAAGCCTTTCATGAAGTCGTCAAACCGTTTATTCCAGCATCGCGGTGCCTGTTTCAGGCCGTATAAGCTGCGTTTGAGACAACAAACACGATTTGTCCCATGTGAATATCCTTCAGGCTGCTTCATAAAAATCTCTTCTTCAACGTCTACGTACAAGAACGCAGTTGAGACGTCAAACTGCCGTAGAACCATCTTCTCAACAACTGTGATGGACAATATTGATCGAACGACCTCCAGACGAGCAACCGGACTGAAGGTTTCCGCATAATCAATACTAGGTCTTTGCGCACATCCTTTGATGACCAATCTCGCTCGATATTTGTTAACACTTCCACCAGGATTGCGCTTTATTCGGTAGACCCACTTGTTGTTGATATTCTTCTTTCCCGGAGGGAGTTCGGTCAATTCCCATGCACCGTGTGTATGCATTGATGCAATTTCTTTGTCCATTGCTATTTTCCATTCAGCACTATCTTCTGAACTCTGATGGCTTCAGTGTAAGACTTAGGTTCATCGTCAACAAGAAGAACTTCGGCAAAGTTAGCCGAGACGTAATCGTTTACCCACTCGGGTTGCCTTCTTTCCCGAGTCAAGTGCCGAGTTGCAGGATCGTTGGATAACTCTGCATCTTCACTATCACTGCTACTTGACGGGTTCTCAGTCAGTATAGGCTCATCATTACCCTTCACTGGAGAACTAGGCTCGTCAATAGTCTCTTCAACTTCTTGCCAATCTACTTTGACGTCATTGGTTTTCTCAATCTTGATGGGCCACTCAACTTTCTTGTCACAATCTCCAACAATTTCTTGAAAAACGACGTCACGAGAAACTACGATATCTCTTCTCTCTGGAACATAGATTCGATATCGTTCTTCGCCATCGTATCCAACCAGGTAACCAACCACAGCTTTCCTGTCCATTTTCCGCCTCCTCTGAACAGGAACATGGACATAGCACTTTGAGCTGACCACTCGCAGATGTTTGATCCTCGGCTTTTGACCAAACCAGAGCTCAAAGGGTGATTTTTTGGCAACTGCTGACTTTCCCACTCGGTTCAAAACGTAGCCAGCAGTGATGACAAGTTCCGCCCAGATCGATGCAGGAAATGTTACATTTGGATTGGCATACTTGAAGGTCCGGGCCATTTCGACGATTGTTCTGTTCTCTCTCTCCACAGCACCATTTTGTTCGGGTGTAGGCCTATACGGTGCTGTCAGACGTTGGTTAACACCATATTCTCTTAGAATTTGACGAACTTCAGCGTTGTCAAACTCACCACCGTTGTCGCTGAGAAACTCTCTTGACGTGATGACCAATTGTGCGTGCTTTAGCCAACACTTCACGCAATGCTTCCTTCACAGCAGATTTTTCCCTAAACAGTATCGGTACCTTGAAAAGTGGTCTTTTATGACGATCAAGTATCGGCGACCTCCGAAGGATGGGTCAAACGGGCTGCAAACATCACCGGATAACAACTCACCTGGGGCTGAGGGGCATTCTCGTGTTCCAAATGGTAGACGGTGTGCCTTCCCAAACTGACACGGTTCGCAGATCTCGTAGTTGGCTGGCACTTTGATACCCATTTCGGATTCGAGCTTCGATCGGACGTAGCGTTTATCCATGTGACCCCAGCGCTCATGATATAACTGCAGAATGCGATTGTCTTCTGCTGCATTAGCGCAAACCTCAGATGGTTGAACTGTGTGAAATGAGGCACGATACAAAGTTCCACCACAGTTTTCGAGTACCTTTGAATACAGTTTGTTCGTTAATAGTGAACTGACACTTGGTATTAGTCGATTCAAACCTGCTATTAGGATTTTGATCATGAGCTGCGAGAATGGACAAGTTCCGAGAAACGTCAGGAACATACCAGACATCGTAGAGTGTGAACGTTTCCAGTTTTCCATTTTCATAGTTCGCTACTTCAACTACTCCACTGCCAAGAGCTTTTATAACTTCCTATCCCGCCGCCTTTACTGTTGCGTTCGAGTTTGCAGGAAAAGGTTTGTACTCCGTGAACCAACTCAGATTTGACGTAATGTGCCGCGTAGAACACTGACGAATCCAATGACCTTTCCCCGAACAGTATTTGCACGAAGTGTCACCTTTTGGTTTCCTATTCTTCTGACCACCACTGTTTGTGGCACTAAGAATGTCACCAGCTTTTGAAGTAGGAGCAACATTACGCTCATGAAGGATCAATGCAGATGAAACATCTTCAAGTTTCTTGCTCTCGTTTGCCTTCATAAGTAGGTAGCTAGACTTGAACGATTCAAAACGCTTTGGCAAAATGTGTAACACTTTTGACACAAACAGGAGCTCAAGAAAATCTTCGACTGTTTGGATGTTACGCGTTTTGAGGCCAGCTGCAAATTCACGGTTTTGATTCTTCAATCTTGAAAGCACGTTAGGGGCATCCTCGGTATTATCCCATTCCATACTGAAGAAATTCAAACACTGACGAAACAACTGGTCTTCTGCCTTGCTATCAAACTGCTCTACCAAAATGTCCCACGCTTCCTTAGCTGATAATCTTCCGGAAATACGTTAAGTAGATCATCACTAACGCACTGAGAAATGACTATTTTTGCCTGAGTCGTGGATTTGTTGAATTTATGAAGTTCTTCCTTTTCGGCATTAGTCGGAGGCTCAGAGAGGCTTTTCTTTTTTTCCCTCGACGATATCAACCGCGTCGAACAACTCTAGAACATCCAACACTTGATCTTTCCACGTTGGCCAATCTTCTGCTCCTTTCAATGGTTTTATACCTTTCACGTACTCCATTTGTAGAGCTGGACGAACTCGATCGAAAGATATACCAAAGAAATAATACTCTTGAGACAGAAAATTCCGTCAGAATAAATTGTTCTCACCGTTTGCGTAGTAGACTAGATTTCCCAACACTGTTATGTACTTAAAACAATGCTGGCGACCATAACCTCTTGAATTATTCTCCCAAGTAAAAGTGTTTAGAGATAATCTAATTATAACTACGACGAAAAAACAAATTTAAACTATAAAATAATCAAATGTATTTTTTCAATAATGTTTTTATGACAAGGAACAATATTGGACAACAAAACAGACAGCTGATAGTAAAAACAACATTCACATCATCTGCATGACTATTACAAATAATTAAAAAAGGCAGGCATTTTCAACATCTTTCTACATTGAATACCAGTAGTTGACTGTAGTAGTTTTAAATTAATAAGTAATTTATTTGCCAAATTAACAAATACAATTTGCATTAGCTATGTCAATACAATTCAATACAATACACTGAATACAAATCAGCAACCCTTTTACAATAAATACAATTAAAGGAAAAAATCTTTAAGGATGTTCAGAATCAAAACTCTTAGTCGTCTTGTACAGATCAAAGAGATGATCACCCTTGATCATCATCAGATCGTTGCTCAAGGGGAGTTTCTTTTTACAAGGTTCTTTTATCTGTTTTGTTATTTTTTGAAAGGATATATCAAACAGGTATTTTAGTTTATCGTAGAAGCCCTTAAATTTTTCATCAAGATCATCTGTAGCCAGCATATCTGTCCATGCTTCCTTAGAAAGGTGATGTCTGAAGACCATCTTCTTAGAGTCATTAAATTGCCTGTAGACTAAAGTTTTCCCACCTGGAGGTTTCCTACGTTTAGGGAAAGGTATTTTAACAGTATGCGCGTAGTAATCCGATAGTGTTGAGATGGCTACATCACTTTCAAGGCTAATACAGTTTGTGAAAATGTGATCGATTAAAATTTTGGAATGAAGTGCTTCTCTGGTGTAGCTTCTGACAATGTTGGATAAGCTTTGTTAAGAGGACATGTCTGTCCTGTAATCTGTATCAATTCAATTTTAATAATTCATTAATGCCTTAATTAACTTATTTTATTTAGTAAACTGAGTTTATTATAATACACTTTGCCTATTGGACACAGTAACAACAAACTTAAATTTATGATATAAATAATAAGTAACTTAGATTAATGTTGTCCATATGATTTTGAATGATTTTACATGATCCTTTTAACACTTTTATGGCTATTTCATTTTTTAAATTTTGATGAAAGATTATATTTAATTTGTCAAAAAATTGTGTAATAGTCCCTCTTGTACCAATCATTATGCCAATTACTGATATAGAATTGAGATTATATTTGTTTCTTAAATAGTTTTCACATTTACTATACATTTTTCCCTTTTCTTCATCTACTTCCAAGGGTTGATTTGTTGATATTTCAAACCTTATAGTTGGATCAATTATAATTCCACTTTTAGATTTTGTATCTAAATTGTAGTTTGGTTAATTGCATGTAGGCCTGTGGGTTTATGTAGGCTAATACATAGGCCTATGCTGCATAATGGGCCTAAATATTAAATGGTTCAAACCTATTTTTATATTTTGTTTGCCTATTTCAATATTGTTTGCAAAACTTACCCTACTGAATTTAAAAACAGTCGAATCCCTCAATTTTTTTTAGTTCATGATTTGATAAATTATAATTCTAAAAAATTACTTTCATAAAGAGCTTTTTATGAACTCCCTTTTTTCCTTGAAGGTACAAATAAGAGTGGAAACAAACCAAGGGCCTAGGGGCATAAAAAAGTCTTCAAGAGTTTCAGATCGTTACTCTTAATTTCCATTTAGTCAACTCGCCAACATTACAATAGCTGTAGGCTAAGTACAAGACAAAGCAAAACAAATGTTTGAAACTAAAAAAAAATACATTTTCCACCAAATCCAACTAGGCCTATAATAGTTCAAAATTTTAAAGAAGAGTATTGATAGAGAAATATATATCATCAACTAACGGAAATGCGGCAAGATTGGTTTGTTACAGACAATCTAGCTAAAAATTCACTGAGGACAAAGGTCTATGGTTTTGAATCAACATCTCTACCCCCTCCACTCTGAGCTTGGGGTGGCCAGCCATGACGTCATAAGTTCGGAACCTTTATACGTCAGAAAATCTTGAAATAGGGAGGTCTCGTCATCACAATTAGCACTTAGGCCCCAATTTTTTAGGACCACCTCAATCGTCCACATTTCAGGGGATCTCTCTCTTCTAAACGAAGATGAGTGAACAATGGGTGTTGAGTGAATGAGATGACAGCTTTGTTACCGCACTGAACTAACCAAGATCAGCTGGTTCTTTATCAATAAGCTGTCCACATTTGAAACTTCAAATATTTTTTACTCTTTCCTAGAAACGAACCAGCAATCTTCTAACTAGGCGAGCTCTATATCCACTCAGCTAATAAGCTATACAATAACTAACAATTTGACTTTTATGTGTTTTGTAGTGTGGTAAAGAATAGGTAGGAACAGCTATTTGTCTTGGTAATGAATTATGTAAAATATTGCAAGAAAAGGGGGGAACAGAATGTATTTTATGAAAAGAAAACTGCTGATGTAATTTTAAACTTTTTCAGGGCATCTTTAAAACTATCTACAGGAAAGTATGCTAGATTTGCCGATGGGTGTGCAGTAGCACAACTCGGAGAGACCTCAGTGATGGTGACAGCCGTTTGCAAAACTAAGCCAACTCCCTCAGCATTTCTACCTCTGGTTGTTGACTATCGTCAAAAAGCTGCTGCTGCTGGCCGTATTCCTACAAACTATTTTAAGCGTGAACTAGGACCATCTGAACACGAGATATTAGTCAGTCGTCTGATTGATAGATCATTAAGACCATTGTTTCCAAATAAGTTTTACTTTGATACTCAAATAATGTGTAATTTACTAGCAGTTGACAGTATACACGATCCTGACGTGTTGTGTATAAATGCTGCCTCTGCAGCTCTAAGTTTGTCTGACATTCCATGGAATGGTCCTGTCGGTGCCGTTCGAGTGGGACTTTGTAACGATGAAATAGTAATCAATCCTACACGAAGAGAGCAAGCCAATAGCAGTCTCAACTTGGTAGTTTCTGCCACATCACAAAACTTAGTGGTAATGCTTGAAGCTTCTGCAAACAATGTTCTTCAACAAGATTTCTTAAAAGCAATAAAAGTCGGAGTGAAAGAGTGTCAAAAAATCATCCAATCAATTTCACATTTGCAAAACACTTGTGGAAAACCAAAACGAACTTTTGAAACAAAGACAGAATCGGATGTTGTAATAGAGGCAGTTAAAACATTGTGTGAATTGCGTCTCCGTGAAGTATTTCAAAACTATAAACATGACAAATTATCAAGAGATGAAGCTGTAAGAAATATTCAAACTGATGTGCTAGAAAAACTAAAGGAAGGCATGGAGTCACCTCCAGATCAAGAAACGTTATCCAGAGTATTTAACAACATAACCAAAGGCATTTTTCGTGATTTAATTTTTGAGAGCAACAGGAGGTAAGGCTCATATTATTTACCAATCCTAATTAAAAATTTGCAAGGGTACTTACCCTGTAGTGTAGTGTTATAGATAGGAGAAATACCCCCGCCGCAGCAAACCTGCCGTCTAAGCGAATTTCCATTTGGCTGTATTGATTTTTAATTGATCTATTTAAATAACATTAGGTTTAATGTTATAGGCCCTAATGCTAACCACTGGACATTTTATCCTTGCAGATTACTGAGACTTCTTAGCCTAAGTTACTCTCTTATTGACCTCAACTATACAAAATGTTCTTTTTGTAATTTGTTGTAATAAATTCTTGATTCTTGATTCTTGTTTAACGAGTACCTAGGTTTGCTGCTACTAGGAAACTAATAAAGTGTGCGTTTTAAGTAAAATAATTATTGCTTAGTATAAAATGAATATATTTGCCAAGTTATTTGATCAAAAGATATCCATAAACAAGCAAACTACAACATTTTACAATATTCTCCATAAGAATAACATGGGAATTTTAAACTTACCATTTTTTTAGTTTTCTCCGTAACCAATAACCGTACAAAAACACTTTGATATACTGAATTGTTTGTTTTTTTAAGCTCTTTAAGAAGGTTTAGAGAAAAATTAGGAAATTTTGTGTTTTGAGGGTCAAAAGTGAGAAAAACCAATTTTTACCCCATAAAACCCCCCATAAAATCCTGTTTCCATGGTCCGATCATGCTGGATCGCAAACTCATTCAAGTTTATCCCGCCTTACACCTTCAAACCAAATTTCATCAAAATCGGATACAAATTACTCAAGTTATCGTGTTCACAGACACATATATATATACATATATAAAAATTTGAACGAATGGTGTTTTTGGCCTCTGGGGACATCAAAATGAAAAAGTAAATCGGTCCCGGGCCTAAGTCTTACCATGAGACCTACGGTAATAGCTACTTCCCTATAGGGAAATTCGCTAAAAACTATCTCACAACACTACCCACTAACTACTTTAAGTTTATTTTCTGTTTCTTTAGAGGTATTAACCATTTAACTTCCTTAAAATTTTCAACTGCATGGAAAGTCTTAGAGTAGACAGGACAGACAGTACTCACTAATAGTACCCACCTTGTCTGAAACCACCCTAAGACTTTAAAGAATTAACATTTGATGAGTTAAGTATATTTAATAACTAGCTGTGTACCCGTTCTACGCACGGGGATCTTATAATATTCAGTTGAAACCTTCTTATATAACGAACAGCAGTTGGTTTGCATATTTTAAGATATGCTGGCCAAACTATTATACATAGCTTCATTTTATGTTGTTTTTTGTTGTTCCGGATCGGTATGACAATCAATAAAAGGTTAAATTACCTCTGTGTCTGCCGGTCGATCCTATAACGGTAGGCTTACTTTTATTTTTACTATCTGATCTCGTTTGCATGGCTCAATCACGTCCTGGTTGAAGTTCGTTCGCTACGCTCACTCACCTGTATGTTGGAGCTCGTTCGCTGCGCTCACTTTCCTTCAGGTTAGCTCGTTCGCTACGCTCACTTGCCTTCAGGTTAGCTCGTTCGCTACGCTCACTCGCCTCCAGGTTGCAAATTAGCTGTTGTCATAAATGTAAAAGAAATAATAGTGCTAGTGCTGCACCCTGTTGGTAATCCTTGTAACTTTAATGCTATTGAACATCACAGAACAGAACCAACTTGTTTAATTGAAACAGCTGTTAAGATTCAATAATTTCATTTCTCATAAGGTTAACATGGGCTTCCAGAAATTCCACGTCAAAAATCGACAAAAACTTGATTTTCAAGGGTTTACTGTTAAATATCTAACTGTCTCATATTCGATGAAATACGTCTAAAACCATCTCATATATGTATAGTATTTGGAAAATAAGTTTCAGGCGGGACAGTGCTATAGTTATTGAGGAGTAGTTGTAATAAAGTGCGTATTTTAGCGTTACCAAGAGAATGACAGATAGACAGACAGACAGACAGACAGACAGACAGACAGAAATTGAGATAAGGTTTGATTCGGTTTCTCTGACCTATGAAATGTAAAAATAACCAAAAAGTTCATTATTCTAAGCAATGTACAGACAAAACTCTAATTTTATTTATATAGATGTTTTCAAACATTCCCTTGACTCTTACAAGAGATGTAGGTTTCTTGTTATCTTGGACCAAGTCTGTCACTGCATTAATACTTCCCTTTTGGGGAAAACACTAAATTTTATTGTCCTTCTCATTAATTAATTTTGTATTATAGAGATTAATAACTATATTATATATTCAATGCTTCATTATTTTCAACAGATTCAGCTATTACATTATTCAACTGTGCAATATAATCTGCCCAGACAATAGATCAATCAAGTGTCTTTGTTTTGAGTGAAGGTGTGACGGGCGAGATATGGACCAGTTAAGGGACATCTCTTGTGAGGTTAATCTCTACAAGCCTCTACATGGCTCAGCTTTATTTCAAAGAGGACAGACACAAGTGTTATGCACAGTTGCTTTGGACTCTATTGAATCTGCCTTAAAACCAGATCCTGTTTCTATGCTTATGAGGTAAGTCATAAGGTTTTGGCTGAGTATAGGTATATGTTCTCTCAACTAATAATAGCCTATTATCCAATAGTCTATTATATAATATAGGACATTAGACTTATTAATGTAGGGAGTGTGGAATGTGTCAATATCTAGGGGGAGTCTCCTACAAAGTATCTTCTTCATAGGCCATACACTGAAAACGCATCATTGAAAGAATGGATGAATTATTATGAAGTCGAATAAATATGATTTAATATACAGTTTATTCGTAAAAAACATTGCCTACAACTGTTCAAAGATAAACCCATCCAAAGCTATAATACTGAACGAGAGTAATGACTGAACAAAAGCAAAGTAATCCATTTTTAATTCCTTTACTGTCAAAACTTCTCTTATGTGTTTGAAAACAAAAATTACTTTTCTAATTTTGTTTATCCGATACTTCAGTTAGCAAAGTACATTTCCAAGTGGGCCGGACTATCAAATTTTGGATAAAGGATAGACAATAGACAAGCATTCTTTATTAATTTAAAAGCCAGTACCTAAATATGGTACATTTAATAGTGTCATGAAAAAATGAAATGTTATTTAAAGTCAGTAATGAAATAAATGAAGACATTGAGGATATTGACCTCAACTGAATAAAAAGCGAGTTCTACTAGTTATTATTTTAACTTAGCTTTAACCCTGTTAAAATTATCTTTTATTTTTGTGGATTTTTTTGACTTGGAAATTTCTAAGTCATTTGACAAACTAACGGTATTTTGAAAATAACATCATCCTCAAAGAGACATAATGCTAAGGCTGGCGATACTTGGAGTGGTTTCTCCATATGGTAATTAGATAACAAAGACACAAAAGCGGCCCTAGAAACAAAACCCACCTATGTTCTAATCTAAACCCCAGGGTTGGAAATCTTAAGTCTACATATGTACATATAATACTTTGAAAACTCAGTTGGGGCCTATATCAGAAATATTTATTGACAATTTAAGTAATATTTTGATACAATACAAAATACAGTATTTCAAAAGTTTGAAGTAGGCCTATTGAAAAAAACCCTTGGTGTCATCGAGACAGTGACAATATCCTTATAAAAGCAAATAATAGCTATGGCAAATTTATAACTTTAAAAATGGTACTGGAGCCATTATAACAGTTTTATTGATTTCTCTTAACTCGTTTTGCTTGGCCAATTTCTTGAGGATAACCTCCAAAGACACCCTTATACTTTGCAGCTTCATTATCATACTCAGCGTTCACTTCGTAGCGCTTTACTCGTTTATAAGGCGCATTCTCATCAAATCTTTCTCCAAACGATTCTTCATATTTTTCTCTGTCATCGTTGTAATCTTCATTTTCTCCTCCTACTTCATTTTCATTTTCTAAGGAGTCCAGCTCATTTGGATCTTTCAAATTGTGATCTATACTTGGCAAACTCTCCTGAGATTGTTCATAATCTGCATTTCCATCAACAGATTCATAACTTGCATCATTTGTTTCAACTTGTGCTCCTCTGGTTCCAACCCATATTATGCAAAGAATAAGTAAAGTTTGCATTTTTTGTTTTGTTTTAAACAACAATATTAAATCCAAACCAAACAAAGTTTTAATATTGAGTTATTTAGTTCAACAGCTGTCCCAATGCATTACAGATTTAAATGTAATCACTTGGTTTTGCACAGAAAACAATAATCATGTATGTATGATGAATTAAGCAAAGGGTGAGGAAGTAGAATTATTCTGAAAATTAATGCAATGTCTTAGAAATACCAAAGACAGTGGTAATGATAGAAATACAAAATGAATTTATTTAACTATAGTGATAACCCTTTAAAAATTGAATTATTGTCAAACTTCAAGTTTCTTACCTTATTTTTGTAAATATGATATCATTGATATCACATATCTTTGTGGTCTTCATTAAAACTCCTCATATTATATAAGTTGTATTATGTTAATTTTTTAAAGGATATGTATACAATTATTTACATTAATTGAAAATTAATGTGACATTATTGGAAGTACAGTACCGGTACTAGACTTTTTTCTTCTGTGTTTCTTCTCTGCAAAAAAAGTCACTTGATCTATTTTGTCAGAAAATATGTAAGATCAGAACTAAATATAGTAAAACATGATGAAGACATATGTTTAAAGTTTAATTTTTATGATTTTTTATGTTTAATTTGCAGTGGGATAAAAGAGAAGAATTTCTTCCTACATTACGAGTTCCCTCCGTTTGCCACCAATGAGATTGGCCGGACGGGACCTTTTCAGCGCAGAGAGCTTGGACATGGAGCTCTGGCAGAGAAGGGAATCAGGCCAATAATACCCAAAGACTTCCCTTTTACCATCAGGCTAACATCAGAGGTGCTGGAATCAAATGGTAACTAATACTGTTTAAATTGATTATTGCTGAACCCTCAGGGACTGGACAAATTGTGGACTTGGTTAAGGTTTAAAAAAAAAATGATCTCACTGATTCATAGAGTGTAAGACTGGATATTAGTTATCAATTAATTACTTATGTCTAATAACAAAGAGGCAGAAATCTCCACACTTCCCTGACCTTTAGATTGCAATAATATTGTCTCACTTTAGAAACTTACATGTCAAGAAGCTTAAAATACTAGTAGCTCTGATTCTGCTTTTCAACAGGGTTCGAACAAAATACATAGGCTACCTACATTATATTAATAAGTCCTTATAGATGTTGCACATACAAGTATATTACTAATGATTATGGAATGTTATATATTTTCTATAAACAATGCCATAACCCTAGAATAAACTCCAATTAGTACAGTTAATTAATAAATCCTTTTAAAGGCAAGTAAGCAACCCACAAGAAAACCACAAAATATTTTTTTACACATTTTATCTAAATGTAAAGGTTGTGTGAAATATGATTCCCTACGTAGAAATATCAGTGTTTTTGAAATAGTCATAAAAAATAAATTCTACATACATATTTTCTTTTTTGAAAAACAACCAAAATTTTTGTTGTCATGTAGGAAATAATTGAATGCATCAACAGAAAATAAATAATATGATAGGCTACTGCATAGTAGAAAAAAAGATCTTTGTGAAAATATAAGTTATATGTAGTTGAATTCTAACATTTCTGAGTTATTTACGTCAAAATGTAAAATTTTGAAGATTTTTTACAAATACATAATTTTTATGACATTTTTAAAGCCAAATAATTTTTTTGCAATCAACCTCATAGATTCAGAGGGAATTGTAGGGAATTTATTGTAGTTTCAGAATATGTAATAATATTGTATACAATTTAGTTGTCGACAAATTTAACAGCTGTTTTTGTAGTCAAGTGACCAAAACTTTCCACCGCCAAAATCTGTTTTGAACTCTCTAGTTTTTCAAACTATGTTACTCGCTACATAATACCATAGACAAAAAGAATTAAATATAGACTGTCAGCCGTGCTGCAGTTACCATATGTTCTGGTGCACACCGCTGGGAGCGCTGTGTAGTTACGTAGCAAGTATGCCGTAACTACATGGCGCTCCAAGCGGTGTGCGTCAGAACCCATGGTAACCGCAGAACGTCTGACGATCTGTAGGATTTAATTATTTTTGTCTTTGATAATACTCGCTCAATAATGTTTTATACATGAAAATTAGTCCTCAGAATATCATCTTTATAATGATATAAAATTCATTGTGATTTAAAACGGTTTTCATAATTTAATAATAGAAAAATCCGACCCATGTGGTCTTGGCCAATTAATCGACCAGCACCACCAAAACCACCACCACCACTGAGGACTCGTTTTAATGGTTGATAATCGACCATCGCCAGATCTACGGTTAAAGAACGCAACTTAGCCTTTGGTCAAAATATTATAATAAGAAACGGTACATGTAAATCTTGAATACAAATTTATACAAAAAGTTTGCTCATTTCATTTTTTTTTTCATCCCATTGGTTGTAGCATTGACTATACACAGAATAGACTTCCCATGTAATCTTACAATTTGAAGCCAAGAAAATAGATGAAGTTTGGGACCATCTCACCAGAGGGTGCTAGTGTATTGGGTTAAATATGAATTAAAATCAATGCAGTATCATTGCAAACAGGTGATCGATTAATCACTTGTCATAGAATATTGCCAATTGGTAGACCATCTCTACAGATTGCACCACGCTTTTTTTGCTTAAAATTTGTTCAAATACTTGGGAAGTCTATTTTGTGTATAGTCAATGGTTTTAGCAAGATAGATACACATACAGCCATCGTGTCTCTGTTATAAAATGTTCAGTCCCACAAACTCGGTGCAATCAGGACCAGAAGGTGGATTGGTTTGAGAAAATACGGGTTCTCTGAAAAAAAGGGACAATAATTTAATCTGACATACGGTACTCAACATTTTTTTGTTTTAACCTTAAAACTATTTGTCAGGGAAATCTTAGTCTTCTTACTTGACTGGGACGGTGACGGCGTCCTGTAATCTAGCTACTAGGAGGTCACGAATTGTGGATATTTATAGGCATGCACTGTGGATGTGATACTCCCTGGTGTGGATTAACGTCCACACTAGTGAGTACTATGACTAACTGCAGTACTATCATGATAATTAAACCAAGTCGTTAATACCAAGTCAAAAATGTGGTTTGGATTCCACTATAAACTGTAGTTGCCATTAGCTATATGGGCTTGGGCTATTAATTAACATCTGTGTCTAAGGAATATGTCGGCCTTAGTCACTAACAAGACTACAAGATCGCGCCACTCATCCTACACTCATGTCCATTCATACTTGGCTTAAATACCTACTTTGTATGGTCGCTATTTCAATGAAAAGTATTAAAACGTATTAAAAGTGTTACTGTAAAAAATTTGGTTACAAGGGTTGAGTAGCTGAGTGGTTGAGCCTTATCTACTTCAACAGCAGTAACAGCACTAATATCAAAAATCAAAACTATCACCCAATTGTTAGATCTTATTTTTAGGCATCACTAACCTTGTTGAAAAAGGAGTCCTTCTCACAATATGTCCACTTCCCACACAATCACAAATAAAAAACAAAAAAAAACTTAAGTTGTCTATTTCCGACGTTTTGCCGTACTATTGCCAACTTGCAGCGTTTTCAGGGCTACCTTACTTTTCTCAAGGAAATCATAATATGTATGCTCGGTTCCCTGCTATTCATACCAAAAGGCGATTCCTTGTCAACACTACTCCTCCGTTAATAGTGCACGGATTAAAAAAAAATGTGTCAAAATTAAAAGCTTTTAAAATGTTGAATCCCTCTTTCACTGATTCATGTAATAAAAGTACTCAGGCTTTACCCACAGGCCTTCAAAGTTATACTGCATTCCTTAGAGAGAAATATTATATTATCTTGAACAGATTTATTATCTATGTATTAATGGGCAAGCATATTTCTTTAAAACCTGTTTTCTCAGCTTGTGTGCATTGTAGGGAAAATCTACGCATACTGTTAGAAATATATTTTCCTGTATATATGCAGAATCCTTTTATAAATTAAAATAGACTCAAAAATAAGCACAACGAATTAATTTTATATATTAAAAACAATTAGTGTAGGCGTTATGAAATGGGTTGCAATGCTGGTGACGAAATATAAACAGAGAGAGAGAGAATCAAAACAAATGAAAGAAATTGCAATCTCGTGTTTTTTTTACAGCGTTGGGTGAAAATAGAGAAGTCTGTACATTACATTTTTTTGGTCGAGTTTTTGACCACTGGTTTTCGGCCTCTAGTAAGGATTAATAATTGCATACTAAAACATCTGTTGATATTATGGAGCACAACACATGATAACTTAGAGCTTACAATTTTGTTGGCTGAATGAATATTAATAAACTACACCATGAAGTCATCAACATCCTCATACAATATGTAATGCAATTTTTGTGAACGCAACTCCTCCCTTATTTTTTAATTTAATATTTAAGGTGTCAATAAACTGTCCTCGGTTTATAGTTTTACAATAATGCTTTAGATTTTATATAAATCTGTTCCAAAAGGCACAAGCGGCCGATAAAGTTGGTTTTTTGTGCACAAGATTAACATGGACATACGGTAGTAAAGCAGTTGCAGTTCGCAGAAGCAAAATATTCTCTACTATCAAACAAGAATCCTTATAACAATCATACATGCTTCAATGCATTGTTAATATGTTAACAAGGTTCAAAGGAAAACGGCTAGAATTCCAACAACAACAAACAAAACAACAATCAAAACTCAGTGCGTAATTTTACATGAAATTCCATGATGCAAGAAGAACTCGAGCAGGAAACAAAGTTGCATCTATTGATTGCCAGGTACTTTTACCTAACTCTTTTCAAGGTAGTTTGTGCAATCTACACATAGAAATTACTTAGGTGCAATGGTTATTGACTGTCAACTAGGAAACCCTGACTTCTTCAACCCGAATTTGGATTAAATCAAATTCAATTCTAAATACAATGATGTTTTATCTATCTTCACAGTTTAACAATTGAAGTCAAAAGCAATGTGTACAAATACAATTAGATATGATTTGAAAAGTCAATGTTTGATACCTTAAAAATTGAAGTTGAACAATTAATAAAAGAGGAGGTGCGTCCACACAAAACTATGCTCTAACATGTGAATGGTTGATTTAAAGTATATCTTTGATAGACTATTGGAGCACATTGTGCTGCACAGACCCCCAAGCACATAATAACATATCCTGGGTTATTGTTTGGTTAGGTTCCTCTTCAATGGCGTCCGTATGTGGAGGCAGCTTGGCCCTGATGGACGCTGGAGTGAACGTGTCGGCACCTGCTGCTGGGGTGGCTATTGGTCTGGTCAGTCGGTACAACGCAGACGATACCAAACATATGACTGACTACCGTATACTCACTGATATACTGGTGTGTAGGCCTACTCAGTGGACAATCAAGACATAGAGATTATAATTGGACCGGCAGGTCTTCTTTACCACTATAAACTCTAACAAACTAAGTAAAACTATTTGCTTTAATAGATAAATTAAAACTATTATGAATTTAATTAATTAAAAACTAGGTGAAACCCGTCGAAATCGACGGTTACTTTCAAGGCTTCTAAATCATCTAACTGCGATAAATTGGGTGAAATATACATATTTTGAGCATTTAGCATTGTTTAAAGAGTAATAAGTGTAAAAACAATCATGATTTTAATTGCGTTAGTTGACACATTTAGTTGATCATTCAATGAATAAAATATTCCCCATACGTAGGCCTACTTCATCGGAGTTATTATTAGTATGTTATATGGTATCTCTTCCTTTGGAAGAACCTTTAAATAGTATTAAAATGAACTCGGCAAAGAGAAACAAAATTTAACTCCCATAAGAAATACATGGGGAGCAAATTTCGTTTACGTAGAAATCGCGTGGAATTATAGATACATTGATGCCGATGCTTGATGGCAAATCTGTACGTGCATACCTTCAATTCGAGACCTCAATCATGAAAATCGATCGGGTAGAAGAGCCAAACGAACTCGGCAAAGAAACCCCAAATTTAACTCCCATAAGAAATACATGGGGAACAAATTTCGTTTACGTATAATCCGCGTGGGATTAAAGATACATTTATGCCGATGCTTGATGGCAAATCTGTGCGTGCATAACTTCAATTTGAGACCTCAATCATGAAAATCGGTCGGGTAGAAGAGCCAATCGAACTCGGCAAAGATAAACCAAATTTAACTCCCATAAGAATAACATGGGGAGCAAATTTCTTTTACTTATAAGCCGAGTAGGATTATAGATAAAAATATCCCGATGCTTGATGGCAAATCTGTGCGTGCATACCTTCAATTTGAGACCTCAATCATGAAAATCGGTCAGGTAGAAGAGCCAATCGAACTCGGCAAAGATAAACCAAATTTAACACCCATAAGAATAACATGGGGAGCAAATTTCTTTTACGTATAAGCCGAGTAGTATTATAGATAACTATATTCCGATGCTTGATGGCAAATCTGTGCGTGCATACCTTCAATTTGAGACCTCAATCATGAAAATCGGTCGGGTAGAAGAGCCAATCGAACTCGGCAAAGATAAACCAAATTTAACTCCCATAAGAATAACATGGGGAGCAAATTTCTTTTACGTATAAGCCGAGTAGGATTATAGATAAATATATGCCGATGCTTGATGGCAAATCTGAGCGTGCATACCTTCAATTTGAGACCTCAATCATGAAAATCGGTCGAGTAGAAGAGCCAAACGAACTCGGAAAAGAAAAACCAAATTTTTTTAATATATAAGAATTATATAATATATAACAACATTGGTTTCATTGATGTATAGGCTACAATGTTCCCCATCTATATGGACCAGGTATAGCTATTTTTTGTATTAAAAAAGAACATGGTTAAATGAGTCACTCACAGAATGAGCTACAGTCTAAAATTCTATTTTCACCCTTTGATTCGTAGTTTTAGCTAATTGCCCCTATAGAAGCTATTACTGTAGGTGGCATGGTAAGACCTCTAGACCTTAGACCAATTTACTTTTCCATTTTGATTACACTAGAAGCCAACAATACTCATCAAACATAAATAGTAAGCTATATTCATACCTTACCTTACCTGCTTAGTAATTAAGTTTTTGTCCTCTCCACTATGTTCTGTCTTCTGTAGCTTGAAGTGCAGTGCTAAGTCTGGTATTGTTTTTTTAACTTACCTAGTCCTTCCAACTCAATTCGGTCTCCTAAGTGGTCTTCTTCCAGTCCAAAAAAGTCCAGTAAAAGTTTCAGTTCTTCCAGTGGTCTTGATCCTGGCTTCTCAGGTCTCTTGATTAGTTTCTGACTATCCACTAATAACTTATGAAAAATCAAACATCAATATTCCAAAGCATATATGAAAAACACCTTGTCTTAGGGAATAGAAGATTACATGGGGGATATGGACTTCAAGCTTGCTGGTACAAAGAAAGGGATTACAGCTTTACAAGTGGATGTGAAGATCCCTGGGTTGCCTCTTAAAGTAGTCATGGAAGCTGTACAGGCGGCCACTGAGGCTAAATCCAAAATCATAGATATCATGAATCAGGCCATCAGCAAGCCCAGGTAAATAGTGCTACTTAACAATATTCTTTTACAAATTTCAATATAGTTAGTTGTTTAGCCTTCTTTCATTTTTAGTCCAGTTTCCATTCAGTTCCAGTTTCATTAGTTAGGCACTCAACATTGTGAATAATACATTTTAAGCCTCTTTTAGCGAATTTCCCATATAGGGAATAAGCAATTACCGTAGTACTCATGGTAAGACCTGGACCCGACACCGATTTTCTTTTTCGTTTTGAAGTCCCTAGAGGCCATAAACACCCTACGTTGTTTGCCCAACGGTTACGGAAATAAAAAATAAAAAAATTAAATTCTCATGTTATTCTTATGGAGAATAAATAAGCGTTGTAGTTTGCTTGTTTATAGATATATTTTAATCAAATTTGGCAATTTTGTTTATTTTATATTAAGCTATCAACATTTCAATAAAAAACACACCTCAATACCTTCCCTGTAGCAGCAAACCTAGGTACTCATTAAAATTAACTAGTGGTCGTCCAGTGGTCGAAACTCGACCAAAAATATGTAGGCCTATTTTGGATTTTTTAGATAGAAGTGGTTGAGGTATGTTGGAATATCTTTGAGGACGTACCTTTTTGGCTGTAGTGAGTGTGATCATGTGTTCAATGTTCACATATAAATTTTTTAGGTTAAATAAAAACAAACAAACTGGCATGTTGTCAATTAGGGACAATTGTTGTATTACTTACGAAAAAAGATTCATCAAAATAAATTAATTTAGTATATGTCACTGTCTGATTTAGAAAACATTCAGTATTTTGGCTACTGCATTTTATAAACCAAACTCGAATCTTGCTTCCTTGGCCTATCGTATAACGTTTTCCTGTTGGGTACTTGGTAAACGTATTGCATAAGTGAATTATCAACAATATAATTTAGCTGTTAATTAATTATAATTTAAATGGGTCAAAACTCAAAACGTTAGTCTATAAAGGCTTATCTCGTCAGCTCAAGAGTATATAATTCTGACCCCTAACTTGAAACCCTTAAAAGGTGGGTTTGGTCATAAGAATTTCCAAACAAAACGTAAATCATCATTATGTCCCAACAGTTTATCATGTGTATCCCAGTCAAAGCAACTACTTTATTCTATTAATATTATGATCAACATTTATGTTGCAAGAAGATACAATTTTTTAATATTTGCTCATTTAAATAATTTTTTTACAGTAACCATAACTTAATTTGAGGACAATAATTAAATAACAATATATTCTTTAGTTGATTTGGAATTAGGAATCACGTCTCTATTTCACAGTAAATATCCTCGAATGGCCAAGTGATTTATTTAAAGTAGAGTAAGTATATTTAAATATTTTTAATTAAAAGAATATATTATGCCAGTTTATGTGTTTTGATTTAACCTAAAAATTTGACACGTAGGTACACATGATCACACTAAAAAGGCTTCAAAGATATTCCACCACACCTTAACCGCTTTAAGCTAAAAAATCCAATTGCACTGTACAGACTCTATTTTTCACCCCATACTGTAAATAAAACACGTGATTGGCATTTCTACTATTTGTTTTGATTTTCTGTTTATATTTCGTTACCAGCATGGAAACCCATAAAGCCCATGTTAATATTTTTCAAATTTCAAATTCATTTTTTGTGCTTATTTCTGAGCCTATTTTAATTTTTAAAGGGATTCTGCACACCTTCGGAAAAATATCTTTCCAACAGTATGCGTAGACTTTTCCTGTGATGCAAAAAGGTTTGAAAGAAACATGCTTGCCTATTAATATATAGAAGATGTTATTTAAATAGGAAATAAATCTCACAAGTTTCAGGGAATATTTGAGTAAAAATCCAGCCAGGTAAATGGGAATTCGCTTAGTCTGCAGGTTTGCTGCGGCGGGGGTATTTAAAATAATTGCACCTAAACAAATTAACCATATGAAAATGTGTATGATTTCGCTTTGCTAGCGAATATATACTTACTATTACTTTATACAAGGGGTGTGCAAGTAATGGATTTATGATTTGAGTCAAGTCAAGATTACAAAAAACCTGATAGCTCCTCAGCTTTTTAACCCTCCAAGTGTCTCTAGTTTTGGTCTTAATGTTCGCCCATTTATTGCGCAATCGCAGGGTTTTATTAAAATGTATCTTAGAAACTTAAAAACAATGTAAAGTATACTGTTTTATATATCATTTTGTTTGGAAAATTATGGGCTTCAATGTAACATATATAACATTACAAAAAAAATGTTCAACAATTTTTGTGGGGTTAACATTTCTCAAAAATTATAAAATAAATAAAAAAAATTTATGTTTGCGCTCATTAAATTGTTATAATTTATAGGTCTACAAATATTTTAAAATAGCCACTTTGTTCAGAATTTTATGAGGATTCCAAAAATATAGTAATGTAAGGAAATAGGTTTGCAAATAAAAAAGTTATGGGCAAAAAACAGATTTCGGTACATAGCGTTTAGCTAAGAATGCATAGCCTAACCATAGCTAGGAATCTGGCTGATAATTTACATCAATATCACTACCTACTTCTTCAGGATCATCAACCAGCCCTTCAAAATCACTTAAATCTTCTTATAATGCACCACGTATATCACTACTTTTGATTTTTAACACTAAAACAATGATAAACGTAATAAAACACATCAGTCATCGGTGCGAGGTTAACCAAGCTGTTTACAAATACGCACGTCAGCTGTCTGCTACAATATTTTCGGAACTAAAATGAAAAGCGTATAGAAACAGACATCAGGAGAAAGCTCTGAATCTGCTGAAAAAACGATACCTAACTCGATCCAGTTCAATCCGATTCAGTCAGTCCCAGAGCCGTCGCCGTAAACAGTGTTTGTGAGTCGCAAAAGCGACACATAACACTACAGCGGATGTGTTATGAGTCCTTTTTACGACACATAACACTCGGAGGGTTAAAAGCTCTAGTCGAGCCAAGTACTGAGATACTTGCTCAAAATACTCAACTAATTGTGTACTCGCACACCCCTACTTTATACTAGAACAAAATTTATTCATGCTGTGTAAGTTGTTAATGACACATTGTTTAAAAAAGTTATAACTAGCCTACTTTAAACTTGGGGAGAGATAGTATTACAAAATAAATAAAAAAATTTAGGTCAATATTTATACTGCCTCAGAATTGGTTTAATGTTATTAGATTTCAAATTAATGCATTCCCAAAACCTGGTTTATAAATTTAAAAATCTGTTTTACTTAGGGTACCAGCTGTACAGACTGGAACCTTTTGCCTAGCAGCTTCTTTGACAAACTCAAATGGTTAGTAGTACCATTGACTATTGGATACTGAACTGACCAATTTAAAAACACTTGAACAAAATTGGAAGGCAAGTAGCAGTGGCTAAACACACACACATATTTTTACACAAATTATTATTGGCTTTTTTATCTTGTTTTTACCTAGTGAGCAACAAAACGAAACTAAAATAAATCCAAGCTGGTGGGGAGAAGCTACACAGAGAAAGGAAACCAGTGGCTTATCAAGTTCAAAAGGAAAAGACTAATCTAAAGTCAAGTCAAGTCAAAATATACTTTATTCATAATATGCACATGTACATTGAACATGAACATAGTCAACTAACAATGTGGCCGTCTGGCCGTTTGATGGACGCAATTACATTCAAGGAAACGAGCATTGAACTTTAAACGTGGGTTCGGATCCTGGTCACTGCCACTAAAATTTATCTGTACAGTTCACCTTCATACTGTACCGGCTTACCCCTTGCTTTGCTGGATACGTTCCACGCACAGATCTGTAGTCTATGTGGACGGGCAAATGCAAGGTTAAAAGAGGCCGCCAACCTCTTAAAAAAATCGGACAACACAGCCAACCGTGAACCACAGCCCCAAGAAGCCAGCTTTGATAAATGCAAAAATTAAATTAAATCATTGTTACTGTGGAATTATTAACTTTCAATCAAGACATTAACTAACAGAACAAAGTTGACCCGACACAACGTGAAGGATTAATTTATGCAATATTGATATCTAAATGTTGACACTGAAGTTAAAATTAACATTAACTTATTGAGCCTATGAAATACTTGGAATAAATTATGATGAAACCACCATATCTCAACAGGGCCTTACCCCGCCTATCCCATGAGTCTAGTCAGCCATTTTGTCTGTTTTGCAGTTGATCACTGACTCAGACTCTGTTCCGTGATCCACGTGATATGCTCCAGCGCATGCGCGAGAGCCACGTCTTGGGTTGGTCAAGGGCTTGACTTAAAAACTATTCACATCTTTTGACGGGATATTGAAGTGGCTGTTGATGTAGAACTCACAATAAAAATCACAACAATAAAAACAAAATTCAAATAAGATATATGAGTTTAATATAGTCAAATAAAGAGTTTTTTTAGTTCTCTTCAAAATGTATTTCTATGAGGGTATTAAGTAAGTGCCGGTTTTGGGTATAAGTAAGTAGTTCGCTTGTACGCCACAAGGCTCATCAATTCTGCACTTTCCACGTATCTTTGCATCAGGGTAATAATATCCAGTCATCTGGCAATATATCAGCATCGGATATGTAATCAAAAAACTTATCACTGACCTTACCCCGGACACAGACAGGAGATTTGATTGTTTAACCATTTTTTAAACACAAAGTGAAGTGTACACTACAGCTAAAGAGCTGAAATTTGTGTCATTCTGTTCACAAATAATGCCAGTAATTGGTGATGAGCCCCGTTGTAGCGTACAAGAGAACTACGGGGTTATGAGCAAAAACTGGCCCTTACTTAAAAAAACTGCCCTCGTATTTTACCTCTTTCATTACCGCTTGGAATTTTCCTAATATTTATGTTAATAATGGATTTTTTGAAATTTATAATTTTGGCTGTTGTATACAAGTGTATTTCTTGGAGGGTATTTGTGTCGTTAAGTGTTAAGATTCCCATATATATAAAAGCTTGCTTGGCTGAAACTCTTCTCTCAAGGAATTGTATGCAATTTACACCTGCAATGCAATGATATTGATTGACGCAATACTGGTCTTTTTTCCCCACAGGCAGCCAAAAAAAGAAAATTGGCCAATTACAGAAATTTTAGATGTCCCAATCCATAAAAGAAGTAAATTAATTGGACCAGGAGGCTGCAATTTGAAGAAAATCATGATTGAAACTGGTGCTCAGGTAATTTACATTATCGTCTTCAAAATCCTACAATTAAATTGTATGCAGCAATTATCATGAAAGTTACATTGTTGTTAACATAATCCAAAAGAAGCATAGGTAATAAAAAGCATACTGTAGTAAAACTCTGAAAACAAAAATGTCGCTTATTTATCAGGGCCGCGTTAAGGGTCAGTAGAGCCCTGGGCAAACCCAAAAGCAGCGCCCCCTTTTTTCCTAGTGCGGGCGGACGGTGGTTGGGGGACACACGGTGGGCGCCCCCAAACCTGCCCGTTTATAAAAGTGGGTCTGTTATTTATTACTCTATGTCAATGGACTTTCCATAACAGTCCGGAAAACAGATATTGGACGCCTGCTTAGTTGAACGGGATTTAATTAAGCACTACTGTACAGTGCTTGATGTATAGGTTTGACCTAAAACGTTTTTTAAATAGCCTTTTAATTTTTTTAGATTCAAAAGGATTCATTATACCACATTGTTTACTTACTTTACATGACCAATGGAGTTCAAGGATTGAGAGAATAGAAGTAATATAAAATTCTAATGCTTCATACGCCAACTTATCAGCTGGCAATGACCAGCACCAGACACTTGTTGATCTGCCGACATCAGCTGGAAACTCACATTCTTTTTTTAACTAAAATTTTCATTGATTATCCTTTACTGATAGTAATTATAATTAAAAAACTACTTTAATCATGTTGGTTTTTATTTAAATGTTGTAAAAAAAAAACATTTTAATACATTCAGTAGGGTTAAAAATGTACTGTAATGTCCCTTGTACCTGAAACAGATTACCTATGTTAAGAATGTGGCTTATTCTTACAACATAATAATAACCAACAAAACAATACCGTCACTGTAATATATTTGAATATAAGATGAAGCAATACTTGTCCACTCAGCCACAGGCATCTGTTTGCACAGTTAAGATGTTAGGGGTAGTAGAGAAGTGTACAAGTACTAGAAGTTGGCACAAACGTGTGCATGGTATGCAACAGGCTAAAAACAATCAGAAAGTTCAGTCCAGGGTAAGGCTGATACTTTCAAGTAGATGGAATGTCCATGGTGTAAGAATGTAGATGTAGTCAATAAATACACATTTTACAGTAATAAACTGCCGCGGCCGATACGGGCGGGACTAACACGGAGATGGTTACATATCGGGAGCTGCTGGAAGACTGTGAGGAAAAGCCGGGAAAATAGGAGCGTGGTCAGGCTGTGTTGTGATTGGTCGGTTGAGGGTGGCGTGATGATTGGACCACGGCAACGGTTTATTCACTCAACACTGCCATCATGATACATACATTGACAATAGTTATATACAGCAAGGTGTACTATATGAAATACACTACAGTAGACAGGGGTAAAAAAAGCAGTTCCTCAACATTCCTGTGAAGTAATGAGTAAAACGGTTCCAGGCCAAAACTATTGTCCTAGAATGTGAATGCAGTACATTAATAGAACATGGAAGTAAAATACAATTTTACGATGTTTGGTTGTCCACGCGTAGGGTCGGATAACACAGAAGCTTGAATCAAAGATCAAATGATCGAGACTCTGCTGTATCCTTACGAAACTCAGTATTAAGAGTCTTCATCACCCTGCGTTTTGGGGATATGGCCTTGGGGGAAGGTGTTGTAGACAGGAGGGTAGCGCGGGGTCATTATGCGTGCTATTATGAAAACATCGTAAACACACAACTACTAAATAGACACATCGGTGATACATCTGCCGCCTGAGCCAAGTTTTGTAAAAGGCTAGTAGCGAAGTAGCCTCCGACAAAACATGTTACTTTCGTCCCCCGTTTTTCAACAGATGTTCTTGAAATTTGGTACCAATGTAGTTGAATATATTAGAGCTCTTATACCTCAAAATGTTGAAAATGAAAAAAAAATAATTAGTTTTATTAGTGTTTACAAGTGACTCAATTTACGTTACTTTAAGATTTTTTTGTACTTATACTATTGATTTTCTTGGATATATCATGTACGAGGGCCCTAGAACCAACATTAATCTGTAAGGGAAAAAGTTTTTACATTATATCTTCACACATTCCATCCGGAGCGAGGGACGTCCAAGGCATGTTTTTTGTCGTTTTCGCAGGGGTGAAGAATACTCTTAATCTCAAAAAGCTGGAACTATTTTTAATAATGCTCGTCTCATGTGTTGTGTGTTATTTTATATATTTTAATTGACTTTTAGATAATCCCTGATGAAGAGAACGGTTTCCGAATTTTCGCACCAAACCGAGAGGCGATGGATGAAGCTAAGGAAGTAATCCAGTCATTGCTAAAAGCAGACAAAGAACCACAACTCGAGTTTGGGGGAATCTACAAGGCCAAAATAGTGGAAGTGAGGGAAATAGGTGTGATGGTCAGCCTGTATCCCAGTATGGTACCTGCTTTACTACATAACTCTCAGCTTGACCAGCGCAAGGTGAGTAACAGACGACTGTCTCAATAGATTCCCCACCAACTTATGCCATTACACTGATTTTCCTCTTGCTCACATGCATTATAAAATTAACGGTATCAGCAATCTGACACATACTTTCTCCTATTAGCTTGAACCTTTATTATGGGTAATGGTAAGGACCATAACAGAAGAATTAAAATCAGAATCGGTTTAAAAAAATGTCCGTTTTTTAAATGGGTTTAGCCTATATGGGAAAATAACATAGGTTACAATAACTTTGAACCATCATTTTTACAGCAATGGGGGGTTGCATAAATGTTACCTTATACTACTTCTTTTTGGAACTATGTCAATTCCAAGAAACATGTATCTAGTTTTGAATTAGGGTCTTCTGCCATGAACTAAATGTTCCTGTGCACAAGGTAGCTGAAATATTTGCAACTCATTTTGGCTCAGTATGTGATAGAAGACAACCTGATTATTCTAACTTTATCAATTATCAATTATTTAAGATGGGGACGCCACTATGTGCGTATTTTAATCCAAATATGAGTGAAGGATGAGTGGCGCGATCTTGTAGATTTGTTAGTGACTAAGGCGGACATGTTCCTTAGACACAGCTGTTAATTAATAGCCCATACAGCTAATGGCAACTAAGGGACCTACAGTTTGTAGTGGAATCCGAACCACATTTTTTCCTTGTAATTTACGAATTGGTCTAATTATCAGGATAGTACTGCTGATAGTCATAGTTATTATTTTATTATTTTAAGATCCATTAAAGGTAGTAAACACATTCATTTTTCTATTTCTGAAGTTAAGTTGGCAATCAAGCAGTTGAAATCAAAAGAGTCATCGGGTCCTGATAATATCGCCTCATACGTTGTCAAAGGGTGTGCTGACGTGCTCACCAGTACATGTGCGGAAGGCCTCTCTCAACCACTTTGCTATTTATTTAATTTATCAATGTCATCTGGTGCTTTCCCCAAAAAATGAAAAGAAGCCGAGGTCGGTCCAATACACAAATCAGGTGAAATTGATAATACTGAGAATTATCGTCCAATATATATCCTTTTCCTTGATAAATCCCTTTCAAAGTTTTACTCTTATCGCTTAATTTATACCAGTATAAAAAGTCAGATCTCCTCTCAACAGCATGGTTTCCTACCTCCCACTTAAAACCCTCTGGGGCGGAGCCCTTTTGACGGATCTGTACCAAACTTCACACAAACCATCCTTGAAAGATGCTTAATAATGCCTGAAAGTTTCGCGGTTTCGGAGTCCATAACTTATATACATATATATATATATCTACTAGCAGTTACCCGGCGCACGTTGCTGCGCTTAACAACTATTATTGTAAATGGTAATTTGTTCTTTACGATGAATAATAAAAGTGTGTACCAAAAATAAAAATAGAATATTTTATTTAATTGCCAGTGAATAGGGCCTAAACAATTTTTTTTGTTTTTTCTATAAGTTTTTAGACGTACCTACCACCACGTGAGCACGCAACATACAGCTGTCCGTGTGAAAAGCATGCATTTTCAAAATTTAAACCGACGATAGTCAGGGTTTGCCCTAGCGCCTTATAATGGTGATTGGGAAAGAAAGACAAAAAAAGGAAATTGTAGTTGCTTCAATTCAGAGGGTAATTTGGATGAAGTCATCAGTATTCTTGGGATTAAGACTATTTCTCCTTTTAAGTGGATTTAAGTTTCGCATTAGTATTAATGGAGTTCCTTCTTTTAATGCCAGTAATGGCATTTGATTTGTAAAAATTACATACAGACGGACATATAACCAGGCCTTTTAGACCCAGGTTTATACAATGTTTTTTATTGTTTTGATCCAAGGAACAAATCTACAAAAGCATTCCAAGCACTTTTCAAGCACAATGCAGACCTGATCCTTATTTGAATTTTGAAATATTTTTGAGAAAACTAACTATTTAAATTAAATAAATTGGTATTTTTTTTAATGTTTCAGGTTAACCATCCAAGTGCTCTTGGTCTAGAAGAAGGTCAAGAGATTCAAGTCAAATACTTTGGAAGAGATCCTGTTTCAGGTCTGATGCGTTTATCAAGGAAGGTCTTACAAAGCCCAGCTTCTACCACAGTAAAAAGTCTACAGGATAACAGATAGTAACCAGATATAGCCTATAATAACTGTAAATAAAATATTTTTCCAATACCGACTTTGGAATAACTCTCTGACTACCCTGTAAGAAAATTTGCAGCTGTGAACTGAACTAAAATATTAGTTTGAGTTAATTTTAGAAACTTATTAGGCTACAAAATTGAAAAAAAAGTTTCGGTTATCTAGCAAACAACTTAATACTAGAAAAAATTATTGCTTTTCTCTGTTTTTCTTCTTTTACAAAGACACATAAAGCTAACTGTTACTCTATGGAAGTTTAAATGGCCGGAGTTGCAAATAAATACTTAGTTCTTGAGGTAGGCAATATTGTAGTGATTATATAATGTTTTCTGCAATTATTAGATAGTACTGTAATTTAAGAAAAAAATTTTGAATTCACTAAAAGAGCCAAAAAAAATAGGATTTTCTGTGGGTAATCAGGTGGTCAAAATTGGCTATACCAATAGGTTAAACATATGAAATGTTACTTGTCAATACTAACGTTTACCGTAGAGTTAAAAATAGACTATAAGACAAGAAACTTAGTTTAACTGTAACATTTTTTTAAGGTAGTGGGTGTCATACGAGTAAGATCTCAGTGATCTCGTAGACTAAGATTACAACTGAATAAATAGGCTTACTTACAAAAAAATCTCTGGAGACAAGAAAAACATCAATGCCTCCCGCAATCGTGGCAGATAAAAAGTATCATAAATATTGGATATTACAATTTCTATTTACACAGGTAGAAAAATTGGATCAATGGTAGAGAAAAGTTTTATTCATAGTAAAGATAAAATATATTGGTTTGAAATTACTACTAACAAATCTTACATTTACAGTACTTATATAGAAATGTATTATTGCAGATGAGTTTGCATAGTCCTTGATCATTTAACAGAAATAAAATCAACTTTGTCCAGTGTAGATTTTAAGGTTACATCTCAATAAAAGTAATATAAAATGATAGTTGCATCTTACTAAATATGAAAACTATTCAAACCTACTACCTAGTTCAAAAAGGTCAGTGACAAAACTTTGATAAAAGTTGTAACAAATCAACATTATAGCTGTAGGTAAAATCAGATATTTTCTCTACATAAAACATAACAAAATCACTCGTTTTACTTATTACTAATGTTAACAAAATATAACACGTTATGTATCGAGGTATAAAAAATACTTTTATTTAACACTCTTAATCCAAAGTCAGTGATGCCACTGTGTATCTTTATCACTACACATCTTGCATGGTTTTTTTCACAGATTCAATAACAACTTCATAACAGTCGTCTTGTTCCGCCACAAACACACCGCTGTGCACAGAATCTACATGAAGAAGCTCATTCAATTTATCCTTCAAGGTGGATGGAACGGGTTCAGACAAACCTGAAACCAAAGTGTTTATAAATGACACAATAACAGACCTTGAGTTAAACAATAGATAAATGTAGATTGTTGCCACAAAATAATATAGGTCTACAAGTCTCAGCAGACCCGTTGTCTTGACATATTTCCTATTCACCGATTATTTTCTTATCACCCGGAAACATGAATTACAATCACGGGAATTTCAAAGGACAAACATAAGTGCCCAAATTATTAGTATTAACACTAAGGATGTTTTAAGGAAATTTTAGGTACATTTTTATAGGATTTCAACTAATGTTAAATCCAGGAATTTGGAATCTCGAATCCGAATCTTTAAAAAATCGAATTTCGAGTCCCAAAAATAATTACAAATGGGATTATGGTGATTAAAAAGCGAGAATGGAATAGGATAGGAACCATTTAACACTTATAACCACCACAACGACAATAACCTCTATGGTTAATCAATGTCATAGTACTGTACATTACGACATCAATAACCTCTATGTTTAGGCAATGTCACAGTACTGTGTATTACGACGTCAATAAAAAATAATATTGTTTTTATTAATCATTTGCCTTGTTTTATTCCCTGTAAAACCACTCTTTTGGCTGATGATACTACATTCCTCACAAGTGGTCAAAATCTAAAGAACGGGATGAGGTGTTAAAGTTCTTTCAAAGTGACCTACAGAAATAATTGGACATCATCATAGTCTCCCGCGGTCACCGAAACGTCATCTTCGTGTGTGATCGCAGCAAATTGAAAATTCCCGGTAAAATGCAAAATTCATGCATATTTCCCAGTTGGTGGACACCCTGCGATATTTTCTTAGGATTCAATATTCGGATTCAACATATCCCTAACTTTAACGTTCTTCCAATAGATTTTTTTACACTAGTTGTTCAAATTAACTAGTGTTCAGCAAAGTCATGAACAGCTTATTCCCTATATAGAAAATTTGCTAAAGTCAAAAACAATTCTAGATTTACCAGGTTGAACTCAAAACTTCCAGGTAAACATTTTGGTTTTGGATAAAACCTTTATCAGAACCTAAGAGTACATTAAAGACAAAAAATGATCTTGCTTTGTATTTATTTGACTTGCCTAAGTATTAAGGTGCAGAGCAAAATACAATAGATGGTTCCACAGGCTGGATAAATCTTGGTTTATTTAGAACTGAAATGTACTAAATCTGAACAAAGCTCTTAAAAAGTGCAGATAATGTTTTAATTATTTCCTCTGAATGTACAACAAACTAACCATGAATTTTGCAAGAGATTGCAATGCTGGGCATTGTCACCATATCAGGCAGGATCTGGCGGATTTCACTTGTCTTTGCTTGAAAGATGTTGCCGTAGTCCACCAGCATGAGCACTGACAGTCCTGTTTCTGGAGAGGTCTCTCGTATACAGCGGCATCGGTACCAATCTCCAACTGCAAAATTTTGACATAAATTAAAATAAACTGGAAATATTTATTAGGCACCACAAATAGTTCTAGTATGTGGTATTTTTCTTGAAAGAATTGGTTTAATTATGAGAAAGTATTTTTTCATGTAGTTGGGTTCAAATTTGATGTAATATGGTAGCACTTGTTATATTATAGGAGCAGGCGACAACAATAGGGGAAGGAATTGATCCCAAGAAAAAGCATGAGAAATTTAATTATTTTTTTCAATGTGAATAATGTTGTGCAAGAGTACCTAGTGTTATGTAAATAAATAAATACTTATTTTGTCATAAAAATAAAGTTTATTTTTAAAAATTTTTAATGGCCTGTTTGCAATTAGCTTTTGTAAAACATTTTACACTTTAATGGATAAGATTATGTGGCTGTTTAAGGTTTTTTTTTTATTTAAATGGTGTGATTTTAAAACAGCGTTGTTTTATTTTTGTTTTGTGTATTGTAACTGTGGTTTTTGAGTGAAAAGAAAAAGTCAGAAGTAAATAATTGGTTTTACTAAAAAAAAGGTTTGAAATTATATTTCCAGACAGTACTTAATAAATCAATCATTTACTAGCCAAACATTTTAGGAAATTGAATTTGTAGAAATTATAGAGCTATAATTAGGAAAGGGTGTCTCAAACTTTCGGGAAATTTGCGAGATTTAAAAAATCTCGTTCGTTTGATCGAGATTGACTTTGCTCCAAGACTTTTTTGAGACATGATTATAAAAAAAAAGATTATTACGAATGTCACATTAATACTATAATTAAAACCTCGTTATTTTGGTAATTTATGCGCAAAGGTTCTGCTTTAACATAAATAAAGACCATAATTAAAGCAAAATTTACATATGAAAAGAATTTATTAAATAAGAACGTTTTGTCATCAAACAGTGTCTCACAGTAAGGTACTACTTGTAATCTGGGTTGCGTTTGAAAAAAAAAACTTCCTGTATAAATAGCTGTTTACAGTGATTATTCCAATTTCTATTCATTACTCGTAAAGCTTAATCATATCTTATAATGGATTAAAAGCATACAAAGTTGCGGTTTTTATATAATTGTTTGGAATTTGGCGTCTTAGGCATCACAAAAGAAAAATTATTTAAGATAATTGTGAAGATAAATACTGTAATCATTTACGGGGATGCCTCCCAATGTGGGGGTTTCAGAATAACTGAAAGTGAATGTGTGTAACCAAAAAATGTTTGTGTGAACACAGTTTATGTTAATTAAAGTAAAGAAGTTAATAAAATCTCAAATAATTTTGAAGATAAAGTTTTCATGTAGGTTTATTATAAATTTTAAAAATCCAAGAAGTCATAATAACCCGAAAGAGCGACAATCCATTGATCACCTGCTAAACCATTAATAAACCACCCCCTAATTTCAGTAGAAAATTCAATAGTTATTTGCGCAACTAGTGGGCAAAGTGGCACTTGGCTTCACAACTTGAGAGAATTGTTTACGCTTGAGCCGTAGGCGAGTGTGGAAAGTTTATCGAGTACAGTAAAAGCTATTTGCACTTACACATTATATTATTCCTACAAAGACTATAAATCATAAACAACACGTTTTTAGGTTAGGTTAAATACAAACATTGAACGAAACGGGAAACTCTGCACCAGCTGATAGTAGTCATAATCTTTAAGTGTTGCCAACTTATTTTCAAACGTACACGGATTACGTGCATAATAAAAGCACGCTGTTTTGTGTTGTTTGGTTGGAATACTGGTGTGCTCCACTATAATCTGTGCAAGGAAGCCCACTTTGTCGGGTGACTGTAGGAAAATATAATTTTCTTGCAGAATAAAAATTAAATTGAGAGATAGTGAAGATGACTAAAAATTAGGGTAGTTAAAAATAAAAGCTTGGAAAGCATGCATGGTTCTAGGGATACTTACAGTATAGAGCAACACAGAGCTCTCCTGCACAAGGGTTGTAAGGTTTGTTATTTGCTTGACCGTGCTCTTGCAGTTTTTCGTGGAGTGTGGTTATGTATTCCAGCGTCGAGGATGCCAGTTGCACATACAATGGATCAGTTTGTGTTACCGAAAATTGAAACTCTTGGTCTAGTGGAACCTTGACTACAGGTAGGCTCAATATATTTAATTTTCCTAAGAACAGAGAAGTAAATTAGTGTAAACATATTTATATTTTAATTAAATTCTTATATTTCATTCATAGGCATGCTCAATATTTTGCAAAATTTGTATTAGGCCCATTTCAAACATTTCTATTAATTCAAAGTAAATCAAATATTAATTTCATAGACAAGGAAATGCACCCAATGCCCTGCCCAATAAATTGGCCTAACAGAAACTTTACGAAAAAGGATGAATGGACACCATCATGACGTTAAAAACAACAAGGAAAACCCATAGCATAATATGCCCTAACCCGCAACCTCCAATTTGACAGTTATACACCACAAAAGCTGTGAAATCCCTACCAAAGAACCAATGCAATAGCTCCATGCTTAGAAGATGGGAATTGGCCTATCAATTTGTTACAAATTCACAAGCTCCACCCAACTTAAACATAAGATAAACCCAAATTCCTTCCAAAATATTCCTTACCCACACAACTAAATACACTAGTACAGTAAAATCAATGGTGTAAATATATATGTGTATATACAGTTTATAATTTTTAGTTTATACAAGTTAAGTGTTGGCAAGCCTGTCAGACATTTAAAACAGTGGCAGAACTGTAACTGCCATTTTACCTTCTACCTTTGAAGAAGCCCCTGGAAGGAGTGAAATATCTTTAATGTGTATTTTTTATGTATTCTATTGACCTCCTGAGACTTCTTTATTTAGTTGAGTTAGTTGTGTATCCTTTCTTTCTCCTCAATAGTTATAGTAGATTTAGTGACCCACATAATTCTTTTGAGTATTCTTGCCCTGTTAGGATGCATAGGCAGAACAACTAGTAAACTGTATAAACCCCAGCTTCCCAAATGAAATGTTGTTAAAAAATTAACATCACTAAAAAAATGACAAATATGAGCTTTTAACATCAGACTCAGCAGAGTCCTTTTGTGTTCTATCACTGTTGATGGCTTGTCTGGTTCAAGACAATAACAAACTTACCTTGCTTGTTAAGCACAACGGGGGGGTTCAGAAGTTCTTTTAGATTACTGTTCAAAGTGCCTTCTCCCCCTTCAACAGTCAAAACTACTTTGCCGTTATCAATTTCCTGGAAAAAAAATCAACCGTTTAGTGGGCTGTTATGTGTAAAGGACGTCCATTTCCGCTCAATTGGCGGGGGAGCCCTGCCGTTTGTCATGGCCGCACAGATCCGGGCCCGCCCGTCGCTATGACAACGTAGGCCTACTATGCTTGTATTTTAATTTTTGTTTTGTTTTTTTTTGGGGGGGGGGATTTTGTATAAGTATTTGGAAAAAGATTACCAGCCTTCTATAAATCAAGACGATATTTCTTTTGTAAACAAATGAAATATGCAAATTTGGCTAAAATTGAATGGAGCTGGTGAGAAAATAGGCCTCCCGTAATTGGATTGGAAAGGGTTAACCAAAGAAATTTTTACAAAAAATGTTTATAATTCGCTTAATAAATCTCTTTATTTAGGCCTACTCTGTTTCTCAAATAAACAACTTTCTTGGTAATCATTAATTTGTATCTTTTACGAAGAATGAATGCAAAATAATTAGAACTTCAACACCAATAAGGTTTATTCACAGATAGTGCCTAGTATATTATTTGATATTTGATGAGTGGTACAAGGTGTGTGAGAAATAGGCTCACCACCGCATCACCCTTACCTACATTTAGCAATATGTGGTAAGGTTAAAACTTACAATTACTGTGAGGGATTTCTCTTCTTTATAAATGTCCAATAGATACGAATGGGAGCCTTCAGTCTCTTTGACTTTACCAACATCTTTCAACTCAATTTGTGATCTTCGACATGGTACCTAAAACAAATAGTTATCATAATACTGTAAATTAAGACACAAAGTTATAAGGCAAAAATTTATCTTCAACAAAACAAAACGCATCGAACTATAAAAAAATTACAAGACAAGTCTTATGCTTACATTTCGATAATGTTCAGGAAGAGGATGAAGATCTTCAAGTCTTGCCTGATATGTGTTGATATTATCTACCTCTTCAAGTATGTAATTGGCTCCATCGATTTTCTCAATTTTACATCTTAAATATCCTTCACTTTTTGGGTCTAAGAAGGAAACGTAATCACCTTCTTTTGGAGGACATTGAAACTTTTCATCTGAAAAAAAGGGTAAGGTAAATAAACAAATTTAATAATAATAAGATAAACAATCTGACAATTTGAATCAGACTCAACAATCACACCCATACACCCTTATGATATTCAGACCTGCAAATCGGTCACATAGTGATGGACAAGACTAGATTTTTCACTTCGAGACGAGATTTTTCAATTCCGGCGGGACGGGATTTTTTTTCAGGACGAGATTTAATGAAAAGTTATAAAAAAATTATTATCTACTTTACGTTCAGAAATATTTACAAGTTTTAAAAACTTGGCAAATAATATACAAAAATATTTTTAAAATATTAATAAGGCCTAACTTAAAAATAACCCTTTCGGCATAGGAAACAAGTCTTGTGTTATTTTTAGAACCATTTTGGAGTGACTTATTTTGGCTATGTTTACAGTAATAAAACATGTCTCACACTGCTTACAGTAACAAAACTTCTCAAAAGTAATTTCTTGAAAAATAATTCTTTCTTCCACAATTACCAATTTGGTTTTAGAAGAAAACATGAACACTGAAACTACTCTTACAAGTTTTGTTAATGAAACCTTGTCGGCCTTGGATGAATGAAAAAATACAGCTGGTGTTTTCGGTGATTTTGCCAAGGCATTTGACTGTGTAAATCATGAACTTTTAATTCAGAAACTCTGCAAGAAAAAGTGGAATTGGAATAAAAGGTAACATTCTTCAATGGTTTGGATAATATTTATTTGGCAAACCGTAAACAAGGAACTTTCATCGTAAAAAAGGAATTAAAGGACTATACAGATTCAAGCTAATGAGAGAAGGTATTGTGTCATTTTGCTGATTTTGATCCAATGAACCATAGAATGAAACTGCAAGTGTAAACCTTTTTCCCAGACACCTCAGGTCTGGTATACATACCCTACACACTGGGTATTTATCAGTCCCACACCATGTGTATTTAGGTAGCCAAGAATCAAAACATGTTCTTCTCTACCATAAATATAGTCCCAACTCAAGGAATAATAGGAATATTATCAAGGAATATGCTGTAGGTTAGTACAGGGTGGGGCAGTGAGAGCACCCGATTTTCTTTCGTTGTCACATAAGTAAAGCAACAATGAATTAACAGCTGTGCTTATAACAGCAATCAAACTATTCCATTTTAGTAAACATTGTGCCTGAGGCTTGTAACACTGAGATTTTGATGTAGGAACCGATTTTTAAAATATTGATTCTTGTACAAACACCCAGAGATTGTTTGGACCACATTCCATACTTGGCCAATATGGTGCTGTCCCGGATTGGAAAACAATGGGGAACTGGATAAAATTATTTAGGATAACAGCTTAAACCATAAAAATAATTGGTGGGTGCCACAAAACTCTTTGTACACCAGCAAGTGTTGAAAAAAGTGAGTCGCAGTAACTCAAAGTCCAAAGAGGTTTGCCAGAATGCTTTCATTGTAGGAAACTTAACGTTGGCTCTTTGCTTTCTTTGGGGTTCTCCTTATAAGTTTCTTGAAATTTAAGGGTTTTCAAAGTTGTCCTAGGGATTTTATTGCATTTCCAAGAAACTAAAGTGATTCCTGAAGAAATGCTGGAAGGAGTATTCAATGACATCTTCAAGTGACTGAAAAGGAATGTAAAGTAGGACAAGGACGTCACTTAAAGGATTTGGTTTTCAAGAAATGGAAAAATGACTTTGTTTAGTTAAAATGGCAAAAGATAAGCGTGTTGACGTGCTATTTATATGTATAGGGTAAATAGTATTGAATTCGTACTATTTATAAATTGGGGTGCTTTCATTGCCTCACCCTGTATAAAGTTATGTTGTACTTACTTGATTTCCCACAGTCTATTTGATACATGTTTAGAAACTCAAGATCATTGGCTAGTGCAACTATCAGAGTGTTTGAATCTATGATCTTAATGATGTTGACTTTCTCTCCAACAGTCAATGGGTCAGGAGTGCTCAGCGGTTCATAGTCCCAAGTCCTCATCTCTCCTTCTATCGAGTCACCACAGGTGACATCAACGACTCTGCATCCATTCACATTCCTCACTTTAACTACTTGGAATATTATGACCTCTTCTTCCTGAAAAACCAGTTGATACTCTATTACAAACTGTAATAATCTTTGTCACTCTTAAACACAAAGGAATATATATCTAATATATAAAATTCTCGTGTCACAGTGTTTGTCTGCAAACTCCTCCGGAACGACTTCACCGATCGTTATGAAATTTTGTGTGTAAATTCTGTAGGTATGCGAATCGGACGTAAACTATTTCCTGTTTCGAAATTCTTAAAAGGGCTCCGCCCCAGTGGCTCTGGAGTTTCCCATGTTAACCTTATGAGAAATGGAATTAATGAATCTTAACAGCTGTTTCAATTAAACAAGTTGGTTCTGTTCTATGATGTTCAATAGCATTAAAGTTACAAGGATTACCAACAGGGTGCAGCACTATTATTTCTTTTACATTTATGACAACAGCTAATTTGCAACCAAAAGGTGAGTGAGCGTAGCGAACGAACTTCAACCTGGAGGCGAGTTAGCGTAGCGAACGAGCTAACCTGAAGGCAAGTGAGCGCAGCGAACGAGCTGCAACCTAAAGGTGAGTGAGCGTAGCGAACGAGCTCCAACCCAAAGTTGAGTGAGCGTAGCGAACGAACTTCAACCAGGACGTGATTGAGCGATGCGAACGAGATCATCTTGAAAATTAAACGTAACGGTACTTTCTTTCCATCGGTCTGTCTTAGGGGAAACCTATAACTTAGGCGATACGAAGTTCGCCGGGTCAGCTAGTATATATATATATATTGGTTTTTATATATATTCCACACCAACTCAATACTTCTACATACAACAATAAAATGTAATTAGATAGCTAATTATTGTCACACATATATTTGGGAAATTCATCAATGATGGTGAAAAGTAATCATTTCAAAATTACTATTGTTTAGAGGGAAGCCAACACTTACACAATTAAATTAATTTTTTGACTTTTTACATGACAAAGACTTTAACAAAATTTAAATTAAATTAAAGGCAAAACGTTCTATTTTAGCAACTGGAAGAATTTGGTTTTTTTTTTGCACAACTGAAACAAAATTATCATCTGCTTTCTTTGCAAGTTTTATTTATTAAGATAATAATTTACCTTTCTTTTCATTGTTTATGCTTATTATAACTGATTTTTTGGGGCCAGATAAAATCTGTTTGGGTCGAGACTAGAGGGATCACTTTTCCTCTTCCCCATAGCAACATAACTAAGTACTTGTTAAATCTAATGCTATTCAAACAGGAAATAAATTTGTCTTGTTTATTGAAATAGTTTAGTATGAATCCAATAAGACAAATTGAAATTCGCTTAGCCTGCAGGTTTGCTGCGACAGGAGTGTATTTTAAACAACAAAGCAATCCTAATTGCTCTATATCTACACACAAACGGAATGTAAGATTATTAATTTATTACCTTGAAAACCAATATGTTGTTGTAGAAGTGTGCAAGCGGCTTGATTAAAACCATAATTCAAACAAGCTATGTTGTTCTAAAAGTTTATTTCATTACTTTAGTTCATACTCACCAACATGCTGTCAAGTAATTTTGGGTCATCCTTGTGCAAAGTGAGTGTAGCTGCCATAGGAGGAATGTTGACATAGTCCACAGGAAGCTTAAACAGCTGGGAGGAGCGGACGACACCTCCAACGTCACACAGTTCTACAATGCCTGGGGTAGGCAACACTCTGCCTCGCTCCCAGTCTGCGGAGCTCCTCAAGCCCACTATCTCACCCACAATTGGCCTACACAACAAGGATGTCAGATTAGCTAACAACTGAGGTTCGACCAATGAAGCCTTATTATGAACTCCATGACTTGGACATTCAAATTTATCGGTTTAGGCATATTTATCAGAAAAGCAATGTTTATTGAACACATAATTTGATTAAATCTATTGATCTAAAGCACAGCTTTATACTGTAGGCCTCAACAACCTTAATTATGACCTAAGTTCTAAAATCAATTATGAATATCTGTAGGGATGGGTTTAAACATAAAAAAGTATGGTGGTGTCTTATTTCTTCTCAAACTATTTCTCGTTGCCTTTTTTTCACTTGCTTATCTTTGTTTTTCGGATCAATGCACTGTAGTTGCAAACAATGTTGCATCTAGTGATGTATTTCTACCAAAATTGATTGATTTTTGATACCAGGTTAGAAATTGTATTAAGAATGTTTAAAGAATGTCAGCCTGCTTATCATATCCTTTGTTTCCTTGATTCTTGATACTGATACCTAAAAAATCTATTCTCGATACCAATACCACTATTTTTACTTTACCAAATTTTCTGTATGGATTGGTTATACTACAGCAAACTTTGTCTTGATGTCCTTCCCTTTTAGGTAATGAAGAAAATCCCCAAAACCGGGACAAAAGCATTATCAGACTGGATTTTACGGGAAATTTTAGTACCAACCTACACCAATATAAAGCTCACATTCTAATAAGCTACAGGCTAGCAACAATTTTAACGTTCTCCGGCAATGGCTGAGCTCATACTGAACTAATTTAGTGGGAATTGCGCAACTACATCAATTGATGTAGGCCGATAGGAGCGCTCGTGGCGTGACACTGAACGCGTTAATCCAATAATATGTGTTGCATATGGTCTAAGTATCATAATGTTCAAAGGTGAAAATTCAATGAAATAATTTCCAAAGGGTTACAATGGGCATTTTCCCAAAGTCCCACAAGTGAAGATACTAACTAATTAATAATTACTTTTAATGAATGCTGAAATGCCAAATTACTAGCTACTGTAGCATGTATAGCTTAGCTATAAAAAAATGCAATTGTTGTGATGAGACTTGCATTATGACACACTTTGCAATGCCTAGTCCTAATAACATAGTAAGTAACATACCTTAACTAGATTAGGGTTGGTTGTACTGATTACTAATAGCAGGAGATGGTAAATGTGTAGGCTAGGCCTTACAGATAAGACATGATACAAAAGCTTATACATCAGAAATATGAATGGGCTGTACACGATAATATAATTATTATTACTTACTTGAAGTCAGGATCAAACTGTTGAGATGACAGATACTTTTGATATGTATCATTCTCTAAAGTAAAATGTAATGTTGAAGCGACGTGTTCAGTGAATAGTTGTCCCATCAGTGACTTCTTCCAATAATCTACTTTACATGGAACAAATGAAACTTTCCATTTTTCTTGGAGTAAAGCGACTGTACTTTCAGAGTTCCTGCAAAAAAAGGCAGATTATAAATTTTTACAGCTTAAAAAACTCATAAAGCAGTTAGCCTTTCTTAAGCAAACCTGCAGACCAAGCAAATGTTTTATTTCGTCTAGTTGGATTTTCACTATAATATATTTACTCAAACTTAAAATTGTCAGATTTATTCACAATTAGATGACATTAAGTGTTATGAGTTCTTAGGTTTGCTGCTACAGGGAAGGCGATTGTATTTTTAAGGTATTAGGTATCTGGTCTTTAAATAAACTCTCACAACTCGGTATATAACATATTATCCTAGTGCTACGTGTATTTGATTGAAATGATATAGCTTAATATAAAAAAGATAAATTTGTCAAATTCTTGTTCTCATATTCCGATCACGTAGATTTGCAAATTCTGTTTATAAAGTGAATATTAGAAATGGGACCTCTTGTTGTTATGGCAAAATGACATTGAGCGACAAGAGGTACCTTTTGTCTGTACCTACACGATGAAGTTTCCGTGACTGCGGGAGTGAATGATGTGTTTCTTTTTTTACAAATAAGTTTTATTTTTTCAATCCCTCAAGTTTTGTACCAACCTAATACTAATGCAAAATACTTTAAAATTAAGTAGCCTATCCTAAAAAATGAAAATAAGGTACCGATGGTACAAGAACCAATTTTGGCTAGGAACCGGTACCGGTACCGACCCATCACTACTGGAGATGTAAACATAGATATTTTTAATCATAATTCATTGTAGCCCATTATAGATTTTTGAGCATTTTGAATATGTACAATATGTTGTACAAAGTAAATTTTCCTACTAGGGTTTGAAAACTGAATCGAAGCAATTATACAATATTATCACTAATATTATAGATCATGTGTAATTAATTGCAACCGGAATCATATTCAAGTGTCTGATCACAATGCACAACTTCTTGAAATTGTGGATTTAAAGTAAGAATAAAAAGAAAACAAAGAAAAGGCACAGAAAATATCTTAAAAACCTTTCTCAGTGATTTAGGCGATGAGACTTGGTATGATGTTTACCAGTCATCTGTAGATAAAAAGTATGATGCATTTTTTTAAATTTTTAGTTACATTTTTTATGTTAATTTTCCTAAAGCTGATGGAAAATTAAGTTTCTGTTTTTTTTTTAAGTCCAGATAGTGGATATAGTAAATGTAAATGGAATTCAAAGAAGTTATTTAAAAAAGGAGTGAGATAACTGAACTGGAAAAGCTAGGTAGGACGAGAAAAAATGTTGATACATATAAAAAGATAAAGGTTCAGAAAAAGGAACGAAAAGAGTCAATACACCAAGCCAAACAAACATTTTATAATGAGAAAATAAAACACTCTTCTAATAAAACTAAAGCAACGTGGAACATAATTAAAAATGAAATAAGGCTTAGCTCAAAAAGTGATTTTAACAGCAACATACCGATATGTATAGAGCAAAATGGGAAACTCCTTAAACATCCAGTAGCTGTCAGTAACAACTTAAATAATTTCTTTGTGTTAGCTGTGGAAAAGCTTATCTTGCCACACATTTCTCATTCACTTACACAAAAAACAGATATCCAGAAAAATATTTTTCCTACAGATAAGTAATTTAAGTTTCACACAATAACGGAAGAACACCTCACTAAAGTTGTCCTTTCCTTTGAAAACAAGTACTCTGTAGGTTTTGATGAAATCATAATCACCATAGTTAAAAAACCAATACACATTATGTAGAAACCACTAACACATATCATAAACTCTTCTCTTATTTCAGGAATCTTTACATCAAAATTAAATTTTTTTTAAGTAATTCCCATTTTATTATAGATAAATTTATTTAGCAGAACCTCGACGCTGTAGCTCAAATTGTTAAGAAGTTATGAATGATTTGTAAAAACAAACACACACAGACTGATAGACCCACAAATACAGAATAGATACCCCAGTCTCACAAATGTCATTATAGTCTTCTATGATTGCGGCAAAATCCTGAATGAATACCTTTGCAGTCATGTATCACCATGTAGTTTCTCGCAATCACAGAAACGTTTTTGTTGTTATTCACCATTTTGACACAATCATGAATTTTTTTATCGCAAGATCTTTGCAAATGTCATTACAATTTTAAAAGCTTGGATTGAGCAGGAATTTCTGAATTAATGCTCTATCTCCTGAGGCTAAAAGCTAGTCTAGTCTCAGTTCTAAAATTAAGCTTATTGCTTTTACATTTACTATGAATGGAGCATGATCACTGCTGAGATAAATACATTTTTCATATTTAATACATTGAACCCAAATGTATCACAACATTGACATGGTAACATACCTGGAGAGGTTTTGTGTCAAAGGTAAGCTTGTGGTTGTATTTGTCACTTGAGAAACATCTGATGAGGGCACAGATTTAACGGATGTGGAGGTTGGTGTGAGCACAGGCGTAGGTGCTGAGTCAGGTGTAGGAACATGGGTAGGTGCTGGGTCAGGTCTAGGAACAGGTGTAGGTGCTGAGTCAGGTGTAGGAACAGGGGTAGGTGCTGGGTCAGGTCTAGGAACAGGGGTAGTTACAGGCGTAGGTGCTGAGTCAGGTGTAGGAACAGGGGTAGGTGCTGGGTCAGGTGTACTTTTTGATTCAAGGCCTGGCATCAAAGCAATCGAGGGTTGATTTAATGCAGCGTCACTAGTTTTTTGCTCAGTATAGTTTTCACCTTCTACTTCCACCAAGACTGTACCATCAGCAAGCTGAAATAAAAGTTTAATTTTTTAAATTACAAGTCAGACGATCTAGATTGTTTATTTTACATAAAGAATGTTTTGTGTCAATAAAATATGTCTATGTCTATGTCTACATTGTCTACATTATGATGGTTAAGTTTAACCTTGAAATGACCTGAAATTAAACATAATTTTATTTTCAAAAACCATCTTACAATTCCTTTGATCTTACCAATTCAACAGGCTTTACACTTATTTCTGACAGCTCTGGTAGATCGAAGTACTTCTTATCAGTTCCCTGAGCAAACTTAATTTTTTGAACCTGAAACAATTGAGATGAAAATTAGAAAATGTCAGCATTTTTAATGTAATGTTAACTAATTATTAAAGAAAAAATAATATAATAATAGTCATAGGCCTACTAAATTATAATTTTAGTTGTTATGTATTAGAAATTTTCCATATACCGGTAGGGAATAAGCTATTACCGTAGGTCTCATGGTAAAACCTACGGATCTTAATCCGGGACCAATTTTTGTTTTGATGTCACCAAAAGCCAAAAACACCATCCGTTTCAATTTAAAATCATATATTTGGGTGTTATATATTTTGCTCTTTACTTGTTATATTTAACCCATAAGCCCCCATTTATTGCATATTTATTATATTTGATTCATGACCATCAGTATTATTTCAGTTAGTATAAATTCTCTTGTTACTGTATATTTAAATATTATATTGTCATTCTTATTTATATTTTATATTCTTATATTTATATTTTATATTTATATTTTGAGTGAAACTATCACCATAGAGGACAAACATTTTTTCCCTAGTTGTGTTTATTTATATATCTTGTTAACATTCTTGTTACATGATTCATGCTATAAATTAATAGGCATGTGCTGTTTTGTAGCATTGAAAATAAATAAAAATAAATAAGTAAATAATTTACTTTACTTTATTACCTTTAACATTTTAGACCTTCACTAACCAACTACATAATGGGAATATTATGGGAATAGAAAAATGGCGTGTTGGTTCGAGTCTAAATGCATCAATTTGAATAGAAAACTAAATTGAATTTATGCATAGAATTGAAAGTTTTTTGCTGTTCGCACACTCCTAATACACATATAAATTTGAACGGATGGTGTTTTTGGCCTCTGGGGAGATCAAAGCCAAAAAGTACATCAGTCCCAGGTCCAGGTCTTACCATGAGACCCACGGTTATAGCTAAAAAGATTTAAGAAGAGAAACATCCAATTTTTTATAGCTTATGTGGGTTTCATTTGGCTAGTATTTCGGAAGTAACAACATGAGCAATAACTCCTCAAATGTAATAAAAGTGCAAACCTTAAGCACAGTGGCGTAGCTAGAATATGGCTTTGGAGGGGGTGGGGGGTGGGGGGTGGAGGAGCCCCAACACCGGGGGGCCTGGGTGGTATGGATTACCCCCCAGCAAATAGGGGTGTCCAGGGTTTCTTTCATCTCGAGAAATTTACAATTAACATAATTAAATTTGAAACGAGATACGCTAAGAAATCTGTTGAGTAGCAAACAAGAGAATTGAATCTAGTGGCCTCAAAATAAAACAAACTTACGAGATTTGGGATATCCTTATGGCTGTCTGGACACTTTTTAAAATCCTTAGGTACTATTTCTTCTGTATTTCCGTAGTCAATGTAATGAGCTTGGATGGTTGGGGTCACTGAGACAATCTCCACCCGGTACCTGTTAGAGAGGACAAAAAAAATAATTTTCCAGTGTATCAAAATAATTCAACTTAATGTCAATGTGGTATACAAAGCAATTCAAGTTGATTGTAGAAATAAGTAAGATTCATATTGGTATCAGTGATTTTAGTAATCAACATAATACACAGTCTCCTCACACAGCAATTCATATACACATAATTCTATTTGTGAGCAAAATGAGACATAGGCCTAACAAAATTATACAGGTCCAAGTCATGGTCCTGGGTTCATGTCTTACCATGATACCCACAATAGCTTATATGGAAAATTCAGACTTAAAAAAATTGATATCCGGTTGACATTTCTTTTGGCTAAAAATTGTCAGATGTTTGTGACGGTTATTTGTAAATAGTTTTGCCTGAATATCAGGAAAAATACCAACTTGATATAAAAAAAAACTGCTGATCTAAGAAATAAGGTTTCAGCTGAGTATAAAAAAGAAGTTTCAACTGACTACAAGATCCCCATCCGTAAAATGTGCATACTGTTCAGTTCTTTCACCTAATATTTTTTCTTTAGCCTGTTTAGAATTAATTAGAACAGCTGATAATTTTAAATACTGTTAGTTATTGAATGATACAACTTAGAAAGTACTCTAAAAATAGTTCCTCAAAGTTATTTACATTGTTGGAATAAGGTCTTAACCGAAAGAATTTATAGACAAAGCAGAACTACAGGCAGCGAGGGCTGCAGAAAGCCCAGCCTACCCAACTGGATGTTAAATCAGATTTTTTAATGAAAAATTATTTATTTTACAGGCAAAGTTAGGGTCACATGGTTCTTTCTTAAACTTTTAAACCTGTATAAGTTTCTGCAGAAAATGCTACACAAAAAAGTTAACAAAATTGTTTTTTTGCAACAAATATTTCTGTGGAAAGTCGACAACTTTATTTTCTGCAGTAAAATTCATTGTTCTACAAACAGTAACGCAACAAAACGTCATGCATTACATAAACAAAAGCTGCGAAGTCAATATTCGGTGCATCAATCATGAGGAAGAATGCATAGAATAACCGAATTACCAAAGCGATTCAATGTAATAACAGTAGGCTTAATATTTACTTATTATTAACTTATTTATTTCTAAGTATTCATTAAAACTATAACACACACGATACATTTACATGCAACTTTGACGGCATAAGCCCGCAGAAAATTTTTGAATTTTTCCAAGTCAGTTGTTTAAAAACGTTCTGCTTTAAGTGAGTACAAGAATTTATTAGGAAATTAACTCAAAAATTGCAACAACCTCATCGTCATCTCCGATGATCGTGGAAACATCCGGGATCATGTCTGCTGATTGCAAAATCATCTGCAATCCCTTTCCCAATCTTGATTGTTTTTTAATTTGACAGTAGAATTTTGGATTTATTGGCTGATTTATTTGGCGGTTATTGAATAATTAATATTTCAAGTCCTATATAAAATTTATGTACAGTTAAGAAACTTTCTCTTGCCCCTTGAAATTCACACCCTGGATAACAAAAAATTCTGAAAACAATATCTTTATCGCCACAATATAATTACAGTAGAACCTCGCTAATCCAACCTCCGATGGTCCGACTACTCGCTTGATCTGACCACGTCGCCAACAAAATAGGCTTCCTAACCCATTGTCCAAGAAAAAAATACCTAGAAAACTTTATAAATAGTTTTTTTTTAGTCTAATGTGTTGAAATTTGTTGTATATTTAACTATTTCTGCCCATTATTATTATTAAGTATGCTCCCACGTTATTGTTTTTGAAAAATCAGTTCATTTGACAAAAATAAAAAAACAAAGGAATGTCGATCAAAGCTTCAATGTCAAGCTATCCGTTTGCACTGACAATCGTCTGCTCCTAAGGCCTACACATGACACATCTGTCTGCTGTGCGCTTGCTATGTCACACCATTTTTTGATTGGGTATTTGGTAATCATGACAACTTTAGTAGCCTGTGATTGGGTGATTAGTAACCATGGCAACTTGTTGAATGGGTGGATGAAGAGAAACTCAAGAAAGAATAGAAGAACAAAGAGAAAGAATAAGCGATGTCATTGTCACCTTTAATCGGTGTATTTTACGACTGTTGTTACCCTATAAGTAGGCTACTATTATTTTATATTCTTTTATGTGTTATTTAATGTTTTTGTTTTTATCGACATTCTTCTGTCCTGAAACAGCGTATCAGTAGCCTATGACTAGCAGTAGCTTACTAGAATTTCTATTGTTCTGTTCTTTATTTTGCTGTACAATGTTTGGCAAATGATAGTAGTTTAAATACCTTATTCTGGCAATATAAATTGTTGTATTCCACAACTAGTTTCAACCTGCTAAGAGGTCATCATCAAGTGCGTACAAAGATGATTACTTCAAATGAAGGTCGTCAGGATTAACAGTTTTTTACACTCACACATACACACAAACAAATACATAGCGTGCACACACATACGATCGATAAAATAAAACCTTAAACTAGACGAGCGGACACGTGTTGATATTGCGGAAGTTACGTCTATACTATAGGATACACAGCTGGTCAGGTATTTTTCACAAGTATCTATCACAGCTCTTAGCAGGTAGAAACTAGTTGTGGAATACTAGTTGGACAATTTGGATTGCCAGAATAAGTTATTCAAACCACTATCATTAGTTATTATTCACAATCCGGAGGCTACTCTAACCACAGGCGTTGTTTATGAGTTGGAAATAACTGTTTTATGTCATGTTGGATTAACTGTGGTTATCAGTTATCTGTGGTCTGTTCAAAATACAGTTTTACTACGTTTTTATGACAGTAAACTTGTTCCTCTGATAATCCGACCTTTTTGCTGGTCTGACCATGCTCCCGGTCCCGTAGGTGATGGATTAGCGAGGTTTTACTGTACTTTCCAGGCATGAAATTAGTTCGGAAATCAGCTGTTTGTCACCTGCTTAATAAAATGGGGTTTTATTACGTACAACTGTACTGAAATGAGTTTACCGGACTCCAGCTGATTGTCCAAAATGTGTTAACCATACTCATATGGTAATCCCCAAACTAAATTATACTTATCCGGTAAACACCTATTTCTGGACTATTAACATGGGCCTATACTATTACCAGTAATAGTCTCTAACTGTACAGGCCCTCTACCACTCTGCTACAAGCTAAAAGTACACAATATTTATTTACACTGTTTTAGTATAATCATCCTTCATGTTGTAGCCTACAATTACTAACCATTCGTTGTAAAATGAAGCCAGTCCTTTTGCACCAACTGTTGGAGTTATCACTTGACATTGATCAATGACTTTCTTGAAATGTTCAAGCATTTCCTGCATGGTCGAAGCAAAGTTTGGTTCAGCCACATAGAAGGTATCATTTTTGTCAGGCAACTAAAACAATATTGGGCAGAATAAGATTGATTACCTGGTATTGGTAATGAGCACAATTGATTCCTTCTCTCTCGCAAAAGATTGATTACTTCATAAAGCGTAAAAGTAACCAATATAATAATTTACATGAAATAAAATCAAACTTGACTTATTAGTTCAATAATAATCTAAACACCTTTTTAATGATAAACAAAAATGGTAACAGATAAGAGTTAATGATCAATGATAGATTCAAAAACGAAAATCAAATAAAACTCTATATGCCAAGCCATACAGTATTAGAAACCCGTCAAATCCCCTGTATTGAGAGCAAACATTTAAACAAGATGTGAAAATAGACCATGAAAAAGATTTTAAAAAAACTTTGTTTATTCTATATTTCAAATAAATTAAGTTTAAGTGAAAGCCAGTAATTTATGCCTACTTATTGTTTTGGATATGTCAGCACTCAATAACAAGTTATGTAAGGAGTGTTACAGGTACAATTTGTAAAAACTGATATCTAGCGAACCCCTTCATACCATCTCCCTCCCTATGGGATAAAACAATAAACTCATTTACAGTGATAAAAATACACTATTTACAGTTACCAAACACTAAATGAATGAAATATTTGATTAGTAAAGGTTGAGAACATACTACAATCACTACGGTGGAAAACTTGGACGAGTCCAGCATGTGAGGATACTTGGAGCCTACTGGTGCTGGAGTAGCCTGCAACAGACAAGCAACCAATAACAAACAACTAATACCTTGAACATACAATTACTTTTACTCACATACAGTAGACTCCCTCTTATCCGGACACCTTTTAACCGGACTACACTCGGCGGGAATTACATCTTTTTAACTGGACAATTTTTATCAACTCATTGGTTTAACCGGACTAGATTGGCAGGAAGTGGGCAGTATTGAAACGTCTGTTCTCGAGGGAAAGATTTGAGACCAGTGTTCACGTGCCTAATACAATGCTCTCCTAAATTTAAGTCGAATATCACAGTAAACAGTCCTTTTTGACGAATTTTTGGGGACGTCGGTTTAACCGGAAAACCCGTCATCCGGACTGGCTTCGGTCCCGAGGAGTCCGGATACGAGAAAGTCTACTGTAAAACTGTATAATTTGTAAGTATTATATAATACTTCTGTAAATAGTTCTTAAAGACATGTTTATGATAAGTATATGATGTTATATCTTATATCCAGCTGTTCCTGATCATTGAGCTTTAAATAAATGATCCTGACTAATGAAACCTCTGATCTTAGTCAGTAACAAAGCTACACAGGTCATCATACACCATTCTATACTCGTCCTTCACTCATATTTCGGTTAAAATACGCACCTAGGTGGCGTTCCCATCTCAATGATTGATAATTGATAATTGAAGTATATGATGACCTAGCCAATACAACTTGTATATGTTGTTAATTCTGGCTCGATAAATGATTTGATTTGATTAATATGTACAGGTGGTTTAATGACTAAAAATTGTAACATTGGGCCTTTCAGCAAACTTCCCATGTATTAAATAAACTATTAATGTAGGTCTAATAGTAAGTTGTTTCCAGAGGCCAAAACGCCATCCTTAAAAAAAAAGGGTTTCAATCATTTCCTTTTCCCTTGTCTACTCTCAAAATATTGTGCAATATCCATCAATGTCCTTACAAGTAAACTAATCAAATCTGTGTGGTATTTTATTCAACACAAATTGTTAAGATAAATTTCCATTTGCATGATTAGATTTTCAAAACAATTTTTAAATACCGGCTATTGAAATGTTTTGTTGGTTCTGTGAGAAGTTAGAACAAAGAAATCATGTAAATGTTCTGGCAATGGCTCACATTTATGCACATGTTGCCAGAGTTAGATCAAACAGATTACCAAATTACACAAAAAATTGCTATTTTTTATCACACAGATGAAAAAATTTAGAAATTATATTCTAAACTATAACCAACATGTATTAAACTACTAATTCAACAACATAGAGTAGAACCCCTCATATCCGACCTCGGAATAACCGATTCCTCGGAATATCTGAGCTAGTGTCCGCCCGTCTACTTGTTTCCTGTCTGGGGCGATAACGCCGAGCGCGATCGGTTTACCGAAAGGCTGACTGTGGATACTGCCGTAATCACGGCAGACGATCACCACTGTCACCGACAATGGGTGTTGCCGCCGCCGTGGGAGATGATTACCGAAGTCGCAGAGTTACGCTCACGAGCGTTGTCACGGTCGGGGGTGACAATTACCGATTTTGCGGAAACTGCAGGTTATTCTCCTCTCGATATCTGACTTTTTGGCTTGGTCCCGTCATGGTTGGATATGAGGGTTACTGTACATACAGTTGGGCATACAATATTTATTGATCACTTAAGGTTTGAATTGGTCTTATTCATAGTATTATGTAAGTATTGGGAATTTAATTTGTTTAAGTGTATGTTGTTTATCAACAATAGTTTTTTAGGTTCAAAGTGTAGGCCTATTAGTAGCAAATTAATAATATTCTAATGACAGGGTCAGGAGTCCAACTTCTTCCGTTTTGATTGCATAAGAAACATTATATTATCACCTGTATTTTTTGTAACTTTTACATGCTAGTAAATAAGTCTGAAGGTTTAGTGAATCGGGATTTGATTTTTTTAACTACGGATTCTGTTTAGAGATAAAAAATTCAGGTTTTATTAGAATGGAGTATATTACTTAAAATACCTAATCCTGGATACAGAACAAACCTATTCCAAAACTTACTGCCAGTAAAAATGTTACACATTCAAAAGATATTTTGCTAGAAATGTTAAGGTAAGTAACCTAGATAACTGACATCCTTACCTCTTTGGACGCTGCTGAATTAGTTTCTATTTCTTTCTTTATTGCTGGGGTTTGCAATCCTTTTTGTACATCAATGGGTTGGGTTTCTTTCTTAGCTTCAGGAGACAAAATTTCTTTTTTTACTGCAATTTCCTAAAGGAAGAAGTAAAACAATTTGGATATACTAAATAATGACTCTGATTAATGGCATGCTATTTTCAGAGCTATCCTAGGACCTCGGCCCTCCTAAGCAATTAGGTCGAGGCCTGGGTCTTTGGTTCTTTGGAAGAGCTGTAGTACTAGGCCAAATTAATTAAAAACTTCTAATGAAATTTGGATAAATTGTGGCACAAAACACACAAGTTAGTGTAATGGATGGTTGCAGTAACCTAAAATCATTTGGTAGTGTAATTTGGGCTACCGGCCGCCTGTACAGGCCTGTAGTGAGTTGTTGCATGCGTGTATTGTGTGTGTGTGGAGACGTAGGAATTGGCTAACTCAGGAACTCGCTAACTCGGTCGTGAATCGGAACTGGCTAACTCTGGAACTGGCTAACCATCTCAGTCAGGAATTGGCTAACTCCGGAACCCGCTAACTCGATTTTGTCTAGCGGTGGAATTCGCTAACTCTGGAAGTCGCTAACTCTGGAAGTCGCTAACCCGGGCGCGCCCACTGCACGGAGCGTTGCCAACCTTGTACGACAAAATAATCGTACACTGCCGTATTTCAAAATGTCAGTGTCAATGAAGATACAGTAAAATGTTATTGTTTTCTTGTTATCCAATTCCACTTTTAACAGCTAACTAGCCCAAAGTAATTAAAAGGGGGTAAAAAAATCATGAAAAAGTGTTTTTAATTTAATTGTACACTGGCCAATTAAATGTTTATGATTTCGATCTTAAATATAAATGCTATCAATATTATAGGACAATAATAGAATATGAAAAATATTGAACATTCAGTTTAATTGGTACTAAACAATTAAACCTCTACGAAATTAAGCTAAAATACACGCAAGTTCTCGAACACGGAAAACAAATTTAATCGTAATGTTGTAATAAACCAAAACTATTAATTAATACAGTCATCAACCATCGTAACTTTCATACTAATTTATAGATTTAAAATTAAAGGTATGTCGTTGAATCGTCCGACTTACGTGTAAAAATATGACATAGTCTACGTTTAATCAATTCATAGAATAGCTGTAGGCCTAAATCTATGCCTAATAGTTTAAACCAAAGCATTGTAGGCCTACTAGTAAATAGTTGAATAATTCTAATATGTGTTGAATTTTTTAGTAATAATGTTACATGTTTTAATTTATTAAGAAATTAGAAATTAGATTAGATAAGATTTATTAGAAATTTAAAAATTGTATTTATGCACAGACAAATTTTTAATGCAATCCATGAATACATTACCACTTTATAATGTATTGATCAATATTTATTTAAATTCAATAGCTCTATTTAAAAATATATTACCACTACAATGTATTTCTGTAATGACGTTTAACAAGTATATTTTATCGGGAAGGTAATCTTCAAAATTATAGGCATAAAGTCTACGGCGATTACTGGAGCTTTTTAAAAAAGGTTTTGTTGGCTGCCTCGAATAGAATAGACTATTACAAAACTGCTTCAATTTTTGTAAAGAGATTAGGCCCTATATGTTTCCTAACAATATAAAGTAAGAACATTTAAATTCCCTTTTTGGCTAAAGTAAAGACGCAATATTGTAATACATTGTTAACGTTTTTGATTTCCATTATTAATTAATGTACCTAGGTAAATCATGTGCCTGCTATAGAAAAAATCTAAACTATTTTTATTTGTTTACTAATCCTATGATTCGGAATTATTTCGGTAATAATACATAAATATTAAGAAGAACCAAACTATTGTTAACACTTGCACGACTGATATAATAGGCCTTTAAAGAATCAAATATTATAATCTATCAAAGACAAGCATTGAAGGTCACAAGTCTAGTATAAAAATACGACCTTAATCATTTTATTTGCAGAAGTTCACAAAATTGTATTTATTCGAATAAAAGAAGCAAATGGCGGACTACGAAAATAGATATTTCATAACATGTAAAAGATCCAAATTAAATGTACAGTACTATCTTTTTGCATCCCAATAAACTACTATTTAAAGAAACCCATATATATATAAAACATACTCCCTTATATTAGTACATTTCTCATCTTTATGGATCAGCTGAAGACAGTTTTATCGTTAGTTCTGTCCGGTACACTGTCTTTAGAGGTCGTGTTTTGTTTACAACTGTTTCTTGTTTTCAGTTATTTAATACCTCGTTAAACCAAATAAAACGTTCTAATCATAACTAATAACACGTCCCCTAGTTATATAACCAAACAGCAAAGAACAAATCATGAAGTTAAACTATAAAATATTAGAAACACAAATTCGTCGACACTAGCGATCAGTGTCACCGGACATGAACTAGACACGAAAAACAAGCTTCAAAGTTTACAATGGGATGTAAAGTTTAATTGTGTTGATTAGTCTATGGTAATACTATAATGCATTTTCCACTCTAATAATCATAAGAATAATATTAAACATATACTTCTAAATATATTTATTTTATCGACTACGTTGCTCTAACTCCTAATTATTCGTAGGATACGACATTATGGTACTACTTTCGGCAACACTGGCCAAAAATCTTCATGCTTGGCTCCCATTGGACGGCGTGCGAGGCTTCTGATTGGGAGTTAGCGAGTTCCGCCGAGGGACCGAGTTAGCGACTTCCGTACGAGGACGGAATTCGCTAACCTGGCTCTAGAGCGGGTTAGCGGGTTCCGGAGTTAGCCAATTCCGAAACCGAACAAGTTAGCGAGTTCCTCTCATCGACCAAATTTGAAGATAGGGCATTTAACATGGGGTTAGCGAGTTCCAGAGTTAACCAATTCCGCGGACCCGTGTGTGTGTGTGTAGAAGATGTATGAATGGTTTCCAAGTCCCAGTGATGTTTGACATCATTATTAAATACTTTCTTAATTTGATATATACTATTTATTTATTAAATATTCATATTTTCTTTTTAGTAGATTTTTCTTCTTCTTTACACTTGTTAGTCATTTTCATAATGTTAACGTTATCTGCTGTGGCTTCCTGCTAAAATTGTTTTGTTCTCCTTTTATAAATGTAACTAGTATAACAATGTTTAGATTATAGAATATGGACTGATGTAAACTTGTTACTCACGCACAGGCTTTGCCTATGTGGGAATCATCAAATTGTTTTTTAGAATTATTGCAATTTCTGTCAACCATTTTAATTTTCATGAAAAAAATTATATTTGATGGTAAACAATAGTTCGTACCGCATTAATTCTATTGTTAATACCAAAGTCCAAATTTGATATCTAGAGGTGGGCGATGTTTTGTTGCTGCGGACTGAGCTTAGAGCTTGAGATGTATAGGGGAATGGAGATTTAATTTATACTTGCTTTAGACCCCTGATAAACACTGTCTGGAGACATTTTAGTAATCAATTTTTTCTTTGAGGGTAAAATTCCCTTACATATTTTCAGTTGCAAAGGTAACATCAAAACATATCAACCGTTAGTTTATTTTAGGCTCAATTAAATTGTCCTAGTATATTTTACAGCTCTTATAAAGAACTAAAAGATCCAGGCCTAGTCCTAATTATTTAGTGGGGCCCATGTAAATTGTCAAAAAGTAGCAAAGTCACTGTCATCGTTCTGGTTCATTAGATTAAGTTTCATTAAACAATCTATACTTATTTAATACGCAAGCAAGTTTTTTGTAACAATTACTCCTCCAAAACTACTGAACCGATTGACAATATTTTAGTTTTTGGTGTCATTGGAAAGAGCGTATCGTGAAGTTGTGCAGGATACTTTCTTTTTAGGGAAATAATTAAAGAGTAAGGGCCTGGGGCCCTTTAAAGTTTTGTATTTCTCCATAAGATTGACATGGGAAACATTGTTATGAAACTCTAGCTGTGGCTAGAAATTAAAAGTGAGAAGAAGAACATAAGTTAATTGTAAACAGTCAATAAGTTTGCTAATTTAACAGTTTGCTACAAACATTTACTGACTTGGTTGAAATGAAATGTTTGCTATTTGAATTTGGGTTGGCGTGAATATTACAAAGGGAAAAACCGTGATCCTGGATAATTTGATATACTAAAAAGAAAACTGAACTAACACTGTGCTGCATTTCTTAGTAATCATTGAAGGAGCCGATTTGCAAACTATGGAAACATAGGAAAGTCGTAGAACACCACCAAGGAGAAGAAATAGAAATTTTTTTTTTTTTTAGAATTCATAATCGTTATTATGGACAACTTAATGCGGCTATGAATATGGCTATCTGTAGAAAACACTAAAAAACAAGATCAACTTTTGAAAAATGATAAAACATTTACTAGAAATGTTTATTAATTATATTGAACTGTTATGTACATCATGAGTATTTCCATCATCTTTGAGTGGAATCTTTTAAAATCGTCAGAAATTATGACTGTTATTCGTTTAAAAACTAGAAATTGCTCGAATTCGAGCAACAGGTACACTAGTAAAAACTTAATTCAACAACCAACAATATCAGACAAAGATGCAGAAAATCCAATGACATTTTTAGAGACCTAGTAGGCCTGCACAACAATAAAAATGTAAATAACAATGCTTGATTGAGGTTATTGTTATTTTCAATTGAAAAATAGTTATCATAAAACTATTATTTCCATGATAAAATGTGTTTAGGTTTTAATAATTACTACCCTAGTGATAAATAATGGAAGCTTTAAAAGAATATAAGTTAAATTAATAGATAAAATCTTCAATGAGCTTAACTACTAACTCGAGTTCATTGAAGTACTTGACTTGATACATACAAATTTTGATCTAATTAGATTTGATATATCGTATTTTTTTTCGATTCAGTGATGATCAAAAAATTATTCGATTCATGGGGGAGTCAGTATCCATATAGAAAAACGCATGCAGAAAGTCAATGCAATACCCGCAATACAGGAGCATTTTGTTGTTGTGTTTCCTTTGCGAAAGCGTTCTTATTTAATTGATTCTTTGCATGTAAATATTGCTTTAATTGTTTTATAATTTGTTGTTTCGACATTGCAAATGATGAGAGACTTGTTTTACTGTAAACATAGCCGAAACAAGTCACTCCAAAATCATTTTAACACTAGTCTAAAAAATTGTTACTTGATACTTAACTAGTAAAGGGTGTCCACCAGGCCAACCAGAAATAATCATGAGTAAAAACAAATTCCAGGTAGTTTAGGTTGTACTTTTTATACTAAAATTTTTAACGTTTTTTGCGCCAACTCCCGCAATGCTGTTTTAGCGCTAACACAGCTTGCTATAGTTATCAATTTTTATATATTACTGATTAAATAATCCGAAAATTAAAAACTAATCCTTAAACCTGCAATTTATTAAAAGCTTCTTAAAAATAGTGATATATTGATACCAAAATTTATCGAATCTCTGTACAGACACCTGAAAAATATAATTCTTAATACTGATCATTTCAATTTTACAAAATTTTCTGAAGGATTACTACACAGATCCTGGTCTTTATGTGCTTTCATATAGTATGTAATTTTGGAGTTATGGGTTGTTTTTCATGTAGCCTACAGAAATAACAATGCAGAAATTACAAAAATTGCACGTAGCCAATTTAAGTTTTAAACCCTTCTAAACACATTAAATAAATACCACGTATCTTGTGATCATCTAACACAGTTGTAGAGACACTATCATCTTTTTCTGCGATAACTGAAAAATCCTAAATATCTCACTCAGTAACAGAAACATCACCACTGTCTTCCGTGGTCGTGACAAAATCCTGATATTGTTCAGCGGTAACAGAAACATTATAATCGTTTCCCGCGATCACAGGAAAGTTATCATCTTTCTCGATCGTAATTCAAATAATTTCCCGCGGTCATCATCGTCAAGCAATATTTTTTGGACATCATCAACGTTTCCCGCAGTCACGGAAACGTCATAGTCCGCATGCTATTATAGTGATCGTGGCAAAATCACTAACATATCCCACAGCGTTTGGACATCATCATCGTATCATGCGGTCAGGGAAATGTCATCGTCCTCTCCCATGGTCACGAGCACGTCATCATCGTCTCCCGCGGTCACGGAAACAATTTTGTCGTCACCCGCGGTCACGGAAACTTCATCGTCGTCACCTGCGGTCACGAAAATGTCACCGTCGTCTCCCGCAGTCACTGAAACGTCATCTTCATGCGCGATCGCGGCAAATTGAAAATTCCCGGTAAAATACAAAATTCACGCATAGTTCCAGGTTTTACCAGTCGGTGGACACCCTGTAGTAAGACTGATGTTTTAGACTGATAATTTTAGTATTTTTGTAGGTCTGCTATGTATACCTTGTAGTTTGTAAATCTGATTCATCCTCTAATTTTATCAATATAAACAATTGAAAGTTTCAGTATAAATCTTGCAAATGTTTTTATTTGTTTACACCAAAACATATCTTTATTTATTTGTAAAATCAATATTATAAAATAAATAGGTAACATGCTTAACAATATAATTCTGCAAGTAAAAATTATGAAATAGGCAAGTAAAGTAGCTCACTAACATTTCCAGCAATAAAATATTGCAAAATAAAAAAATAAATATTTTTTCACTTAAAATTCATATACCTATTATGTATTATTAGATCTAATACCACATCAACAAAAACTTTTACCACACAAATGTTGTAAATTTTAATTATTGTTATTTCAATCCATTGACAAGTAAGAGTAGAAAAATGCCGTATTGCTTAGAATTGAATCGAAAATCTTTTAAATTGAATTGTTGTTTCGAATCAAAAATTTTTTGCTGCTTCGCACACCCCTAAACATGAGTACTGACAAAATGATTATTGTCTAGATAATATATTAGTGAGTTTGTTTGGGACTGCTATTAAGTTTGTAATTGTATTGGTAACATAGAAAAAAAAAAACATGGAAGTCTTAAACAAACATCTGATAAACCTTTTATGAACTCCTAACCAACTAGCGATGGTTGGCAAAATGATTGCACAATAACCTATTAACGGAAACCAAGTCAATTCTCGGTTTCAATTCTTTTGGGAAAAACCAGTAAAAGCGAGGACCGTCTCATCCCCTATTAAAAAATTAAGAGCACAAAAATATTTCTAAGCAAATGATCAATTTTAGAATTTTTTTTAATATCATGAAGGGTGTGAACCATATCTCCACATTTGTTTTTGGTTCAAAAGAAGAAAATTAAATAGTTCTGAAATTATTTTAGAAAAACCACTATTATTGTCAGTAAAATAGTTAACTTAACATACATTTTTCTAATCCAAAGTTCCAAATCAGATCAGATCACAATTTAAAATAAACAAATATATCACAATTTGATGATTAAATGATTAAAATGATGCTAAAATGATTAATTTATAATATAAATGACTGATAACTTAAATTAAACTTACTTGAAGTAATATTTCCTCTTCTTTGTTAAAAAAGTCATCGGCACCAGCAAACTTGAGATGCAACAATTAAAATTGTACACATTAACAGCTGTTTGAAAGGAGCTAAACATAATATAAGACTAGCTGCTATTACCGTGTTTTGCTTTGAGGTGATGATGTGGAAAAGAAAATTTGGGTTGTTTAAAAATTTTGAATAAAATTGTTACACACCAACCATTTAATTAAGAAACAAAATTTAACTGTATAGTTTGGTATAAGTATGTTTCTGTTAAGTTAACCCTAGGCTACATGCTACGAAATAAAAGTGGTGCTGATACAACTATGAAATTAGGTACTGTATAATTTAATGTATAAATATATATACACATATTTATAAGTGTATTATTTTTAAACCTAATTATTTGAAGTCAACTAATCAATTAATAGGTCAAACGAATCTACTACACATAGGGCACTGTTGTAGTTAAGCAATAAAAAATTGTATAATTAATGTCACATAAATCATATTAGCCTACCTTAATGCTTTGGTTTTAGTAAGGCCTCTTTAATCTGCAGCTCATAGAGACAATTTCACAGTAAGCAAAAAGAACAATTATTATTCCAATTTTTAATTTTTACAAGTAATCGTTTGCAAAACATGATCCTATTGTTATTACTACACACATGTCATCAATGTAAATATTTCATAAACAAATAACATACAAACAACATACAAAAATCATGAAAATCCGTCGTCAAGTGGTTGATTCAGGATCCTAAAATAAAAAAACCCTGTCATGTTTACCCCTAAGGTGAACATGGGAAACTCCAGAGCACCTGGGGCGGAGCCCAAACAAAATAAATAAATGGTATCAGCAGTCTGACACATACTTCCTCCCATTAGCTTGTCATCATAAGGGAAAATGATATTTTATAGGGAAAATCACAAAAGATGCAATAACTTTTGAACCATAATTTTTACAGCAATGGTGGGTTGCACTTAATTGTTTTGAATAATAAGGACCATAACATACAAATTTTATTTAATAATCGGCATAAAAAAAATCTAATTTCCATCATTTCATGGGGTTTTTATGGTAAAATAATAAAAGTTACAATAACTTTTGAACCATAATTTTTACAGCAATGGGAGTTGTACCATTTTGTCTGGGATTTAAAGGGCTATAACAGACTAAATTTCTTTTAAAACTGTTGGGGCAATTTTTGAGAAAATTCTATTTTTTCTGTTTACTATGGGTTTTTATGGGAAAATTACAATTAAAAATCAAAATTTAAAAAAAAAATGAAGTAAAAAACGCCTGGTGATACCATAAATTAGTACCTATATACCAAATTTCATCAAAATTGGACCACAGGTGTGGTCTGTAGCTCTGTACAGATCCACACATACACACACACAGACATCACTTTGAAAACCACTTTTTGGGGACCCAAAACGGATACATCCACTTAAAACCCAAACTCGAAAATTTTGACCAAAACGATACTTTCTCCATATACTAATGGGGGGAGAAAGTAAAAACAAAAAAACTAACAAACTTACAAACTTTCACCTAAGGTCCCCCTAACAACAAAATAAATTTATTTAAAATGTCATTTGAATTTAGCCAGGTTATTTCAAATGACAAGGAAGAGGTAGTGAGGTACCGTATCAGATATCAACCTCACAAACACTAATCTTGGCCCAGAGAAATTGAGTGACAATGAGAATGTGGTTAAGAGCTCATTAAAGGTTTATTAGATGTTTGATTACCTTCTTACATTTATCACTGGAGTAATCATGCAATTCCAACCCCATTCAACATTTTATCATGATAATAATAATTTATGATGGCTCATTCTTAATTAGCATGAATTTAAATTTACTGCCGCTAAACTGCAACTGATCTGCAGTCTAGTTGTAGATTAAAATATGTGTTTATTGATGTGTATTCTTTCAATTAAGACAACAAGCTTTTCATATAAAATTTCACGTTGTTTTTATTCACTAAACTATCAATGTAAAATAATATGTCTTCATTTTCAAATCACCCCATTCCATTTTTTTGTACCTTGTCTTTGGTTGTTTACTTTAAAATATTCTTTTATATTTAACCCTCCGAGTGGCCAACTGACCGTATCGGTCGGATCATAAGTGATTGAGAAGTGGCCATCGACCAATTCGGCTCAACAGATTTTGTAACGATGATTAAAAACCGAAACTCAAAAGGTTTTGACAAAAACAATAATTTCACCATATTGTATGTACAGGGTTCCACCAGGCCAAGAAGGAAAAATTCATGAGTATTTGCAGGTAGTATAGGTCGTATTTTTCATACTAAACTTTCCAACTCGTTTTGACGCCAACTCTCGCAATGCTGTTTTAGCGCTAGCACAGTTCGCTATTTTAGTTAGTTATTGGAAGCATTTTCAGTTAAAGAATAAAAATTTATGATTACTGTAATATTGCCTTCAGACACAAGTATGCAATTTTTATATAATACTGATTAAATAATCAGAAAAATCAAAACTAATCCTTAAACCTGCAATTTATCAATAACATCTTAAACATTTATCATATCTCCGTACGGAAACCTAAAAAATTAGATACTTAATACTGATAGTTTTAATTTTATCTAATTTTCTGTAAGGATTACAGATAATAATAAAGATATTAAAAAAAATATGTCGGCATGCACGATTGCGGAAAAATCACTTACAAATCCTGGGGCCGTTTACAGTTTGAACATCATCATCGTCTCCTGGGCCACATCACGGAAACACCATCGTTGTCTCCCGCGGTCATGAAAAACGCTATCCTCATGCGCGATCGCGGCCAAATCATTAAAAAATCCTGCGGCCGTTTGGAGTTTCCACATCATCATGGTCTCCCGCAGAAGGGATACGTCATTGTCGTCATGCGCGATTGCGGCGAAATCACTAACAAATTCCATGGCCGTTATACCATCACCATCGTCTCCCGCGCGCGGTCACGGAAACGTAATCTATTTGCGGGTTCGCGGCAAATTTAAAATTCCCGGTAAAAGACGAAATTCACGCATAATTCCCAGTTTTCCTAGTCGGTGGACACCCTGTATCAGTCACGTTAACAAAGAATGATTTGAAAGCAGAATTTGCTCAAAAATTATTATTAAGCCTAAGTGTTTGTTGTTTTTAGATTCTTAATGACATCCTAACAAAGTCTCCTGAAAAACATTAAATTGGATACATTAATAAAAATATGGAAATTGAGTCATTAAAATAAACAGCTTTAGATCTACCTTATTTTTATCAGATGTTGAACCCCAGTCATCTTCATCTTGGCCAGTTTTCACCTGAGGCACAAACGATGTCCTTTTTTCTGGACCATTCGAGAACCTCTGGCTGTTCTGTCCTGAACGATTCTGAGGTCCCCTGTCATTATCAAACTGTCTACCAGAAGACATCATCTTGTTTCTACGTTCTTCGAACAAAGTCTTCTTTCCCTGTTGGTTACTGCTATCCCTGTTCTCATCTCTATTAGTTCTTCTATCTCCAAATCTGTTGTCCCTATTATTCTGTCTATCCCTATTATCGAATGACCCGAAGCCATTTCCCTGCCTGTAATTACCTCCTTGAGACTGAGACATTGTATCTTCAACTGTTCTTGAGACAGCCCTGCAATACAAACATACTGTGAGGATGAGACATTGAATCTTAATCTGCTCTTGTCTTAACTACACACAAGGTCTCCACTCAAACTTGAGAACAATATATTTAGGGGTTTTCAGTCATACTTATATACAGGGTTAGTAAAAAGTGTGGAGACCCCCTGTTATTTTTTTAACGGCCCATACTAGAAAAACTAAACTCGGCACACCTTTATGACATGTTATGAAGTACTTTTTGGGCATAACCGTCACTTGGTGTACATCCCCAAAATGGGGGATTTTGGGGGAAACTCAAAAATTTCAAATACAAAGACCCATCGAGTGACCCCTCATTTTGAAGTTCATAATAAAATAAAACCAACAACGCAAACTAGAGGTCTTTATCTCAATCCAGTAAAAAATGGCAGCTGATTGAAATTCTCAGAAGTTAAATTTAACTTACAGCTTTCCAAGTCTGGAGACCCGCTGTAAATTTTGTAGCGGCTCACTATAGGGTAACTAAACTCTACACACCTTTTTGGCATGTTATGAAGTAATTTTTAAGCCTAATAGCCACTTGCTTACCAAACCCAAAATGAGGGATTTTGGGGGAAACTCAAAAGTTTTGAATGATAAGCCCCATCGAGTGACCCCTCATTTTGAAGGTCCTGGTAAAAGAAAACTAACAACGAAAACTAGAGGTTTCTATCTCAATCCAGTAAAAAATGGAAGCTGATTGAAATCTTTAGAAATCGGAAATAACTTGCAATTTTATATTCAATTGGCTTCCATATTTTACTGTGTTAAGATAGATACCTATAGTTTGCGTTGTTCGTTTTATTTTCTTATGACCTTCAAAATGAGGGGTCACTCGATGGGTCTTATCATTTAAAATTTTTTAGTTTCCCCCAAAATCCCCCATTTTGGGTTTGGGAACTTATGAGAATTTCAATTGGCTGCCATTTTGTACTGAACTAAGATAGAGACCTCTAATTTGCGTTGTTGGTTTTCTTTTACTAGGATCTTCAAAATGAGGGGTCACTCGATGGGTCTTTGTATTTGAAATTTTTGAGTTTCCCCCAAAATCCCCCATTTCGGGGATGTACACCAAGTGACGGTTATGCCCAAAAAGTACTTCATAACATGCCATAATGGTGTGCCGAGTTTAGTTTTTCTAGTATGGGCCATTAAAAAAATAACAGGGGGTCTCCAGACTTTTTACTAACCTTGTATTTAATCTTTTAGGATTTTAATAAGAGTTGGGTGAGACCAGGTGGTAAAGGCAAAATCAATTTCACCCTGTAAGTCAACAGACACCATCCAGATCTAGACCAAGGTGTAATATGAATAATACCCCCGCCGCAGCAAACCTGCCGACTAAGCGAATTTCCATTCGTCTGAATTAAAATTTTAATTAAATCTATTTTAAAAACATTAGGATTAATGAGTACCTAGGTTTGCTGCTACAAGGAAACTAACTAATAGTGTATTTTTAGTAAAATATTAATAGCTTAGTACAAAATAAATAAATTTGCCAAGTTTGATCAAAATATATCCATAAACAAGCAAACTACAACATTTGACAATATTCTCCATAAGAATAACATGGGAATTTTAAATTTACAATTTTTTTAATTTTCTCCGTTACTAATAATCGAACAAAAATACTTTTATATACTAAATTTTTTTTAAGCTCTTTAACCCTAGGAGTGGCCAATGTTAGAAGTGGGGAATGGCCAACCCATTTTGGCGATTTTGCAGACCTTTTTTTGAAAATTCGTAAAAATTCAACCGTACAAGTAAACCTAGCCAACCTCATATTCATTTTGTTCGGAAAGAACAGGAGAATCTATAAATAGTAATATCATAATGATTTAGACAGTGTATTTTATCGGTAAAGTGAAAAAAATAAAAAAAATTTGATTTTTTTTGAAATTTCAAAAGCGGCCTCGGTATTTTTTTTCTACGGATTTTTTTATGGGAAATTCATTATATACATTTTGTAGACAATCTAATTCCCTACATAGAAATATACAGGGTGAATTTTAAATGAGTTCCCCCCCTACTTTTTTCTACATTTCTTAAGATATCAACTTCGGACCACGTCAGATCATTGTAGTGTAGTAAGTACTTCATTTTGACTGAATAAACATTTTTGGCCGCCATCTTGGATCCGCCATATTGGATACAAATTTTTTATTTCAAATGTAAAGGTAGGGTTGTGACCCATTGTTTCAAACTAGAATTTTACGCTGATTACAATGCCGCAATTAGTTAATAAAAAAATCTTGATTCGTTCAAAAGTTATGAGGACTTTTTATAACTTTATTTTTAGCCCATTTTAACATTGAGCATTTACAAACTAAGACCATAATCTCAAAATAGTGCTAGATAAAGATAAGTATACACCACCATTCATTGTCAACCTATTATCACTTGGCTATGACGGATGTATTTTTTGGCCGCCATCTTGGATCTGCCATTTTGAAATGAGATAAATTAATTTAAATATGAAGGTGGTGTTGTGACCCATCATTTCAGACTACTTTTTTATGCTGAATTTAATGCCGCAATCCGTTTTGCATTTTCATATTTGTTTTTTGAAATATTGGAAATTTAAGTAAGATAATTTTAATATTTCATCAAGAAAGCCTGAAAAACAAAAACGGATTGCGGCATTTAGTTCAGCATAAAAAAGTAGTTCAAAATGAAGGGTCACAACACCACCTTCATATTTAAATTAATTTATCACATCTCAAAATGGCAGATCCAAGATGGCGGCCGAAAAAATTAATCCGTCATAACCAAGTGATAATAGATCGACAATGAATGGTGGTGTATACTTATCTTTATCTAGCACTATTTTGAGATTATGGTTATATTTTGTAAATGCACAATGTTAAAATGGGCTAAAAATAAAGTTATAAAAAGTCCTCATAACTTTAGAACGGATCAAGATTTTTTTAAACTAAGTGCGGCATTGTAATCAGCGTAAAATTCTAGTTTGAAACAATGGGTCACAATCCTACCTTTACATTTGAAATAAAAAATTTGTATCCAATATGGCGGATCACAGATGGCGGCCAAAAATGTTTATTCAGTCAAAATGAAGTACTTACTACACTAAAATGATCTGACGTGGTCCGAAGTTGATATCTTAAGAAATGTAGAAAAAAGTAGGGGGGGAACTCATTTAAAATTCACCCTGTATAACATGTTAGGAAAATATTTTTTTTTTATAAGTTTTTGGGGCAAAATATAATGACAAACGGAGAACCGAAAAAATTGAAAACCGTACAGTGTTAGTTTATGTTGTAAAAAGTTCTATAATATATGTGTATACTAATAATGATATATACATACATGTTTGTAAAGCTAATGAAGTAAGGAATCAAAAAAAAGTCATAAAGTTTATGGTAAAAATAATTTTTTACCTATAAACATACGTATATAAAATAATGTTTTTATATTTTAGCGATTTCTCGAGAAAAAAATTCACAGTACTTAGTATACAACTTTTGTATCAAATTTTTTTACTTCAAACCAACATAATAATCTTGTAGTGTATTCAATTACCTACATACAAATGTATAACATGTTAGAAATATTTTTTTTGTAGGTACGCAATAGGGAAATAATAATACAATAACCGCAAATAAGTGTAAACTATAGCCTACAGTGTTTGCTTGTGTTGTGAAACATTATGTAGGCTGATGATATGTAGCCTACTTATTTGTAAAGCTAATGAAGTAAGGAATCCAAAAAAGTCATAGTATGATGGTAAAAAGTTATTTTCACCTATGATTATGTATCAATTTGAGAACGTTTTGAATTTTTTGCGCATTTCGAGAAAATGGAGTGTACAGTATTTAGTAGCCTATATAATTTTTTTACCCAATTTTTTACACCCAAACCAATATAAACATGTTGTAGTGTATTCATTTACCTTTATAAAAATGTATAACACCTTGGGTAAATCATTATATAGCATATAAAGCACCTCTGAATGTCAGAATCGTCATTTTTGGACATGATGCTAACAAAATACTGTAGTAGGCCTATTTAGTATAGCCTAGGCTATAACTTTTTTAGAAAGTTTTTTACCCCCAAACCATTATAAACATGTTGTAGTGTACCTATTCATTTACCTTTATAAAAATGTATAACACCTTGGGTATATCATTATATAGGTACAACAATCTCTGAATGTCAGAATCGTCATTTTAGGACATGATGCTAACAAAATACAACCTTTTATGAACACTATTTCACACAATTCAGTAATATTTATGCATGAAGATTGCTGTTATACACACACACAACACTTCACTAACACTAACACTACGAACTAATAACATATTTAGTAATAAATCGCGGATAAAACTATTACCGGCAACAACACAAACAAACAATGGCAATACAAGACAGCTGACAGACTGCAGCAGTAATGACTCACTTCGTCGTCTACATGCGAGCATACAGAAATAACCCTGAGTGCAGGGCTGCCACTCTCTGAATCTAAATTTCTTCCTCTTCAAAATGATATACTATATGACTAGTAATAATAACTTTCACTGTATATAATTTGTATTTCCATACTGTCACCAGACGACTGTTGGCCATTTGTTAGAAATTTCGAAAACAGCTGTTTTCATAAAATCGTACCGATTGTGCAATCAATATTTAGTTATAAATATCACTACCACAATGAAGATAAAATCAATGGCTACCCAGTGGTACCACCCGCAACATCCCAAGACGAAAATTATCCGAGCAGGGTAATGCCAAACAAGACGTGTTTTGCCAGTTCGCAAGTGTCGGCTGCAAAAGTCGTGCCGCGCCAAAAATCATGACATTGTTATATACCTGCTACAGGGTTTGTTTATGTAATCAAATGAAAGTTCAGAATGTGATCTTTCGAATGGTATATATATTATTCTCATCTGAGTTGATTGTAAGTGTTTTGTTTACCATTAAAAAAATTTCGGCCCATACCGTAACCAGACGACATTGGCCATTCTAAGCATCAACGTCATACCGTCACCAGACGATGGTTGGCCACTGCTAGGGTTAAAAAGGTCTAAAGAGAAATCGGGAAATTTTGTGTTTTGAGGGTCAAAAGTGAGAAAAACCTATTTTTACCCCATAAAACCCGTAAAGCCCCGTTCCCATGGTCCGATCACGCTGCTTTGCGAACTCATTCAAGTTTATCCCGCTTTACACCTTTAAACCAAATTTCATCAAAATCGGACAAAAATTACTCAAGTTATCGCGTTCACGGACGTATATATATATATATATATATAAGTCTATATATATATATATATATATATATATAAAAATTTGAAAGAATGGTGTTTTTGGCCTCTGGGGACATCAAAATGAAAAAGTAAATCGGTCCCGGGTCTAGGTCTTACCGTGCCACCTACGGTAATAGCTACTTCCCTATAGGGAAATTCGCTAAAAACAAAGATGTTAAAAAAAATAACTAATTAATGTTCTACCACTGCACCTAAACAATAGAAAAAAACTAAAGTTTTCACAGTGTTTCGCAGATTTTTGTTGTTGCTTGGTTAAAATCAGCCGCTGTCATAAATGCAAATAAAATAATAATGTACACCCTTTTGGCAAACCTTATAAGTTTTTAATGCTATTGAATATCATAGAACCAACTAGTGTAGTTGAGCCAGCTGACAAAATACTTAATTACTTTTAAATATGAATAAGAAATTAATAAGATGAAATATGAATAAAGTTAACATGGGAAACTCCAGAGCCACTGGGGTGGAGCCCAGTTTGAGGATGTCAATAGGACTATGTGTTAAGTGGGTGATGACTGGAGTGTCCAATCAAAATCAATCACCACTTGCCATCTTTTTTGTATATTTACTATCTTGTGAGTAACAGTATAAGCGTAAATATATTTTTTAAGTGTTATAAGATATTTCTTTTATTTACTTTCCGTGAATATATAAAAACATTGTATCTCAGAATTGAAATAGAATATTTATTTCAATATAACATGTTTCACATTACCCTTGGCAGCGATGTGAATGGGAACTCCAATCTTTTTCCTGACATGTCTCAGAGCAATAATACACAGTGTAGCAGCCTGAGCAGGATAAAGAACAGCTAGCCTCACAAGTGTTACACTTGGAACCACTGCAAACTGCCTGTCAAAACACAAAAAAACACTTCACACTAGAGTACAGTGTAACAGCCTAAGAAGGCTACGGAGCAGGTAGAGGAACAGCTAGCCTCACAAGTGCTACACTTGGAACCACTGCAAACTGCCTGTCAAAACACAAAAAACACTTCACACTAGGGTACAGTGTAACAGCCTAAGAAGGCTACGGAGCAGGTAGAGGAACAGCTAGCCTCACAAGTGCTACACTTGGAACCACTGCAAACTGCCTGTCAAAACACAAAAAAACACTTCACACTAGGGTACAGTGTAACAGCATAAGAAGGCTACAGAGCAGGTAGAGGATCAGCTAGCCTCACAAGTGCTACACTTGGAACCACTGCAAACTGCCTGTCAAAACACAAAAAACACTTCACACTAGGGTACAGTGTAACAGCCTAAGAAGGCTACGGAGCAGGTAGAGGAACAGCTAGCCTCACAAGTGCTACACTTGGAACCACTGCAAACTGCCTGTCAAAACACAAAAAAACACTTCACACTAGGGTACAGTGTAACAGCCTAAGAAGGCTACGGAGCAGGTAGAGGAACAGCTAGCCTCACAAGTGCTACACTTGGAACCACTGCAAACTGCCTGTCAAAACACAAAAAAACACTTCACACTAGAGTACAGTGTAACAGCCTAAGAAGGCTACGGAGCAGGTAGAGGAACAGCTAGCCTCACAAGTGCTACACTTGGAACCACTGCAAACTGCCTATCAAAACACAAAAAAACACTTCACACTAGGGTACAGTGTAACAGCCTAAGAAGGCTACGGAGCAGGTAGAGGAACAGGTAGCCTCACAAGTGTTACACTTGGAACCACTCCAAACTGCCTGTCAAAACACAAAAAAACACTTCACACTAGGGTACAGTGTAACAGCCTAAGAAGGCTACGGAGCAGGTAGAGGAACAGGTAGCCTCACAAGTGTTACACTTGGAACCACTCCAAACTGCCTGTCAAAACACAAAAAAACACTTCACACTAGGGTACAGTGTAACAGCCTAAGAAGGCTACGGAGCAGGTAGAGGAACAGCTAGCCTCACAAGTGCTACACTTGGAACCACTGCAAACTGCCTGTCAAAACACAAAAAAACACTTCACACTAGAGTACAGTGTAACAGCCTAAGAAGGCTACGGAGCAGGTAGAGGAACAGCTAGCCTCACAAGTGCTACACTTGGAACCACTGCAAACTGCCTATCAAAACACAAAAAAACACTTCACACTAGGGTACAGTGTAACAGCATAAGAAGGCTACAGAGCAGGTAGAGGATCAGCTAGCCTCACAAGTGCTACACTTGGAACCACTGCAAACTGCCTGTCAAAACACAAAAAAACACTTCACACTAGGGTACAGTGTAACAGCCTAAGAAGGCTACGGAGCAGGTATAGGAACAGCTAGCCTCACAAGTGCTACACTTGGAACCACTGCAAACTGCCTGTCAAAACACAAAAAAACACTTCATACTAGGGTACAGTGTAACAGCATAAGAAGGCTACGGAGCAGGTAGAGGAACAGGTAGCCTCACAAGTGTTACACTTGGAACCACTCCAAACAGCCTGTCAAATACAAAAAACACTAATTGACACTAGTAAACAGTGTTGCAGCCTGAGCAAGGCTGAGGAGCAGCTAGAGGAACAGCTAGCCTCACAAGTGTTACACTTGGAACCACTGCAAACAGCCTGTCAAGTACTGTAAAAAATGTATAGAATTGCAGTCTTTAATAAATTCATTGAGGAAGAAAACGACTTAAGGATGTTTTTAAGTCATTTACACTCCTCGATGCCATTTACAAGTGTTGCTTCGCCTGGGAGAGAGTGAAAAAAAACACTTATACGATCATGGATAAAGATTTTACCGGATATCTTAGATGAGGAGGATGAAGAATTTTGTGGCTTCTCAGAAGAAGAGGTGACAGCAGAACAGATTGCAAGACAAGGAAATGGTGTACCCGGAGAGAAAGTGGATGAAGAAAACGCAAGAGAATGGTTCTTTAATGCTTTAGTTTGAGTGTGACGTGGACTTGTTGGCATTCGAAATAGTCAGGGACGACGACTTGTTGAGGCAACCCTTAGGAGAAACGGTGGAGAAAGAAGGAGAAGAAGAGGAGATAGAAGAACAAACACCAGCTCCCAAAATAACCCACGGCGTAACACCTAATCATTTGCACTGCTTGTTGGAGTATCTGGAGGGTCAAGACTATAGCGTCATTTGTGACAAACTTGTTCGGCGTAAAATGCGTTTTTTACAACTCATTCTCTTCATCGACATTCTTTCCGGTCCGGGTACACCATTTGCTTGTTTTGCAATCCGTGTTTGATTTTGTGAGTGAAAATGCAACTAATGTCATTAATATCTCGTTTCATTTAATGTAAATAAAGTGTTTCTGTTTTTTATAGATTTTCTGTCTATCTTTTTATCATGTTGAATAGACCCTGGCCTCCCTCCTCTCCATTACCCTGGTTAATCGAGGTTTTACAGTACTAAGGTTTGCTGCTATTGAAAACACCTTTTTTCTTCTAATGTCAGGTTAGTAGCAGCTAGTAGTCAATTATTGAAAAACTATACCTCTTTGCTTTCTTTGTAAAGTTCAAGTCTCTTGTGAAATAGTACTTCTCCAAGTGTATCTGTATCCACCATTTCCTTTAAAATGTCTTCAATGGGGACTTCAGAACTGAAACAATCATGACACCAAATTAGGAAGAAAACCACTTTTTATAAAGGATCTGTTATTTTTCCTTCAGACAAATATTTGAGCCAAAGCACAACAAAAAAAATTACAAAGTCAGATTCAGATTTCTTATTGATTATCAGTGCAATGGATCTAGTCACACAAAATGCAATAAAATACAAGAACTAAAGTTATTTAATAAAATACTATGAAGAAAATTACATTTAAGCCAAGGTCGGCAGAACCAGATTACTTTAACAATTAAATAGAGATTAGCGTATATAAAAGAATTAATTATGATAAAAAAATAGGTAACAATAATAACAGTTACAGGTAAAATTTTCAAAACAGACTAATTTCTACGTGTAAATGAAATAAACATAAATACAGTGGTTTAGGTCAAAGTATCTAAACACCTATGGGCTTTTCCTGTCCAAACAACAGGGTGTATCATATACCCCCACCGCAGCAAACCTGCCGACTAAGCGAATTTCCATTTGTCTGAAATGATTTTCAAATAGAAACTGCAGTTTATTTAGACACTCTTGTCAGTAATGAAACATTCCATGAGAATTTCAATAATTTTTATGCTAAATTTGTTGGAGTGTTTAATGAAGCTTTTCCCTTAAAAATATACGACAAAAATAAAGGAGTGGTAGTAAAAATAAAAATGATTGGAAAACTGTGAGTATTATAACATCTAGTATACGTGAGAGAAAACTACATCAGTTAGCAAAAATATCCGTGGATCCGTTCTTTATTGGATTATGTAAAAAATTATAAGAAAATATTTAAATCTGTATGTAAGGCAGCTAAATTATTAAGTAACCGGCTTAAAATAAGCAGTAACAGTTACGAAACTCAGCTGAAAGCTTGAATTAAAGCTATTAAAAATATAAAAATTTAAATTTGATTTGCACGTTATGTGTTAACACATAGTTGAGTCACACAGCTAAGTGTTCTTCTATCATTAAAATGCATGTATAATGCCTGCTATCTGACCGTGGCAACCACTGTAGACTTCTGGCCCAGACTGTACCGTTGGAGATTATGAAATTTGGACATTATGAACTGCGCTGTTTATTTAGTATTTCAACGTTGGAGTTTGTGAAATTTGGACATTGTGAAACGGTGATTATTTGAATGTTATAGACTTGGAGCTTATGGAATTTGGACATTATGAAACGCTCTGTTCATTTAATATTTTAAGCTTTGGAGTTTGTGAAATTTGGAGTTTATGAAACGCTCCTGTTGAAATTAGTTGCCGGTACCCAATACTCAAATACTCATGGGATCTTGACATGGATTGCAATAAGAAATCCAATTGATTACAACACTGAACATATTTTAAAAACCTGGATTTATGAAGTACTGGTGGATAAGTTGACTTATCTAAATAGCCACCAGATGTTGTTACTACTTCTCTTTCAGGGGAAACTTTAAATTTTTGTCTTACCAAAATCCATTATCCTTTACTGATTTCTTCAGCATCCGAGGATCGACCAATGTCTCAGTAGATTTGAATCCATCTTCTGGTTGGCTAGCCAGAAATTGAAGTCTGAAAGTAAAATGAGGACAATAGATCATGGTATATTTTTTAATTTGGTAACTAAAATAAGCTACATATTAACAATTTACGTTTAAAGGGCTATATTAACAAATTAACATTTATTTTTAACAGCCTACACTAATTAGAAATGTATATTGATTGTATAACACATAAGAGTAAGAAAGCATTTTTGACTCGTCTTTGAACAGAAATTGGAAAGGTTATGTTTTTGAATGCTTTAAATTATCACACATATCAACTTACATAGGGTCAACTTCCTCTTCATGAGGTTTTTCCTTTGCAAATGCAACCCGTATATCTAAATATTCACTGTTGTTGAGTTTTTGAATAGCTCCAATGGCCTCCCTGAAAAAAAATTTACAACATAACATTAGTATTTTTAATGCCATGATTATAAAAAATGAACAACCTTATTAATTTTTCTAAGTACTACAAGTTGCATCCCTAGATTTTTTAGATTCGGCCTATCTTAAATTCTCAAAAGCCATATTATAATTTCATTAAAATATACAACAAGCTAATACATGTAATACCAAAATATCCTGAAAATACTTTTAAAACAAAACTTTACATTATTCTGTGTAAATACCACATTTCAACAATTAATATTTATCTTCAAACATCTTTATTCATCATAACCCATGCACATTGATGGTGGTACAGTAAATAGTATCAAAATACATAAAATAAAAATACTATTTCTATTGATGAGAGATGGAAAACTCATCAAAAGAATCCAAAAAACCTAGAACAACATACATAACCTTGCCTGTCCTTCTGGCTATCGAACAACATTAAATAAAAAATATTAATTAGTTTAGTTTTTGTTTTTTGTTTTTTTTTTTGCCACAACTTAATCATTAAGTTCTACTCATCTCCATGATGCCATATCCAAATCCAAGAAAATGAGTAGGGAGTTTTCAAATTTTGACACAAGTTTATTTATTTTGACCTGAGATCATTTTTTGTATTTTGTATAGAAAAAATAATATACTAAACATAAGTTTAAAATATAATCTTCTCTCCATTTACTGATCCATTTATAAAAAAAAATTACAAAATTGATACCAGCATCAGCACAATTTTTACGTGCAGGCAATAAAAAGCTGGTTGCCTGACTCAGTAAGAGCAATTGCAATGACATACATACAGAATAACTTCATGTTGGCAAGACACACACTGGTCATTCAATTGTCTGTTGTGAAATACTCAACATTTTCTTAAACTGTATGTAATGTTTTAACAGTAGGTTTTTTTCCATGTTTAAGGTGTTTTGTGTGGGTTTAATAAGCAAGCAAACAGTATGGCATGGGAATGGCACTAAAATCAGGATTTCAAGTTTAAGTGAAATTTCAATTTTTAGGCATAATTCCCAGTTTTGTTTTAGTTCCCGGTCTGTAGCCCCCTGAAAATAGGGTAATATTTATGATCATAATGTTGGTTGCAGTTATGACTAGAAATAATACTTTCGTATGCAGATATACAATATTACTAGTGGCTTTTAGGGGCAATAGCCCCTATAGGTATATATTCTAGTAATTATTTTGTACAAATTATTAGTCTCATGGGTTACCCTACCTTGAATTATCGTTAAACATTTTTGTATATTATAATAGTTATTACATACCTGCATAATGCATTTTTATGTCTGCTCTGTTTAAAATAAAAATTCCAAAGGACTGTCCATGCAGTGTGTTTACAATATGAACTTGAACCTTCTAATTATAATACCACCAAGGAACATTTTCAATAATAATCTTCATGACAATTAATTAAATATAAATATATATATATTTCTTTGAATGTAGATAAATTTACTTCGATAAAACACATAAAGATAATGTCATCCTCCAAATTGTAAAATGCTAATTCTATAACAAAATCTCTCTGAAAATAACGTTTATTGTATAGTATTCATTTTGGTGGATTCCTTGGTCTTTATTTGGTTCTAGTACTATTTTAACATCATCATCTGGCCGCTTAACCCAGCTAAAAGCAACATAAACTTGTCCATGGGTTTTTTTTCCAAATAGATGCCAACTTTTATGAAGGTATGGCCTTGCGCTTTAATTATAGGAATGGCGAAAGCTAATCGCAATAGGAATTGAATCCTTGTAAACAGCATATTATGATCTGTAGATATTAGTTTTATTTTGGCATGAAAATATGTTCCATTTTCCTACTCCAGCAATTACTTCTAGCTTTACACTTTTTTCAGACACACCTAACACAACCAATCGTACTCCATTAACTAATCCAGACCCTTAACACGTTCGCTGCTGACAGCTAGATGCCGGGACGGCGCCAGGAGCTGAACTAACGCTTGTCGCTGCATAAACATTGCTGCCGACACACTGATTTACAGTAAAAACAACAGTAGTTATACTGGATGGCAATGTTCTGCAATAAAACTGGCTTTGGACATAGTACCAAGCGATTCTGATAGATAGTAGCGTTACCCAGGTTGCAGTCGGTAAAGTAGTGTCGCTATCTAGCAGAAAAGAGGTGGGGACAAAGCCCTGTTCTAAACGACCCTGGTGGGGATTTTGGGAAACTATACTTTTTATTGTCAGAAAAGTACGTCCCCACGAGCTGCAAAGAAATATAGGACGCTCGTGACAAGCTGGCTGATCCATGGAAACGTTAAACAACAATGACACAGCGTTGTATATGTACAACGCTAGCTCCTGGCGCCGGGTAGGCACGTTGTAAAAATACAACGCCAGCAGCGAACGTGTTAAAATTGGGAAAAGTCTATTTCAGCTTTATAATAGTATACACATTACAGTACATATTACCTTCGACTATTAATGATATTACATATCACCATATGCTTTAAATAAAGTTAAACCACATGTTTTAAAGTAAACAGAGCAGACATGACCTAGATTCCCATGTTATTTAAATGTGAATTATTTTATTCCGTAACAACCTTTTGGTGCTTAATTAAGAAAAATGAATATTTTTCCCCAAAATTTCATGCCGAGACCTTTAAAATGAGACCTCTCCCAGCTTTCTACAGCCTCCCGTTCGCTCACAATTTCATTGTAAAATTTTGGGCTTACGGAATTAGATATATAGATGTATGACTAATATCATAAATACTAGACAAGGTGTAATTTAAATTTAACTTTTATAAAAATTATACTATCTGGAGAATGTGTTACAGCAAACCTTAGATAGTTCAACACTCGATAGTTCGACACTCCTTGTAGCTAAGCTACACATGGGCTGAGCTATTTTGTCAAGTGATGTTTAATGGTTACTATCTATATATTAATTTGAAACTGTTTTTCTTTGTCACAGCTATTTTGAGAGAACGGCTGGGCGTAGAAACTCGGTAGAGGTGTCTAAAGAAAGGTCTTGGTCTGTAGATGAGCCATCAAAAGAGAAACATGGTGTATTCCCTTGGGGCTCTGCCCCCGTGGCCTTTAAATTCCCATCCCATGTTATTCTTATGGAGGAAAACGGGGTTTTTGTCACAGCTAATTTGAGAGAACGGCTGGGCGTAGAAACTTAGTCGGGGTCTCTAAAGAAAGGTCTTGGTCTGTAGATGAGCCATCAAAAGAGGAAAGAGGTAAATTCCCTTGGGGCTCTGCCCCAGAAGCCTTTAAAGTTGCCTCTTCAGATTTGTTTACATTACGACCATATGCATAATTCTACACTACTTTTTAATGTAACAGCTGTTAATATTTAAATTGTGATTTATTGAATTTGGCAAAATGAAGTACAGTATTTGCAATGGATTTTTCTTCTGCATCGTGTCATGTTTTGCAATATAATGTTCTATTACCAAATCAGTGGAAAATCCTAATATCACGGTAACTTTTAAAATTATTTCTTATGGAGTTAACTTATATCTATTGTATGGGTTGGTGTCTGCCTTTTTTACCACTTCTTGGAGATTGTACGTAGGTGATATTCTTTGGCATATTGCATCTGTAGACGAAACTTGGGTTAATGTAATTATTACAATGGACAAGAGCGAGAAATCCTGGACAATTTGATATAGGCTAAAAATGAAACTGAATTAACACTGTGCTACATTTCTTGACCAATCATTGAAATAACCGATTTGCAAACAATGGAAACTTAGAAAAAGTCATAGAACACAACCAAGTAGAAGAAATAGAAATAATATGGTTTTTTTACACTAAAAACTCTAAAAACACAATATCAGATTTTTGAAAAAAGGTAAGATATTTACAAAAGATTTTGATTATATCTAACTGTTGTGTAGATCGTGAGTATTTCCATAATCTTTGAGTCACCTGTAATGCTTCGCAATTGCTCGAATTCGAGCAACAGGTACTCTAGTTGTGATTTAAGCTGACTTGAACATTAATTTGTCAATTATTGTTGACTTAAGACTTAACTAATAAACAGTGATATTGTTAAGCTTTTTAGTATTTAATAAAAAATATGGGTGATTTCTATTTAAGACTTGTGTTTTTACTTTCCTGTATATTAAACTCCATTTACTCTCTATAGTTTAACTTTCGATAGTATGACAACCGTTAAGTCCACCAAGTGCGATCTATCGAGGTTCTACTGTACTATTATTCATAAAACATGCACATTTTACTTACGGATATGTCATAAACTCCACAAATCCCCATTTAAGTCCATTAGGTTGTGTGTGTGGATTCATGTAAACATTTAATGGTTCACCACACATGCCAAATAAGTTTACCAATGTTTTCTGCAAAAAAGAAAACCATTTTATACATATTTGAAAATGTGCAAAGCAACATATCATAACATCAATTTTATGATTAATATTAAAATACTAGGTGAAACCCGTCGAAATTGACGGTTGCTTTAGAGGCTTACGACGATTCGTCTAACTGCAACAAAAAGAGTGAAATTATAAAAAATGTGAGCATTCAGCATCGTTTGGTGAGTAATAAATAGGTATAGAAACAACAATGACTATTGCGTTAGTTACAAAATATGGTCGACCATTCAATGAATGACATATTTCTTATACCGTCCGTCATAGGAGTTATTGTTCCTATGTTAAAAACTGGTTTATCTTCTTTTTGATGAATATAATATAAATAATGCTTGTGGAAGAATCTTTAAAAATAGTATTAAAAATTGAATTGCATATGTTTTATTATATTATTAATACTCTTTTACATTTTTGTTTACATTTTGTCAGTTCTTAGAAAATCATGTTCATTAAACCATCTCTTGAATTTTATCTTTTTTATTGCATCAATTTTATTATCTATCATTAACATTATTGGTCCTAAATCGAGCCGGATCAACAGCATATCAAAACAGAACTGCTTGAATCTATCACTGAGATTTTATTTATCAAAAATTCTAGTAAACTAAAAATCCCGGACCTGACAACCTCATTCGTTTGGTAACACTGAAGACAGCTACTAGAACACCCAAGCCCTCTTCCTATCACAGAATAAAATTGCCCAGTTCCCTGTTGCAATTTGGGGGCAATTTTGTGTTTCCTTTATTTTGTGTTTTTATTTCTTCCCAAGAATTTAATGGTGATTAATACATTGTTTAAAATGATAGGCCTAGTTATATCTTTTTGGCAATCAAATGCATTACAGAATAGCCATTTTCGATAATCCGACGTTTTTGGTAATCCGACACTACGTCAGTCCCATACCTGTCGGACTAGGGAGGGCGGGCTGTATAGTATAAATAAAGTAAAACTGAGCACCCTGAATATTATATTTTTAGTAAAAGTTACATGTTTCTGACATAAGTCCATTTTCAAAACTTCAAATAACATTAAATACTTAACTTTTGTTTACATTGTTTGTTTGTATATAAATAAATACAAGAGGTTGTACCCGCGAATTCACGGGTGTACTGAAACCACCATTAAATTAATTAAATCAACTTCGATTTTATATTTAATTTAAAGGGCCCAAGTTCGAGAAATTGTCGTCTAAAAGGATGTTAAAGCAGCGGAACCTTCATACCCTACGGACTAAGGTGACCGAGGTGGGTACGGTTGTACACGAAAACGACGCTATCTTTCACGACGTCTTTAATACTTTTTAATAAATTGGTGACCTGTTAAAAATCGGTGAAAACCTCTTGGCACGAACAACATACATGGTTTGTTAATCTCACATTCATCGTGTTTAGAACGCCTTTAACAACTCACTTGTATCAAACAGTTAGAAATAGCTTCAGAGTCCATTCACCGCACCCTTTTAAGAACAAAAAAGTAAATAAGAAAATAAGTAAACGAAAATGTAAACAAACAAACAATAACTTATTAGTATTGGCCAGCTGTTGTTCACTTAATTAATCTAATAACGTTAACTTCCAAAACATGCAAGGCGTAGCCCTTTGAAAATCAGCCTGTGGGGCAGAGCCCTAAGGGAGTTCGTCCATATCAATACTTTTCGGCAAATCTACACACTCTAAGCTTCATTTTGATATGCCATATGCCTATATTTTTATTTGGTAAATGGCCTTAACCGTTTACATAAAATTTTATTGTATCACTTTAATAATATAATACCGGTAGATAATTTAGATTACGGATGATTCATAGAATTAGACAGGATTAGGAAAACTTTTTTGTTACTGATTATTTAATTCTAAATTTTGGTCAAAGATTGAGTTCTTGAAGGAATTTGGCTATTTAAAATATAATTTGGATTTTATAGATTTTCTTCGTATATGAAATAATTCTTCAGTTGAATCCATTTAATTTCCTTTGTTTAAAACTTTTAGAATTTTCATTTTGTTTTTCAAATTTGTGTACTGTAGTTAGTTGATAAAAGGTGCTCAGCAAAGTTTGATTTCATGGATGTTTTGTTGTTACTCTTAAGAGCTTGAATGTGCTCTTTGAATCTAAATTTAAAAGACCATCCTGTCTGACCAATGTAGAAGTGTTTACAATCAGTGCAGTTAATTTTGTATAAACAAACAATGTAAACAAAAGTTAAGTTTTTAATGTTATTGGAAGTTTGAAAATGGACTCATGTCCGAAACATGTAACTTCTACTAAAAATATAATATTAAGGGTGCTTAGTTGTACTTTATTTACTACTATAATTTAATAGGCCTATATATATATATATGAATTTGAACGGATGGCGTTTTTGGCCTCTGGGGACCTCAAAACTAAAAAGTAAATCGGTCCCGGGTCTAGGTCTTACCATAAGACCTACCATAATAACCTATATACCCTATATGATGGAAAATTCTCTAAAACAATGTTTTACCACACTACGATGTTTTAGCCATTTTACAAATGTTAATCGGAGGCTGAAAGTTACGTATTGCTGTCCATGGCAGCTGTCATCTTCATTTGGGGACCGAGCAGGTTTTTGCGGCCCTAGGGCCGAAATTCAGCTGTTCGCTTACATATTTAAAACATTTAATGTATCTGTAGGGTGTTCAAAAAAGATGAGGAGATAATTTACATAGTGAGATTTCTTTGGTCAAAATAGAGAGAAAATCATGAATATCATTTTTTTTTTCAAAATTGCTTCGTTAACCAGATATCTGCCATTTTGAATTTTTTTACATTTAGCATTTTTATCTGTGGATTATTACAACCTATCTTTATGAAACTTGGTATTGTATATGAGGTAAAGATACCATGTTATAAAAAAAATCATCTTGATTCAACTTAGAAAGTCAAAATGGCGACCATTTTAATTTTTTTAACTTAAAATAACTAAAAAACAGCTAATTTTATGAAACAATGTCTAGTACACTTTTATGTAACTACCAAACAATACCAAGTTCAAAAGATCAAATAAGAAATAGCTGAAATATTACGATTTTTAGTTATAAAATGGGGTAGAATAGTGTGGTGAAAAATTATGTTTGTACCACAGGCCAAAAGGGTTTTGCAGCTCTCATTCCCTTTAAGTTCTTGACTAAGTTCTCGACTTTGTCTCAAACTTCAGTCCTCAGATGAGAAATTAGGAATTAAGTGACAAGAATAGTACATAAACCCAACTGAAGCTAGAAAAACATAAGAACCCACCTAGTGTGGAAGTCAACCAGATATAAAAGAAATATGAGGGTCGTTTTTTAAGCACGGGCCGTTTGTGCGTATAGCTTCTTACTTCGTGTTTACACCCCAACATGACTCTTCACCTCTTATCATGTTGGCGAACAGAACAGCACCATTTGCAGGTAGCTGAGAAGTATACTTTTATGTGTCTTATTTTATTATTTTTTTTGGTTGAATCTCCCACCACATGCAGGATGAGGTCAGTGCTATTTTTTTTACTGCAAGAAATTTAACGGCTGCAGACATTAGTCGCCAGAAGACCGAATGGTGAGGAAGACAAATTACATGAAAGTGGTTTTCACAAGTTCTGTATTTTGTTCAGAGAATCATGAAAATGAGAGATGTAGGGTTTTCAGGAAAGCAGATCAGAGATGAAAGATGATTGCCGAAATGATTCTGATTTCAGTGTCAGCAGCTAAAAACATTTAAAATAAATGTTTGTGGGATAAACTTCACATCTTTGTCAATGCCAGTGAAGAAGCTTATGCTGCAGTTGCATACTTCCATCAACTTTGAAGACTTGTATAAAAGAATGCTAATTGTATCACAAGCTAAAGCAGCACCTCTGAAACCTAACACAATTCCACCATTAGAATTACAGGCAGCTGTACTTGGATGCAGGCTAGCTCATAGCATTGAACAAGATATTGATACAAATATTTTAAAAGAACATTTTTGTCGCATTCTACAGTATGGCAGTTTTACTTTAGATTAAATCAGATGCTAGAACGTTAAAGCAATACGTCTCAAATAGAATCTGTGAAGTTCAAGAATTATAAACTACTAATGAATAGAGATTGGTCCCTTCAAAGCTAAATCCTGCTATCGCCACATGAAGTGATAGGAAGCTTACACCAAGCACTCAAAATTTACTGGATATATGACCCCTCTATTTAACTGGAGGACCAGATCATTCCCCTTAGGAACCTTTGACACGACAAGCAGATAAAAGTGGAGAAACTATAAAAAGAAATTTGTGAGAGTACAAAAGCAAGGCAAAAATGTTGGTGTCGAGAAGTTTTCTTTTTGGGAAACATTTACTTGAGTGGTAGCATGCGTGGAAGATACAATGATACATTCAAGATATGTGCCAATTCAACTAGTTAATAAACTCTAGAAAAATAAAGTTAATTTTAGTCAAATTTTAGAACTTCAACCTGATGACTCTACGTTTTCTAAGTTTTATATGTAAGGCGGGAGAGACTATGTAATATAACCAATGGTTAATATTAATTGACAAATGTTGTGTTTTATTTTATTTATGTTCTCTGTTTAACACATGTCTACTATTATTCTTGTTGACTTGTCCATATGAAATTGACCCTTGTTAAATAGCATTTTGTCTTGACTGTCTTTATATATATATTTAGCACTCCCTAAACAATTTCCGTACTTTCCCTCAGTCATTACATTAGGGCCAAAACCTTCAGTCTTCTTCTAGCAATGCTTCTGGTCAAAAACGTATCACTGACCTTATCTCTCATGCGGAGGGAGATTCAATAATTTAAAAAATGTCAAGGCACAGAGCAAAGTGTACTTGTCAGGTACAGAGCCGCAAATGGCACCGTTCTGTTTACTTAGGCGTAAAAACGAACATAGAAGCTACAGGCACAACCGGCCCTTGGTTAAAAAATGAAAACAAAAGCCCTTAAGTAAAACAATGTGATTGTAACATTACAATCATGAGAAACATTAGCCCACATTTTATAAGAAATTTGTTTTTGTGTCCCCTTAAGATTAGGTAAATTCCTTAGTAATAGGCTAACACCCTGTAGGCCTACACATGAGGACGTTAGACAACGTGTTATTAAATATGAAACCGTAAACATGACAGTGCTAGATGCGGCATTAGTTGAATGAGTCTACTACTCCAGTGCGGTCCCTATGTAGTAAGGGATGCGATTTTGCCAAAAGAAAACTCGATGTAAAATTAAAAATATTTATTCATTACAATAAATCTGCAGATATAAGCAATCCCAAGCAGGCTTTTTAAAAACTCTATTTTCATAATCTGCTCACTCCAATAACAAACTTTCCTTCCGCGTGCATTGTATACACAATACACAAAGCAGGCTTCACCTCAGAACTGGCCTCAGAAAAGCAAGCGTTCGGCTGATCGTGATAAAGTGCGCTGGAAACGTAGCGGTTTTAGTGAAAAACTACAAGGGTCACGTTTTGGCGACGTTGGTTCAAAGTGTGCATTTGCATGTGAACAATTCGATTGGTTCCTAGAGAGTTGACTAACCCGCAGACATTATTTTGTTGAAATTCAGTACGTTACTTAAGGCATTTTGGAACAAAATTCAAAGATTTTTACAGTAGTAGTAGGTTTTTCACCCATTTTACATTCTCAGCTTGTTCACTGATCACTCCACCACCTGAACAAGTTAGGCTACATGTCAGATGTATTCCCTATTTCAATAACAGAGTACTCAGGTCTACTGTTACAGGGAAAGTAATAAAAAAGATTTTTTTAGGAACATGTTACTACTAGCTTGGTTAAATAGATTGCTTCACACTGATAAATATATTATGAATAAAATACTTTCAAATTCAAACTTTATCTTTATCTCTTTTTGTTTTTTAGTTATTAACTAAAAACATGTTTTCCCCATGCAATATCTATCTATCTATCTATATATATAATACGTGAAGCCGTTTTTTGTTAACGCAACTCCTCCCTTATTTGTGGACCATTTCCAACGTTTAAGGTGTCAAAAGATTCGTCTCAATGTGTAGTTTTGCAATAAGGTTTTAGAATTTTGAAATTCTTACTCTAAAGGGCGTGAGACCCTCTCAAAGGTCGAGTTTTTTCCATAAGAAATACACAGAACAAATTTAAAAACAAAAACAGCTGTTTATAAAAAGAAACTCATTCATTAGCTTTTTGGGAGTTAATAATAATGTTTGTAATATTTAGTTGGTTTTGGGTTAAGACCAAGTTAAAAAGTTAATCAGTTTTGTAGGAAGAACAGAAAATGTCTCAAGTTCAAAGAAGAAATATTGAAAACGGGAGTAGGAGACAATTAATAATAAGATATCTTAATGAGGAGAGTAGAAATAGAGAGGCCTGGTCTAAAAGACCCAGATACACATTCACTTGGTGAGATGAATAATATTTGACAGTTCTGATATACATCGATGGTTCTGCTATGCAACTCACTTTGGAAGTGAAAAAATATACGAAGCACATAGTGTTGTCCCGGTGGTAAAGTAAACTCGCCTAATGTCAGATCAAATAAATGCTTGCAAGAAATGTTTACTTCTGACACTGACAGATCGAGATATTTCAAAACATTTAGTAGAAACTATAATAATGCCTTGACTATGATAAGTTCAAGTAGTAAGATTATACTGAATCTTGGCGGACCTTTTGTTTTTATTGTAAATTTTTGTTTTAGGTACTTGCTCTACTTCAATAAATTGAGAAAAAAACGCAAATTACTAAACACAGGTAGGTCTATATCAGTAAGGCAACAGTATTCTTCAATTCTCAATGCTGGAAAAACTTTGTTGCAACATGTTAACTCGAATTGAGGCAGATCGTTTAGCATTCATTAGAAGTTATCAATTAAAAATTAACAGAAATAATGTAGGTGAACCTTGACGACGTGCAAACAGAGATATTTAAAATTAGTTTCTAACAAGTGTTTAAACAACTCACTTAAGATGTACTTAAGATGTAACTAAAATTACTCTAATTTAAGCATAAAGTTTTCCTCTGCGTTATGTTTCATACTGTACTATGCGGCTCATTGAGCTGCACGGGTTCTCTAGTTGTTTGTAATACCGTTCGTACCCAATTAGGTATTTCAATATATAATTTTTAGCACCTATCTATAGCACCTACCTACAGCCTCAATTGCATCTATAGTTTCTCAGCTATGGAGGAAATTTGCTAAAACATGGCAAATAGTATAAATATAGGTGATATTAATATAGGTAAAATATAAATATACATACCCATGTCCAATTTGCTGGTATTGAGCTGACGTGAAGTTTGAAGTTGTTGGTGATTGGATCACGTTTCCTGCAAACAAACAAAAATTAGTTACTTAAGTAGATTAAGGTAAGCAGTATATTTAAGTAGGCTAGTGGGATTGTGTGAAATGTTTTTTTTTTCACTCTTTGATTGGGCTGATCTATTTAAAATCAAATATCATTAGCCCTGAGGAAGCCATTTTCATGGATATTATTTTTAGGATACCACACAATACAATAAACATACTGTATAAGTGCCAATAATAATTAGAGGTAAAAATATAGTGCAGTATATATTCGAACCAAAGTTGTTTAGTTGTTTAGTTGTTAGTTGTAGATTAATGATTAATAGTTTAGAAATGAGCTGCACATATAGCAAATAAGGGAATTTTATTATATTATATATTTTTTTTTTAATAGAGCGAATAGTGTTTTGGGCCTTTAGTGTAATTAAAATGAAATTTATATTGGTCTCGTGTCTAGGTCTACCTTGCCACCTACGGTAAGCCTACTAGCTACTTCCCCATTGGGAAATTCGCTAAAACTGATCCATATCTAGTTATTGAACAAAATGGTCATTCACTGGTGATACCGAAAATTGTAATACAGTATATGACCAACTGCTTAATAAATAATTGTTGGTTAGAATTTTTATTATAAAATCAGTAGGCTACAGAACCGTACCTAAAAATGTTTACTGTGAATTGCATATTAGTATATTTCATAACAAGAGTAGAAAGTGAGTCATTACAAATTTGAGACCATTTTTAAAGTGCGAGTTTTATCAAGCACTTCAAATGGTCGAGAATATGTATAGACCCTCTTTCACTCGTGTTTTGAACATTACTTTTCGCTACACTACATGGACTAATTGTTTTCTTGAACACTACAAAACTAATAGTATTTTTCAGGTTATAACATCAATATCAAACAAACAGTTAACATTTACTTTGGTTTTACAGTTTTGCTTGATGAAAATTAAAACAGTTGACAAAACAATAACAAATCTTTTTGTTTGTTTACGTCGGTAAAATCCAAAAAGATAGTAAACATTACTTTTGCAGCATAAACATTCTTTTGCCGTAGTAAACAATGTAATGATGAATTTTCGCAGGCGAAACATGTAACGAAAACAGGTAATTTCACAGTAGTGTTGCGAAAATTAAATTACAGTTTCCATTAACCCTCCGAGTGTCCATAGTTTAGGCCTTAATGTCCGCCTATTTTTGGCGCATTTGCAAGGTTATATTAAAACGGATCTGAGAAGCTTAAAACAATGTTAATTCTACTGTTCTATATACCATTTTGTTTGGAAAATCATGGGCTTCAATATTATACATAAAACATAAGGAACATTTGTTTCAAAAAAATTTTTAGGTAAAAAAAAAAATATTTTGGAAAATTTAAAAAAAAAAATAAGTTCGCGCTCAATGAAATTGTATAAATTATAGGCCTATAAATATTTGAAAATAGCCACTTTGTTCTAAATTTTGTGAGGATTACAAATATATAATAATATAAGGAAGTAGATTTGCAAATAAATAAGTTATGGGCAAAAAACAATTTCAGTACATAGCGTTTAGCTAAGAATGCATAGCCTAACCATAGCTAGGAATCTGGCTGATAATTTACATCAATATCACTACCTACTTCTTCAGGATCATCAACCAGCCCTTCAAAATCACTTAAATCTCTTATAATGCACCACGTATACTTTTGATTTTTAACACTAAAACAATGATAAACGTAATAAAACACATCAGTCATCGGTCCGAGGTTAACCTAGCTGTTTACAAATACGCACGTCAGCTGTCTGCTACAATATTTTCGGAACTAAAATGAATAGGGCTTAGAGACAGACCTCCGGAGAAAGCTCTGAATCTAACAAAAAGAACGATACCTAACTCGATCCAGTTCAATCCGATTCAGTCAGTCATAGAGCCTTCGCCGTAAACGATGTTCGTGTGTCGAAAAATCGACAAGTGACACTACACAAAGTGTGTCGTGAGTCGATTTTTCGACAAGTGACGCTCGGAGGGTTAATAATTAAAGTACCATCACCAAATGAACCATCCGTCACAAATACAACCAAACATGCTTGTAGAGAGGGGGGGGGGGGTCATTCACTAGTGCAATCCCTCTCTTTAAAACTTTAAATAATACTGTGATCATTCTTTATTAATCTCTGTTGTGCCTTTAAAAATATACTTCATAATAGTAGTTAAGTAATGATTGACTAAATAGGTTTTGTACCTAGGCCTACCTGCCAGCAGTTGGGTTTTTAAAACTATTGACTGAACAGTGAAAATTCCCATCAATTACCTAATTTTAATAAATGAAGCAAAATGGTTTTATAGTACAAATTTAATATTTAAACTAAAAGATCTGATGAAGTGGGAAGTATAATTTATCTTACCAGTCCATATTCACTCAAAATACAACTAAACAAGCTTCCTCCAATTGGTTATACAGGTGCTACTGTAGTTCAGAGTTTAATGTATTGCACTGATACAAGATAGATAAAGAGAAAGATTTGCAACGGACAAGAAACAGTACAAAACTTGACAAGTTTAAAGTTTGCTTAATCATGCTCAAATTCCATGAGAATTATCTCTTACTTGGGGATTTCCCAAAGATAAAGTAAGTTATTACCAAATGGTTAGTATAACCAAAAAATATAAAACTGTTCCTAGTTTAAGTTTATCACTGGGAACTAAGCCCCAGATTTGTTGGAAATCTTGTCTTGATATTATTTCCATATTTATTTCAATAGGCCTATTATAATTTCAGTAAAACCAATGCAGACAAAAGGTATTAACATAATTAGATGAATATAATTATATTATGATCAGGTATACTTACTTTACTTTTCCAGATGGGATTTTCACTTCATTTCACTGTATTTTTAGTGATATGTTACAGTAATTGCTTAGTATGAAAGAAATCAATTTGTCAAATTTTATCAAACGATACCATAAGACACAGCTGTTTACTTATTCTCTTTTAAAATAACATACAAAATGTATACTCACTACACAGTATTCATTTACATTTCTCCTTTACTATTGAGTAATGAAGCAATGCTTTAAAATGTATCATTTAATTTATTCTTATGGAGAATAAGTAAACTGTTGTAGGCTAGTTTGCATGTTTATGAACATATTTTGATCAAATTTAGAAAATGCATTTATTTCTTACTAAACTATTAACATAAAAAAAACACTTTTACCCTCCCTGTCGCAGCAAACATTAGTACTCGTTAAAGTACAGAAATTATATTTAATTAAGGAATCAATGTGATATTTTTAAGGAGACATTTTAGTGTAAATCCAATCAGGCAAATGGGAATTCGCTTAGTCTGCAGGTTTGCTGCAGCGGGGGGTATTTGTAAAATATTAATAGCTTAGTTTAAGATAAACAAATTTGACAACGTTTAATCAAAATATATCCATTAACAAGCAAACTACAACATTTTACAATATTCTCCATAAGAAAAACGCATTCATGGGAATTGAAAATTTTTTTGAATTTTCTGTGTAGCCAATAACCGTACAAAAACACTTTTATATAGGGTTGTTTTTTTTAAGCTATTTAAAAAGGTCTGGAATTGGAAAATGTTGTGTGTTGAGGATGAAAATGAGAAAACCCCATTTTTACCCCAAAAAACCCATTCCCATGGTCCGATCATGCTGGTTCCCGAACTCATTCAAGTTTATTCTGTCTTGCACCATTTAAACCAAATTTCATCAAAATTGGACAAAAAATACTCAAGTTATCGTGTTCACAGACACATCATATACAGTCTAACCTTGATATAATGAACCTCGATATAACAAATTCCTTGATATAACAATTTTTTTTAAATCCCCTAGAACTCTCCATAAGACACAATGTACATTTTACCTCTACATAATGAACAAACCATATCAACAATCTTGATTTAACAAATTTGTCATGATCCCGGCTAAAATAAGACACCTCAATAACAACGAATTTATCATTGTCAGAAACTCTGCATAACGAATTTAACCTCTAGGCCTACTTAACGAATTGTCTGCATCTCTCCCTCGATACAACAAATTCCATACCCCCGATATTGTTTTTGAAAAATCAGTTTCTTCAGCAAATGGAATGGAAAGGTGACGTCAACGCTTGCACTAACATTCGTCTGCTCCGTTTACACTTGATTTCCTATAACGAATTACACTACAGTAACTTAGACGTATAACAAACTTACACATATTGTTTTCTTGGTCTTCCTAGAAAGTCAGCATGGTTATCAAGGAACATCAAATCTGGTGGTAGACCCCGCCCTCTCCCAGAGGGTCTAGTGTATTGAGGCTGATACATATCCTGCAACAAGCGCCATTACATCATAAAATAACAGAACATTTTGTCAATACAGTAGGTATATTACTTAAATCTAAATAGTAAAAAATTAAAATCAAATAATAATAATACCACTAAACCCTCCCAATTTCCACTTAAAAATGCATTTAACCCATTTGCATCGTCTTATTTATTTACCAAAACCCAAGTATCACTGAAACAATAAAAAGAAAAAAATATACTAGACAATTTTATTATGATGTTTTATATAGCTTAACAACTATTATTTTAAATTGTAATTTGTTCTTTACGATGAATAATAAAAGTGTATACTAAAAATTAAAATAGAATATTTTACTTAATTGCCAGTAGATCAACAATGGTTTTTGTTTTTTCATTAGGTGTATAAATATATAAGTTTCTAGGCGTACCTACCACCACGAGAGCACGCAAAATAGCCTACAGCTATCCATATGAAAAGCATGTATTTTCTAAATTAAACCGACGATAGTCAGGGATTGCCCTAGTGCCCTTATAATGGTGATTGTGAAAGCAAGACACAATGGAGATTGTAGTTGTTTAAATTCAGAGTGTAATTCGGATGAAAGCATCTGTATTCTTGGGATTAAGACTATTTATCCTTTAAACTTACCACTGATAAGTTTTGCTTCAGACTATTTATCCTTTAAACTTACCACTGATAAGTTTTGCTTCAATCAATTTTGGTGTCATTTTTTTAAACGTCAAGTCTGGTAACGCACAGCTTTGGTGGATTTAAGTTTAGCATTAGTATTATTGGAGTTCCTTCTCTTAATGACAGTAATGTGGTGGGTTAATGGGAAATTTAGAGGCATTTGAATACCTGAGATAGCAAGCACGATTATTATTCACTTAATAATTTATGTTAGATTGTGTGGGTATAGAACAAAAGATACAAATATTAAGGCATTGCCATCCCTTTTATTGTTTATAATACTTTGATAAAGGTTTTTATTGTTACATATTAACATTGAAGAATTTAAACGTTGTTGAGTGCACCTAAGGTGTGCTGTGATTGGGATTTAATAGATTTGGACTTATTCAAAAGTAAAATAGTTTTCTTAGCGGCACTCTGTGTAAACATTGTGGCACTATTTCAAGCTACCTAATACAGAATATTGTGATTATTTGAAAGTAAACATCTGCTTTTAAATTATACTAGAGGTTAGCCATTAGCGAAAACTCTACCAAAAATATGTAATGTACAGACTAGTGATGGTCAAAACCAGAAATTCCGAATCTCAAAACCAAAACCGAAACTTTAAAAAATCGAATCCCGAATCTCAAATCTCGAAACCTAAACGCGAAACTTTTTTACTTAGCTGGTTACAAAGGTCAAGGTTACAAAAAATACACATAATCATAAAATGTTGTATGCAATCAAAACTGAAAGAGATAGACTCCTGACCGTGACATAACATAAATATGTGAATATGACTGATAATCTTAAAACCCAATACAACATAATTGTTCATAAACAACCAACAAAAAAAATTAATTAAACTTCTAACACCAACATAAACATGAATATTAGATTAATTAGAACATTTAGTGGTCAATATTTCTTTGTGTTTAGTAAATATTGATGTGAAACTGAGTTGTACAAGTTATAGTATTTAAGATACCTTTTGAAGTTCAGAATCAAATTTACTTGTTTCATTACTGTTAATGGTTTGCTCTGTTGCACCAGCTTGTTTGGAAACAGTGTTAAAAACCATTACAATAGCACAAAAAAACGTCAGCAGTTTCAAAAATAAAACTGTCAAAATCTTCAATTTCAAAACTTTTGAATCTCGAAACTTGGTGATCGAATCTCGAAACCGAAACTTTTCCTGAGTTTTGATGGTTTTGAGATTTGAGATTCGGTTTTGACACATCACTAGTACAGACTTCTCTATTTTCACCCCACGCTGTAAATAAAACATGAAATGGGGATTTCTTTTGAAAGTGTCTTGAAAAAAGCATTATCAAGGGCCGTAAAACAATTTTTCCTATGAGGCAACATAATGTGAATGCCGTCGTATCAAATTGTGTGGCTTCGGACCGGAAGAGTTTCCCATAGCAAAAGCTGCATTTTAAGTTAAGAAGTCTAATGTCTAAGCCACAAAACTCCTGACGCACTTATCTTAACGCACATTTAAAACTATCTATCAAATTCTGTATAATAACTACTTCTTGTTGATTAACTCTCATATTATAGAGACGGTTACGCTTTCTTCTTTCTACCCGGCCAGTTAATGTTCGCCTTAGAGGCATTTCAGAATGGCACACTACATTCAAGTCACTCAAGTTTAAATAATAAACAAATACAGTAAAATTATAAAAATTTCATCTAACAAAAAGTAAGTATATAATAATCGGACATAACACACAACACACAATCAGTGCAAAATCAGACTCACCACCACTGAGAACTACATTTTTTATGTTATAATTTTGATGTTATATTTGATGTTATATATATATTGATGATGATTGCTTTACAGCTGGTGAAAATACCACATACAAAAAATTATTAATGTACACAGTCACACACGCCAACGTGGTTTTCAGTGCATTTAATACAATACACATTTTATAAGTATACATGTGATTGGAATTTCTTTGATTTGTTTTGATATTCTGTTTATGTTGCATTGTTATTTCGTCACCAGCATGGTAACACATAAAGCCCATGTTAATTTGTTGAAATTTCAAATTAATTTTTGTGTGCTTATTTTTGAGCCTATTTTAATTTTTAAAGGGATTCTGCACATCTACAGGAAAATAATGCCTGAAAGTTTCATTACAATCTGTTGAGCAGTTTCGTAGTCCATAATGTACATACATAGGCTATATATACATATATACATACATAGTTCCTCTTTTTAACCGACTTCCCCACTACCAACAAAAGGAGGAGGTTCTCAATTTGTCTGTGGCGATGTTTGTTTTTTTTATGTTTGTTCACCAATTTCTCTGTGATTCTTTTACCGATCAGTGTGGTTCCACCACCAAAATAACCGGGAGAATTTCTATTTGGTACCATATGTAGCATTATGTTTAAGAAAAATATTTGTATGGTGAAAAATGCTGGAAACCTCAAATATTCAACATTTATTTTGTTTATTTTTTTGCAGAGAAGGCAATAAATAATAATAACATTCCTACAGCTGTTAGTTAAAACCATTTAAATGAAGCTACAGACAGTTTCTTCATGAAACAGTTGCTTCATATTGATTAATAAACTATTTCTTACCATGGAGCCTAAATAAGTTACATTGAAAAAATGCATTTTGTTTTGGTTACTATAAATAGTCCGGTGGCTTAGGGCTTTAGTTTACGAATACCGTTACGTGGCGGATAAAAGCACCAAATTTGGCATGAAGGTACCTTAGGGTATACTTATCAATTTTAGCCTAGGAGCCCTTTTGATTTCTAACAATTTCCATACACGGCACCAAAATCCAAAATGACCGACAAATACGTTCAAAAATCACGTGGGAATATATATTTATGAGAGACTACTATTACAAATAACAAAAATGCACTAGATTATTGTGATGTTGATGTTGATTAAATAGTTGAACCGTATTGATCAATATTTGTACCACATACGCATTAAACGTCATAACTGTAAACAGCTGTTTTCATTTTTTGAGACGCAGTTGATGTTGCGTTGTATTGTTGCAGTTTGTTGATGCTATGTGTTATGTTTTGCGGTATACTGATGTGTTTACTACCATTTTCAGCTAATATTGTTGATTTGTATATACAATATTCTTTATTCTATTTCATATGACATTGTGGAAAAAAGTATATTAAATAATTCATGTAACATAGCAGTTTTTATCTTATTAATGTTAACGAATCGGTACAACCCATCAGAGATGGTGTGATTGCAATCTGTATTCACTGCTTGTTTGTATTGAGAAAATTGCATTCCATTAAAAAAATAATTAACTATGACAAATTTTACCAGGTCATTCAAGAACCCAAAGAGCCAAAAATTTTAACATATCATGTTTCCTATCTCAAACCGTTATATCTCAACACCCTTTAAATATATAAACTTCAAACTTGGCACATGTATTACATTTAATAAGACCTCTTTATGGAATATCACGTTTCTACTTTGTACCATTTTAACACAGCGGTCGTTTGTTTTTTCAAGCTTAATATTTAACAGTCATAAGAATACACATATTATATAGGTTGTTAAATGCGATGTATTTAGTAAAAAACACACACAGATAGATAGACCAAAAACGGTTCAAGAAAGTAAACATGTTATATTTTAACATAACATAATTTGTTGCTTGTTTTGGACTTCCGAAGTTAGCTATAACATGCTAACACTTCGTAAAATTTATCATAGTGGTAACGGGACCACCTATATATTGGTTGTTTTCATGGAAAGCAATGATTTTATCTTGGTTTTATTAGTTTTCTTTTACTAGTCTTTAAAAACCCCAGACTGTTAAATGCATAGATTTTTAGTTATTAACATTGTGCAGTGTTACAGTGTTATTAAATAAATTAAATGTTTTGGTGTTAATGCAAACTTCATTTAGCTTAAAAAAGTTAAAATTATGTTATTGTGCTTTTTTACCAAAAATGAGCTTTAGCATTATTTTTCGAATTTTCCCTAGACACAAGACAGTGTATATTTATAATTATTACGGCATTAAAATGTTTTTATGTTAAATAAGTAAGCAAAGTCCAGTTGACCAAGCCTTGCTTGGTTGTAGTTAATTGGGTGCAATAGTAAAAAAAAAACAATATTTTTAAACAAACATTGTATAATTTGAAAAAAAAACCTTTTTGTTACAAACCAAAGAGTATTAGTTAAGTTTAAATGGTACTCGCACAGAATGTTTCTCCCCTATAGTCATTGAAACCCGTTGTTAGACTTTTACTCTCACTAAAGACAGCATATACAAAATGATACAAACAAAATGATATTGGTTTTAGAGTGACTTGTGACAACAGTTCTATGTTTTTTC